GCTGTCTCTTCACCATACTCTCCATTCTATTCGTTGAGGCTAATCCGTGACCATAAGAATAGGGATCAGAAGTTCTAGCATGCCGTAATAACCCAAAGCTTGTCGTAGCATAGGAACGCCTTTCCTGCGCGCGGCTAAGATGCGATACTTTGAACATCCAAGACGGAACAGTTCGAGAGGTAAAAGGATTCTGGAGGCTCAGTCTCCCTTTTCACAGTGCTAGTCTCCGGGCTCGCACCAAATTTCGGTTTTCATAACAGGACATTGTTTTCCTTCGATTTTCAGCTCCTGGGTCTTTCTTCATAGGTCGGTCCTCTAGATGGCGGGATTTTCGCGGTAGAAGCCGTCACGATGCGATAATCTGTTACTGGCGAAGCGGCGCTTGTTATATCATTCGATCCCAATTAGATCCAGTACACAAGGCTACAAGCCTCTCTGCATGGTTATTTCGAACATTCTCATGGAAAACACATAGAGTGGCTAGGCCTGCGGTCTTTATATGGATCCGACTGTAGCGTGGGTTCGTCAATAGCGCAATTGAACCCATGTTTGTCGCCATGTCGCACAGAGGCCGACTCCCCGTCAATAGTGGGCTGATGTCGGCGTCTGCCACCGGTTCCTGACGGCCAATTCGACTCTCGAGAATGGACCAAGAGAAGAGACGGGGCCGGCACTCGATGCCGGGGCGGAGGAAGCTGGTCTTTGGTGACAAATGCTGGTTGCGTGATGGTGACGTGCTCAACACCAAGCCAATCAGACACCAGAGCCGTCCCGAGACTGGCCATTACCCAAGCACCAACGAGCGAAGTCGGCCCTAGATCTGGCAATGCGTCTTATTCTATAAGGGTACGGTGGTGGTCTGGCATCTCAGACACACCGTGTGACCAACCACGACGCACATTCTAACGCCGCGATACAATATGGCTAACCAGGAACCTTTCCGTGTGCTGATTGCCGGGGCTGGCATTGGAGGTCTGGCAACAGCCGTGGCGCTCTCTCGTATCTCCGGTATCCCGAATCTGGACATCCAGCTCTACGAACAAGCCGACGAGCTTCTCGAAATCGGAGCAAGTATCGCCTTGAGCCCCAATGTAAGTGCATAGCGATCTGAGAAGAGCTTTCTCACAATCTTTATTTTTGCTTAAGACTCACAGTGGTACAACAGGGCATGAGAACCTTGGAAAAGCTTGGTGTGACCAATGCCTTTGATGACGACGCTGGGTTCAGAGGCACAAGCGGGATTCCCCAAATCATACGGTATTCCATACCCTCCATTTGGTGTCTATCAAGGCCACCTGGTATCCTATGCTAAACTGAGTTTGAAGCCACTGGAAATCAAACCAGGTCGTAGCCGTAGACACATATACCAGCGTCTCGGATTCTCGACATCAGACAACCCGGTTTCATCGGGGCCACATCCACGCAGCCCTGTTGAAGCACGTACCGACAAGCAACATCCATTTAGGAAAGAAGACTGTCGGTGCGAAATCCGATGCCGACGGCGTTACTCTCTTATTCGAGGATGGGACAGAGGCGCGAGGCCACGTTCTAATTGGCGCCGATGGCATCAAATCGGTTTGTTCTGAGTATCCATCTCGATAGATGTCGCTAATTCGGTTTTAGAAAGTCAGGCAGGCCTTTGTCCCAGAGCACAAACTAAAATACAGTGGGAAGACCTTCGCTCGCGCCACTTTCGATGCATCTATCCTTGAAGGCAAGGTGCCAGATCTGCCGGAGGATGCCATTCATTGGGTAATCACTCATCATCAATACTGATACTGCTTCCAGAGTCTAAACTAACGCATGATGCTGTGACAGTGGGGTCTAAACGATCACTTCTTTGCCTCAAAGCTTGGTACGTCTGAGACGCCGCTTAGAGTGTATTTCAAATCCATTCAGACTAATATTCGGCATAGGAAAAGGTCAGTTTACGACTGTTGGGTCATTTGATGACCCCAGAAGTACCGAAGAGATCGACAAGGCAGTTGCCTGGAACCAGGCAGATGATGTCACTTGGTTCAAGGAGAAATACAAAGTAGGAATTGCCGCCAATACACGAACACTCAGGCTTAACTAACCCCGAACTTCACAGAACTGGAACCCGACTGTCAAGGCACTGTCGGCACTTACACCTTACATTCGGCTCTATCCCAACTATGTGGGTGATGCGCTCTCCTCTTGGGTGATATCAGACCGCGCCACACTGGTCGGCGACGCCGCCCACACTCACGGTGGCTCTTTTGCTGCCGGAGGATCGTTGGCGCTAGATGATTCCCTCGCCCTAGCCTTGGCCTTCAAGCATGTCATTCTACCACAAATCAACTCGCCAGGCCCCATAAGCGCGTCGGCGATCAAACAAGCGATCCAACTATACGACAATGTGCGAAGACCTCACACTACTCGGCTCCTAGAGATTGTCCACGGCCAGCTTGGAGCGAAGAAGCCAGTGTATTCATCAGAATCAGATGAGGATGCTGAGAAGAGCCTACAGACCAAGGTAAAGGGAAGACCAAACACAAACTGGCTCTCAGAACATGATGTGGAGGATACATTTTTGAGAGTTATTGGTCAGTCCAAGAAGACACCATCAGAACGGGCCAGACTTTAGACATCGTGGTTGGTAGATCGGCTCATTCATAGAGTGCGCGTTGTACATACATCCGCCCTGATTTCCACAAAAATGCGTTGCCGTTAGACCTTGAAATGAATACCATTCGCACGTCAAATAGTTTTTGCTTTCATCCTACATAGAATGCACGATAGGTACAATAACGTGCTTCGGCAAGTTACCCTGGTCTTATAATGCGGGAAATCCTCCCCGGACATTGATGTCCAGTTAGCTTCATTCCGCGCAGGGACTAACACGATGCGAAAAGAGGGGTTCTGGGTCTCAGTCCGGCGGTTAAGCCGAGGATCCAGATGGCACCATTACTTATTACATTTGTCTCATGTAGCGCTGTGAACCTCGATCCGAGAGCCGCCAATCTGACCATTGATCTGAAATATCCCAGTTCCGGCACGTAGCTTCAGCCTCTTCTTGGATCAAAGAAGCCCCGATGGATTTCTCAAAATACGGACACCCAAGCCCTCAGTGGCTCGCGTTTGTTGCGGCAAATCCCAGCGCTGCCGAAGAAGGCTCAAGTGGAAATGACCCCTCAACTGCGTTGGAGCTTCAGCAAGCGGTAAACTCGTTTCGAGACAAGGCCAGCGCCAAAGTCTTTGCAGAATCGGGCTTCGAATCCCAGCTAGACATCTCAACAACTTCCCTGCCGTCGAGGCATGGACATTTGATCCCTGTACGGCGATATTCTCCCAAGCAAGACGCACCCAGAGCGGGGGATCAAGGCACTAGAAATCAGCGATCGCTCATCTACTTCCATGGCGGCGGGTTTCTTTTTGGAACAGAGACGTCGGAAGATCCTCTTTGCGCCAAATTTGCCCTCGACGCAGGAATCTCGGTGTATAGCGTCAATTACAGCCATACGCCGCAGCATGTCTTCCCTGTGGCTCACGATGATGCCCTGGACGTGTATAACCACATCAGCGAGAATTCTACTCTATATGGCATCGACACTCCATCTGGACAGCTGGCAGTCTTGGGCATTTCGGCTGGAGCCAACCTCGCCGCGGAATTTGTTCAGCACGACGTGGCGCGCGCAAAGGCAGACCCGTCTCACAGGCGCATAGTTTCCGGGGCAGTTCTCTCTATCCCATGGCTTATTCACGGCGATCATACCCCATTGCATCTGATGGAATCGCCTGAGAAGGCCTCGAGCCGGCAGTGCCGTGATGCCCCTGTGCTTCCATGGCCCAGGCTACAGCTGTTCGTCAATTTGTTGAAGATGGAAGACAGTGCGGACCCCAGGATCAGTGCAGCCCTTCGCCCAGACTCCGAGCTGGAAGGATGGCCAAAGACAGGGTTCATCATAGCTGGAATGGATCCTTTGAGAGACGATGGTTTGATCTTCGCCAAGCGACTGGAAGCTCTAAAGTAGGTTTTGTTATCTCTCACACAATTCCTTCGTCGTACGTTACTCATGGGCATACTGACCTAAAATTTGCTCTTTGAAAAGGACTTCTACGAGCGTTCATATATTCCCCGGGGTCCCTCATGGATTCAGACGTTGGGTAGATTTGCCATTTTCGAAGCAGAGCGACGATGTCACCGTTGACCTTATCCGATGGGCGCTTGGTTTGGAAACAAACGTTTCGATTGAAGGATGGCACGAGTATGCATAGATTTATGAAATGTTTAGATATTACGACTTGTCAATAGACGTAGAATCTGTTTCCAGTGAACAAGTGGCCATCCAATTTCAAAATACCTAGGAGTGACATAAAACAGCATATATATCGTATCACGAAAACTACATCACCGAAAGTCAATTAAAGAGCCATCGCTCATTGTAGATGCGTCAGAGGTGCTGTCAGTTTCGACTATCGCAATTGACGCCGGGCAGCCGGGCATCAGATCAGCCCTAGTCCAGGCGATATCATATTGATCAGGTTAGCAGAGCAAAAAGAAAACCAACATTGGACAAAGGGAGAGGGTTAAACAAACCACAGGGCTATCCATAACATATCAGACAGGGTTCTTAAGAACAGCGGTGAGAGCACAGATGCAGCTCGGAACTGGCGATGTCTCAGCTGCCGGCCTATACTTTCGCAAACTCGTACTATTTGTCTATAATTAGGCAGACATTGGGTTTCTAGCCGCCTTACGGGCGAATTAATGCGCGAGAACTGCATCCGAATTTACGTCAGCGGCTTTTGGTGACACCATTATCTACCAATGAAGGCGTTATCAACATCCAAGAAAAAGCAACGTGAAGCGGGGTAAGCCTACCAGATAGAAGGCAAAGAAAAGTCGGGGTAAGAGTTTGAGTATAAAAGCATTGCTCTTCCCCGCTTATGCATCCAACTTCTCCTCATCTCATTCACATCCTTTCGACCTCACTACACCATCTACCAGAAGTCACCACTGTTATTCACCCTTCAAGATGCCTTCCGGCTACGAGTACAAGAGCTCCGGCACCAACTCACAGGTAAGTCACAGCGCTGGTGTGTATAATGTCCGGCCTGACATGCTGAACTCTCCCCAGGGCAATCACTACTGCGCCCGTGATTATGGCTCCAGCGCCTCCAACCAGAACTCTTACCACTACTCGAACACGTAAGTTCTACATCTTCCAATCCTGGTCTGGAGCGGATGCTGAACGGCGTAGTGATGGATCCTACTATTACTCGAACCCCAATGGCAGCACCTATTACAACAACGGCTCAGGCGGCTCTACTTACACTCCTGCCGGCAGCGGCAGTGGCAGCAGCAGTGGCAGTGGAAAGAAATAATCGCGAAACCTGGTAGCTATGTATTCCCGACCACCACCATGTCTCGATACGGTGGAAATGGCGGGGTCCATACAATAGGAGTAGTAGTAACAAACACAAGTGATGCTGCTTTACACATTCGTCTTGTTCAGAGTAGTGTGATCGCCGACAAAACCCCATCCCAGTCCGTAGGACACGTTGCCTCAGATTAGATGTCCAAATGGAATAGTTTCCAGCCTCCGATCGTGAAGCAGCGTGGCCCTCACACTATCCCGGATCTTGCTTCCGCGCCGATTGGCTAGTTAGCAAGGAAGCATGCAGGAGGCCAACCAGATATGACCCCAGACAGGTCTAGGCCGGGATCGGATCGAAGAACACTCGAATCCCGTGTCTGACTGCCGAGAGCCATCAGTGGGAACAAGTGGGACAGCGCTGATATGCATTACCCAGTCCTCCGGGAAGGCCAGCGTTACTGCCGTTTGTTTTATTCGTATAAGAGAAGATTGAGCAGACAGGGCGGACATCCATGAGATACTGTTGGGCATCAATGGATTGATCCATCGCGGAAACAGTCACAACGGTGGACAAAAAAGATTGGGTTTGCTCTGTACTGTCACAGTGGTGCATCCGCAGCTCTATAAATAGAAACTGGAGCGTGTCCTTTAATAGGGGCGCCGGAACAAGTGCCACCATTCGATCATGGCGATGGTAGTGGTCAAAGGCATGACTCGACATGAAGGCCATATATTGATCGGTTCATGCGAGTTATGAATTGCCGAGAAGACACACGCGACACATCTCGCTCTAACCTTGAACGAACTGAGGCCCTGTTCGACTGACATCATGGCAAAGCAAGGATATATGTGGCATCTGGCTCTACCAGCAGACTTGGCGGAGCACTAAATCCTCAGCTTACGCTGCCTCCCTCTCACCAACGGCGCCCAGCAGCAGCCTGCAAGGATGCTCGCGGCTCGTGACAGGCACGAGCGTGTGCTGACGCGCCCAGTGCCGCCAAGGGCCCCTGACTGGGCTCCAAGTTAAAGTGGTTGCGTTGACTGACGGTCTCCAATATTTTTAATTATGCGGCCCTCCCGTCCCTCCAAGGAGATGCAGCTCGCACTGATATATATTCTCCCAGACGATCCTGCCTGTCGCCGACGGTTCTTGTTTGCTGGGTAATCGTCAAATCATCAACAGCAAGCGAAGAGAAGCACCAATTCACACACAACAACCGAACCGAACCGAACCGAACAGAAACATCACACGACAACCGAACGCAATAAATGGTGGTTCTCAGTCCGCTCCCGCGGGGCACCAAGATGAGTTTATTCGGTCGCCCGCCCATCGACGAGGCGCCCGAGACGTCGCAGGTCCTGATCCAGACATTATACGAGGCGCCGCAGACATGCCACTGCTGCCGCAACTGGTCCGTCGACCCGGGCGCGTCGCTCGAGGAGGAGAACAAGGCGCTGGTGGCGCGCATGCGCAAGAACTACAGCGACGGCCGCACCATGTCGCTCGACTCGGTGGTGATCCAGAACGCGAGCCTCAAGCAGACGGTGCGCGAGGTCTTCGAGGGCTACAAGGGCATGAAGCCGTCCATGAAGAAGTTTGTCTTCAAGGCGCCCTTCCACCCCTTCTACTTCCGCTGGGCGCGCTTCACCGAGATCCTCGAGCGCCAGCAGCGGTCGCCGCAGCCCGCCCCGGCCACGTACTCGCAGCTGCTGCACGACCTGCTGCTCGAGGAGCTGCAGAAGGACATGACCGAGGTCGAGCTGCTGCTGGCCAACAAGTCCATCACGTACCGGCGGCTGTGGGCCATCTTCCAGCCCGGGGAGCGCGCCGTCTCGACCAAGGACGGCGTGCACGAGTTCTTCGTCATCAACTACTGCGAGTACAAGGAGTCGCACATGGAGATCCACGCCAAGTACGTCGACTGGGACGGCACGAGCTTTGGGTACGCCAACAAGACCCTGCGTGTGGACAGGTTCGCCGGGACGAGGCACATCGCCGAGCTGGAGGTGTTTCCCGCCTCGTATCATCCCTTGAAGAAGGAGCTTGAGCTACAGGCCATCGCGCGCGGGAAGAAGTTCCAGACACTCGGCCTGGGGCACCAGCATAAGGCGTACGACGGGCTGGTGAAATACACCGTCGGTCGACGCAAAGTAACCAAGAGCGTATGTAATTTTTTTATTCCCTTCGTAAATTACATGCATATCCATCCGCTAACAACGTCGCCATGTAGATGAAGGGCCGTATTGTGCTAGACAAGGTGGCCTACATGCGAGAGACCCGAAAAGACACGGAGCTGGTGGCACTGACGGCTGGAGCAATCATGCCGGACATCGACGTCGGCGATTACGAGCACATTCGTCCCGAGCCAATCTCTGCCCAGACCATGATCAACGCGCTGGACGGGGATATTCAATTCGACAAGGTGGCGAGCAAGATTAAGGCGCGACGGAGCTTGAACAGAAAAAGTAGGCTCAACCAGAATCCGTGAGGCGCAGTTCGATACTTACATGAATCACTTAGGCCAGGATCTCACCGATGATCAGCTTATGCTATGCTCCGCAACCGTCCACGGATTCTTCCTGGAGCTGAACCGATGGGCGAAATTCGAGGTGGAAAGTGTCAAGGACATCGAATGGGACGACGAAGTGTTCTCGACTCTACTGCTCCCGGAGGGATACAAGACTCTGATGCTCTCGTTCGTCCACGGCCAGGAGGGTAACATGCCCCAGACAAAGGAAATAGAGCAGAGCAGGGGGCTGGGCCTGAACATCTTGCTGGCGGGGCGTCCGGGGACAGGCAAGAGTTTCACAGTCGAGGCGGTGGCAGAGCACACGCGCCGCCCGCTCTACAGGCTGAGTGCCGCAGAATTGGGTGAGGGCGCCAAGGCGGTCGAAGAGAGGCTTCAGATGGTGCTGGAGCTTTCGGAGAAATGGGACGCCATCCTGCTGCTGGAAGATTGCGATGGCTTTCTCCAAGACAGAGCCATCGTCGGCGTGGCACTTCGGTAAGTCTTGATCCCTCGTACTTCCCATCTGTCTCTGGGCAGTCGATTCTAACAGACTTTAGTCTCTTCGATTTCTACAAGGGCCTCATGTTCTTGACATCCAACCACCCAGAAGCCATCGACAGTGCGATGCAGACCCGAATCAATCTCAGACTCAACTACCCTGATTTGAATGCAAGTTTTAGGGAGAACATCTGGAAGCAGCTCATCTGGAGTCTCGGACAAGCCAACACCTTGTCAAATGACGACTTTGCGAAACTTCGAGCCCTCGAGATGAACGGCAGACAGATCAAGAACGTGGCAAAGTTTGCCGTGCTGTTCGCCACCCGAGAGAGGGAGGCCTTCTGCATGCAACATATCGAGCTGGTACTTGAGGCGACGCGTAACGGACTTTCGAGCTAGGGTTATCATCATCATGGTCTGGAGTTTGGGTAGCGTTTATTGAATGTCCACGAGCTTATGAACCGTTCAAGTCATGGGAGCGCGTTATGGGTTTCATTTTTTCTATATACCGATACCCTTTTATAATTTAATGATAGAGCAAACATCAAATCCCAAGCATGTTAATAGACAGCCGGCCTGAGCCTCCACCTTTCGATTCTCTCGAGCCCGAACATAGTACCCAGAGTCATGATAGTGAATTCATCCACCTCATCATACGTGAACTTGGTGAACAACGTCTCAACCTCTGATAGAAATATGAACCCAATATACCTCTCCGCACAGATCTTGTCCCAAGCAGGGGCCGACGGCGCATCCCACAACCCTTTGCGGGCGGTCATCATCATTCCCACCACAGAACAGCGGTGGCTCCGAGACTGCTGGATCATTTTGTACACTCCCTGAATGCCAGCTACAAGCGTCCACGTCCGATTCATACTCTCGGCGATGATCCACGACATCCAAGAGCCGTCGGTCGACGAGCCCACATCCGACGCCTCGTACACGCCGGTTGTCGACACATGTGTACCCGACGTGCCATTCAAATCACCCAGCCACAACGGATACCGAGCAAGAGGCTCCAGGTTGGCAGCCCATTCATACAGCGTCTGGATGTAGCCCTCGGCTACATGCCGCAGACGGAGATCGCCATCAAACAGCCCAATAATCTGGTAGATCAGCAAAGCCTGGACGCGACCGAGGGAATCAATCGAGTCGAGCGCAGGGGGGTCCTTTGGATGGCCCTCGACCAGATTCCTTACCCTGTCCTCAATTATCCGGTATATCATCTGCTCGTTCGCCTGATTCTTACGCAGGTAAGACGCCACGGAGGTGTACGCGTCCTGTATGCACACCGGCAGCCGTCGTTTATACAGCTGCGGATGGATGAATGGGTTGCTCCCTTTGTCCACCCAGCGGGCGAGCCACTCCTTGGCTATTGCCATATGATGCTTCATGTTATCAAATGCGGATGTATCCAGGTCCGCTTTCTGGATGGGGAGAAGCACGCCGAGGTCGCCTGGGATATTCTGGAACCACGAGGGCGGTGCCGAAGCGCGAAGATCCTGGCCATCGTGGATGGGGGAGTCCTGCAGGTCCAAGGCCAGGTAAAAGTTGGCGGGGTCGAATCTGTGCGGCTGAGGCAAGGTCGACACTACCGTGGAAGACCGTGATTCTCGCGATGCCGCCGCCGTCGCGCTGCTGTCGCTCCCAATGGTGATAGCATCCTCGTCATCGGGGATGAGGACGTACGAACTTGGTTTCGACGGAGGGTATATGCAGGGGACATTGAGGCGTCTGCAGCGGAGGCATTGCGGTTTCTGCCTTCCGCACTTGCGCTTAGCGACGGCGCAGGTTTTGCATGCTTTGGGACCTGAGGCTCTGCTCATGATGCGGGATGTTCATCAGAATCAGCAGGAATGTGCATGACAGACTGGCAAAGCATGATGATGGGTTGAATTTCTAAGCACTACCCTAGACCTGTGCGCGTAGATTGTGCCATACGCGTATGATGTAATTGAAGGGCATGATTAATCATTAGCTCTACTAGAGCGACGAGAAACTATTCGAAATTTCTGTAAATCAAAATGAAGAATCCTTTGAGAATACTAATCTCCAACGGATGTTATCATGTCAATGCTTCATATTGTCTTGGATCGCGAACGCTGAATGAAACATGAACACCACTTCACCCAAAACCGCAAATCAAATCAATTTCTTGCTGCTGAATAATATCAATGCCATGACCCACGTAAAGCAGTCCTTACATTGCCCGAAAATAGAGATTTGGCAGCAAGTCTCTTGGCTTTCGTGAGCCTCTGCAAATCCGCGGCTTGGCTCATCGCTCCTTCCACTTTTTTTCATCGCTCCTTCCGCACTCACTGCGCGTGGCTGTGGGGAGCACGTGCGGGCACTAACCGTTTCAGGATAGCCCCCGCATGCCTTCCAGGCGAAAGGGAAGGCACGACCTTCTTGGCGTGCGGCCTACGGACGGACAATCTGACAAAGGGATCTATCTGATCAATCTGTGCTGGATGCTCACGACATGGAGTTGAAGTTCCGCCCGAGAATTTGTCAGTTTCCAGGCGGTGAACATTATTAATTCAACTGGAATTTGTAGTGTAGATGCTTTGACGATGCCTATTTATCCTGCCTCCAGCCCGCAGTACCACGAGCCAGCTAACCAGACTTACATGCAAGACTTTGGCTTGGACTAGTATCCAAGTATTCAACTGCCCAACATGGAAAACTTCTCAACTTCAAAGCTATTCGGGTTAGCTCTATTCGCATCTCTTAGCTACCTGCCCTCTCAAGTCCAAGGCCAAGCAGCTCCGGTTGCACTGCTCAACACCATCTACAACTCGTCCTTCGCTCTCACTCCCGAGCAGATTTCCGCCGCAAACCTATCCGACGATCTCGTCTTCAGAGTCAACACGGTGATAAACGCTGACCGATCCGGTTTGGCCAACGGAGGACCTAGAGAGGACGACTTCTACACACTCCCTGCGATACACAACTCCTCTCAGTTGAAACCTGGCGAGGTGCTCAAGATCCAAGAAGCGGCGGACACGTTCCCGTTTGCCATTTCCCCTGGAACAACCCTGAGCCGTATCCTATATACAAGTGAAACTTTAAACGGCACCGTCGTCCCAGCAAGCGCATATGTCCTCTGGCCCTTTGCATCTCGGCAATTCCCCTCTGCGACCAATGGCTCGTTCGCCCCCGTCATCCTCTTTACGCACGGTACCTCGGGCTTCTTTGCCGATGCAGCCCCTTCTGCATATCGCTCTCTGCAGTACGGAGATATGATGCCATTTTGGCTCGCGCAGGCCGGCTACATAGTCGTAGCCCCTGATTACGCAGGTCTGGGAGTGGGTCAGTCCTGGGACGGCTCAGAGATCCCCCATCAATACTTTGTTGGGCCATCAGGTGCGCGTGACGCAATCTACAGTCTGCAGGCTGCTCGCACTGCGTTCAAGGGCCGCCTGGATGGGAAATTCGCCGTCATGGGACACAGCCAGGGCGGAGGCGTGGCATGGTCGACAGCCGAGTATGTAGGCCAGCTCAAAAAGCAGGCCGGGTCCCTCGCCAAGGAACTCAGCGACACTATCAAAGGCTACGTGGGCACGGTCGCCCTGGCGCCCGTCACCAAGGCCTGGGAGGTCGGGACATTTGCTACCATCATGGCCGGCATGCGCTTGGGCAGCATCTTCCCTGACTTCTCGCTCGATCAGTGGTTCACCCCGGCCGCCATCGCGAGAATTGACTTGATACGGGAGATCCAGGGAAGTTCCTCCGTTGCGCAGCAGCTATTTCTCAACTCCCCTGCTAGCGATTTCCTGAAGCCTGGGTGGTACAACGGGTCCTACCACGCACGCGCATTCGAGGGATTGGGGAATGCCGGGGGGAGGGATTTCGCTGGTCCGTTAATGGTCGTTCAGGGGACTCAGGACGTTTTTATCTCCCATGATATTACCTCAGCCAGCGTCGAAGCGACCTGCCAGATCAACCCAGACAACCACATTACTTACGTGGTCGTGGACGGGTACGGCCACACGCCGCTTGTCGGAGCTACTCGACTGACCTACATTCAGTGGCTGGAGGATCGATTCAGCGGCAAGGACGCCCAGAGCGGCTGTTCCCAGGTTGACCTGGAGGGGGTTGAAGGATCAGCGCAAGCCGAGAACTCGTTCCCTCAGTGGACCTCTGGACTCGAGCACTCCTACCTAAACGTTGGGTCCGTCTAAGTTGGCCTGCCCTTGCTTCTGGCAGCTTCGAGAGTGGGGAAGCATTCGTAATCCCCATTACTCGCTGCAAGTATGAGATGGGCGTTAGTTGTCTGAGATTTTTCCTTTTTCTTCGGAGGCACTCTCGCCGTGTGGCAGGATATGGTTATGATAATCAACGGTCTAGAATATGCAGGTGGAATCACAGTGATAGTCGGCTATCTGATATTGTCAAAGCATGGCGCTTGAGCCATATTGATGTCTGCGCTTTCGGACCAGGCGCCCCGTTGTAAGAACAAGATTATTCGGCAGATGAATAAAATTGCGCGAGCCACCCCTGTGCCTTGTCGATCTCATTTCTTAGCATTCGTGACCCTGTGAGCCTGGGGAGGATTAGAGCGATGGTTACTCGATGGCGTCAATTGACTGATTGTGTAGGATGGCGCTCGTCATCATCCTTCTTTGCTCCGGTCTGCCCATGTCCGTTCTTGGGACTGAAGCTGAAGAGAACGCCGAGATGCAAAACCGGTGTAACACTGATAATGTGGATTCGGAGACCGCGGAAAACTGCCCCTAGACTTGTCCATCACCGATACTGAGGACCCGTGAGATCATTATTGGTTGTGATATCGCGATATCCAGCCTCGTACTACAACGTGTGCACGTTGGCCCCTTGCAAGCTTCGAGAGCTGCGCGCGAGCCAAACAAACCTCGTTGGGCGTATTCATGAAACCGTCTCGCTGTAGTTCTGAAACAAGACCTCCATGTGGGCTGAGGTCTCGAAGGCATACCTCTGTCTGAAGGCACCATCGCCAAAGAATTTTACGAAATGGGGCCTAAAACATGTTTTTTAGCTGGACGCGCAATCGATGTCGATCGGCCCACATTGACGCGGCTTCATCGTTGCCAGAACTCTCACAGTTGATGTTTGACAGGAACCCCTTATTCAGGTGGGCTCAACCTCCAGGAGTGGTGCCGGAGCCGCTGATTCGCTGCGGAGGAGTTGTGAGTGTTTCAAGCCCCAGGCCTCCTGAAATTTAGTCCCAAACTGCTTCACGGAGCTTTCGCGACCGAAGGGGAACAAGCATCTCTAGCCCTGGTCCGTTGTCTGGAGATAGTGGAGCGGTTCGGGCCCGGCGCCAGAAGCCAAGCCGGGATAAGCACTTCGTTTAGCCAAGCTTTAGGGGTTCTTGATCTGTGTATAAAGATCAGAGTCTTGGCTTCGATCTTCTTGGACTTGGCCTCACTCTCATCCTCATCACACTCTCTTTGTTTCGCAAGTCGAACATTCTTTCCACTCACCTTCTTTCTTTTCCACCAACTTCGATAGATTCGAAAACCGTCATCATGGGCCGGACCCAAGCTTACCTTATTGCTCTGCTCTTTGCCTCGGGCAGCTGGGCTGCCCCCCAAGGAAAGAGATCTGTCGACAAATACGAGAATGATGACGACCAACCCTTTGACCTTCCTTCAGGCTCATTTGCCTTCCCCAGCGGAGGAGACTGGCCAACTCCCACTGGCGGTTTCCCCGGCGGCGGAGACTGGCCAACTCCCACTGGCGGTTTCCCCGGCGGTGGTGACTGGCCAACCCCTACCGGTGGTTTCCCTGGTGGTGGTGAGGGCGGTGACTGGCCTACTCCCTCTGGCTTCCCCGGTGGTGGTTTCCCAAGCGGCTCTGGATTCCCCGGCGGTGGTGACTTCCCTACCCCCACTGGTGGATTCGGCAGCTTCCCAACTGGCGGCTCCGACGACTCTGAGGAGTACTCCCGCCGTCAGGAGGACGACTACGAGGGCGGTGATGAGGGCGAGTTCCCTACCCCCTCCGGCGGTTTCGGTGGCGAGCGTCCTACTCGCACTGGCAGCTTCGGCGGCAGCCGTCCTACTCGCACTCCTGGCCACGGCCACCACAGTGGACGTCCTACTGGTACTCCCACCGGTGGCTTCGGCGGTAGCTTCCCTACTGGCTCTCCCGATGACAGCGAATCCGGCGGCAACAACGCTGGTGACGACGAGTCTGACGGTGACGACTACGAGGGTGGTGACGACGACGAGTCTGGTGGTGATGACGAGTCTGGCGAGTGGCCTACCCCTACCGGCGACTTCGGTGGTGAGCGTCCTACCGGCACTGGCAGCTTCGGCGGTAGCCGCCCAACTCGTACTCCTGGAGCTGGCCACGGTCACCACAGTGGACGTCCTACTGGTACTCCCACTGGCGGCTTCGGCGGCGGCCGTCCCACCGGCACTCCCGGCGCTGGCCACGGTGGCGATGACGATGGTGAGCGCCCTACTGGCACCTTCGGCGGTGACTGGCCCACTGGTACTCCTGAGGGCGGCGATGGTAGCTTCCCTACCGAGGCTCCCACCGGCGGCTCCGGCGACGACTTCACGAGCGGCTTCGTCACCCTCACCCGCACCGCTTAGAGTAATCACCAGGCACGTTGGCAATCGGAGTACCGGTGAACACTCCGCCAATGAAAAGTTACTTTCTGGGTCACCGACTGTCCCTCCTTTCATCCAGAGGCATTCGTTAAAATACGGAGGATCGAGGATCTCGGGATATGGATTTGGTGTCTTTTAATACTGTGGTTGAGAGAGAGCTTGCTTCGATGGGCACCGGAGTGTGTTTTATCGAGCAAGGTGTATCTTCGACATTTTGTTTCCTTATATGTAGAAGAAAATCTGTTTTGATAGATCAATATGAACCCAAGACAGGCCTACACACATTTCTATTCGCGCATTGAAACTTGTGAAGATTTAATCAGGAATGCTTGTTCAGTTTCCTACAAGGCTTGTATAATATATTGATTGACTTCTTAGGGTAGAACATCCACAATCCCTTATCTTAATAGAGGGCTACTTAAGCGAAACTGCTGCTGATCACCCAGCTAACGTCGTCATTGAACAATGTGACACTATCCCATGTGTGGACACCGTCGTTGCTTGCGATGTAGCCTGCGTTGCTGTAGTGGCGGATATAGCGAGTCGGGTAGTTCCAAGATCGGATTGAGCTGCCCTGCCCGCTGATACCGCTCTGCGGGCAGAAGGTGGCATCTTCTTTGAACTGTTTCGAGTTGTCGTTGGCGTTGACATAAAGGGTGAAATCGGAGTGGCGGATGTAACTGCCGGGGGTGTCTACTGACTCGAATGAGAAGCAGGCGCTATTTCCCAGACCCGCACGGACTCTCCAACTGGCTTGTTGTTTCAGAGTTGTTGCACTGGAAGATGTGACAACCTGAGTGTTGACGGCAGTGCCGGTATGGGCGAGGTATCGTGTGTTACTTGAGGAGGTGGTGGCACGCAATGAGATGGAGGAACCGGCAGTCAGGGCAGTGCCGCTTGTCAAAGAGGTCGTGGCGTACTTGGCAGCGACAATATTTGCCTGGACGGAGTTCTCAGTGGCATCGGAGGGATAGCCCGAGGTCATCACGCCCTCGTACCAGGTGCCTTGGGCGCTCACGCTGTTGTCACCGCCAATTCCGAGGATGATGGCGCCTTCTTTGCTCATGGGGTTATAGCCCGAAGCAGTTGGTCGGATGCCGCTGTAATACGTGGATAGTGACCCTGACGCAGCGTTCCCGCCACGGAGTGCCCACAGGTTCGGCCCTCCCTTGACCACAGCGGTGAAGAATCTCGAGGTGATGGATGGGTCACCAGAGTTATAACCTGATGATACACCTGAGAACAAGCCGTTTTCCAAATCAGCCATTAGCCATGGGCCGTTGCCGGAGCCACTGCCCCAAGCCGTGCTGGTTCCGACTAGTAAGAGTTAGCATGATCATAGAAGTGAATGAAAAGGGGGAATCATACAATAGATTGCTTCCATGTGCCCATTCCCAGTGTCTTTACTGCTGGTCTCGGCATTGCCATAGTCGAAGCAGCATCCAGAGTTGTAGTGGGTGCCGTCCAAGACCGAGTACATACCCTCGGCGGCATCCCCGGTGGCAATGCCATTGGCGTTGTTGTTCCTGTACCCGGTTCCGGGAGAAACGAAAACGCCATATGCCTTCTGGCCGTTGAGAGTGACGGGTGCGCCAGTCGCGCTGGCGAGGTTGTCATAGCCATTGGCCTCTGGGCCCTGGAAGCCTCCGGGGGGCGCCTGGGTCAGATGATTGCCGCGGCCGGATTGATCATAGATAATGGTGATCAAGCAGGTAGTCCCGGAACAGAAACTGTCCTGAGTAGCAGCGTTGGCGACTCCTCCAGCGGACAGAGGTGCAACATTAGTCGTGGTGCTGTCGGAGCCCCGTTTCACTTGATAGAGGGCACCAGTATAGGAACTATACAAGGCACGGGTAGTGCTATGTGCTGCCACGCAAGGCGTGCCACCAGAGGCGTAGATATCACATGGTCCGGCGGAAACAAGCGGGACGACGCCTGCGGCAATGAGGCCGAGCGCGATGTTGGAGGACAGTGAGGGCATGTTGAAAGGACGATGGATTTTCACGAGGCTGTTTGGATAATCACTCAACGTTGCTATACCGGGAATTGCTCTTATATATAATTCTACGTGACTTCTGATCTCTTCTGATATATTCCTGTTGCTACAATGGCTAGGCTAATGGGTATTTCCATAAGATGCGATTGGTACGGATCAGTTATATATAAAGAATTCCACCGAACTACCGACTAGATGCCGCATTTGCCGGGCTGCCCCAATGATGTTGCAGAATGGGGTATCATGAAATGCATCAGGAAATATAGCCGAGGGATCACGAGTCCCGTCATCGCCTAGCGTCGCTCTCGGACGCTTAGCCTCCGCACTGTGATCTGTATTGGGCTGTTGGAGCTGGATAAATGCAGTCTCTGATCAATATAAGCCGATTTAGAATCATTCCACTCAATATTGATCTATGAGTTTTGTGAGTGAGACAGTGGAGGGAATGTCGTACTCAGCTATGTCATTGGTGGGATGGAGGCCGTATGTCACCGGGTATGCTGTAGATCCGGACCAGCACGGCAAGCCTGAGTGTCATCAGCTCGTACTGCGAGCCTGATCGACATTCTGATTGAAGCGGTTGGAATGGGGGAGCTTAGTCTGGTCAACAACTGCCCTGACTAGCTTAATCGACTTGCCTAATGAAATAGTATTTCAAAAATCTCGGCAAACAATATCCATATAAAAATGCGGATGAGCATGATCTGTGATATCGTTTCATTTAACTACGCGGCATAGCAAGAGAGCAGCTCAGGACCTGGGTGCCTATAGGGGAAGTCACAAGGAAGGAAGATACTGGAGCATCCGTTGGCAACAGATGGTTTAGCTCTTATCCCGTGAGTAACCTGGATAGGTAATGGGGATATAGAGGCTTGTTAAAGAAACTTATTGATGTGCGTAAACTGGCACATTTCCGAGGGCTGTGTACACACACACATTCAAACCTCATCTCCAAAACTATTGTGGCATGCTACATGATTTGGTGCGGCTGGCCGCTTGCATTTTCAACTCTTGAAGTTATAGTGTGGTGTTGTGTTGTCCCCTGTGCAATACACAACAAATCGGGCCGCTATGGAACGCCCGGGGGAGCTTGCTCGGTTATCGCCTGACTGGACTTGGTATGTCGTCCTTCCAGCGGTCATTGGTATACTCGATGCAACATGAGACTCCTCTAATGAATTTTTGTTCGTTGAACTTCTTGATAAGTTCGCAAGGTACAAGGTCTCCCGTCTCAGTGGGCGACGAATAGAAACTACCAGCGAGGTTTATTATATTGCCGTATATCTGCTAGGGAATTCTGTATTTGGTCTACCGCTGCCGTATTTTCTGATCTACCTGGCTGGGTTGACGGTACAAGTCTCGCGGGTTTTCAATGAAGGCCCCCAAAAGGAACCTCACTTATTCCGACACCATTGGAACAGCCCATAGCATGGCAAATAGAGTAAACGGCCAAAGTCAACTGCTAGGAAATCGAGGTCTGTCGTTCCACGTCATCGGCCGAACGATAGACGGTATTGGCTCGGCTAATGAGGCATTGCTGCTAGCTTCTGTCTTCAGTCGACTCGACTCTGATTTGCGCGTTTCGCTATGACCGATCATGGTACAAGGAGTCGCCAAGGTCGTCACCAGTTGAGGCGATGCCTGTTGGATCTTAGTTTGGTAGTCAGCGGTGACTACATACTGTAGCACCGGACAAAACGTCCATTGGCCTTGCTCGTTTGTAAGAAGAACCTTGCCAACCAAAGCTTGGGTTTGCGCTTCTGCCTCGGCAGGATCCAGCATCGCTTGATTGTTGATAGAGTCCTTCATTCTGTCACCCTTGCTTTTACACAGCAGCACCCAAAATGGCAAAGGAAGGAAATTACTACACTTCCAAAGCCATCTTTGAAGGTTATTACTATTCTATACGAAATCAGGAACGAGCTGATTCGAAATTTCAGTATTTATTGGAGATTGATCTTAGAAATGAAGTACATCAAGGGAGTTGATTCTAACCTTAGGTTAGAGTTGCAAGTAATTCCCAGGATACGGACCTTTCTATTCTTCCGTATTTCCATTTACCGAATCTATAACTTCATTCATTTACAGTCGCCTACCGAGTGACAATAGAGACTCAGCCATATAGAGGTTGTGATCTATCAATATGCCTGATTGCTATGCTCTTGGGACCGGATTCAGCAAAATGGGATTAGTAGCGATTTACCAGCCGCGCCGGTATTCAAGAAGATACGCTACAATAAAAAAAGGTGAAGTATACATGTGCTGGCCTGAACTGACTCTGGGGTCGCGTGGCGGCAAGTTTTGCAACTATCTACGTACTAAGTCTTCTTGATAAGGCTGACCGCTCAACGAGACGTAAGAGAGTGATGATATCATAAAAGATATAGCTCCAATGCCTCGTGTGTAAAAATCGCCTGGTCCCCTTCACAGGCAAAGTTCTCTATTACTACCTTTGGCGCCCCGGGTGTAATCAAGGGTCGAAGTATCTTACTCGCAGTTCAACCTCGTTGAAGCACTGAACGAGATCTTCCCTCTGGCCCGGTAATGGTGTCATTCGCGTGTAAGATTGGGATATGTCTCAACAGATGATCTGCGTAGAGATAGAGGCGACGGCTGGTCGGGTGAATAGCCGGGATACATGACGCATTCTGTAACCTTGAAGCCACGAGTCAGCCAGAGTGACCGAGGACATTTGCCAGCGTGCTGTTCAAACTACACTGTTGACCAACGCACTTCCAATCCCGCAAAGCTCAACAGCAGCTGGATCGCCATTGTGGCACGGCTAGAGGATGATCACTGGGCATTTCATACAATCAATGACCTTATTATTCCTGCTAGCCTTAGGATACAATGACAGATTAACGCCACGCAAAGCTGATCTGTCATAAACTTTATAAATATTGAGACTAAAACCTTAGCCGCCAAGCCAAAGTTAGTTTTCATCAAGCGCTGGTTCAACGATGTGCGGGGTTCAGCTCACATTCCAGGACAAAACGTCACGGGTGGTAAGATGATTTCCCTCAGATGTAATCTCATATGCATTCAGTGTCTTACCATGCCGGGCCTGGCATCTTCCATTTCTGTTTTTTACTTTGTGTCCAAACCCTCTCATCGGTAAATCATATGTAAAATAGTGGTGCATGATGCAGATCTTTGGCTTCGAAAAGGCCGAGGGAAGTTTGCCACCCGCATTTCACCGTCGAGTGACGATATAGTAAAACCTAGGTGCCTTCATTCCGCCGAACATTTCATTCTATCATATGATAGGGATTGATTTATCCACGTGTTGTGAATCACTGTCAGAAGATCACTTCATTGGTGTGTCCTGGAGTCTCGACCGCTGATGGATGCATATGAGGCATGCTATGGCTGAAGCTGAATCATTGAAGGTTTGAAGCAAATCCAGGCCCATCGAGAAATTCCAGATTCACCCTAATGAAATTTTTCCTAAGACGATAGAAGGACTAGAGCTCTCGTGGGCTATATAAGACACGCTTTGCGTCCTTTCTTATCCCTATCCTAACTTTTCAACCCAACCTACACTGAAGCAATCAAACCCAACTCTACATCATTCACATCTTCCATAATTACCACGGATTCAAACAAAGAAACAGATTGGTGTGGGACTATTAACGACCCTCGCCAAATTTCATCGTCTAGACCATTATCATCACATCCACCCCCGGAGGACAGAGAACTCATTCAGCCCATTATGCCGAGCACTAGTCTCCCTTCTGATAAGAATCTGTCTATCAGTGACCGGCGAGATGCTGCCCTCAAACTCATTGGGCAGTTGTTCCCCGACAAAAGTCTTGAAGTCCTTGACCCACAAACCGTTCTCAAGACCTACAAAAAACCCTCCACCAACAACAGCACCACGGGCAACGGCAATCTTCAGGCCAAATATACCTGCGTGACTGAGAAGTTTGACACCAGCTCTGTGGCCTCCATTTTGGTTGGCCTGTTTACGGAGATCCCACGTTGGAAGTATGGAAGTGTCGTCAACTTTGCCACTTATGCCAACGGCTACCCCAGCCCAGACGACGCCAAGTATGCAGCCGTCAGCTTGTGGGAGGCGGCGGAACAGTGGAACAGCTACAACTTGGGCGTGACCTTCAAGTGGGTGAACAACCTCAAGCAAGCCGCATTCGTCCTCGAATACGGTGGTGAGAAGGGCGGTGTTATGGCATCGGCCTTTTTCCCCAACAACACCCAGCCATTGAACACCATGTCTGTCTACAGTTTCTCTTTCACGGACAAGAAGAATAAAGAGACGCTCAAGAACACATTCCTGCATGAACTTGGCCACACCCTGGGCCTACGCCATGAGTTTGCCTTGGACCCCCTCCGTTATGAGGGAGGGGCACAGGTCTATGGAACCCGAAACCCCCTGTCCGTGATGAGCTACAACTTGCCTCCGCAGGTGCAGAAGAGCGATATTGAAGATATCAAGTCGTTCTATAAGCTCCCAGCAGAGGTTACGCTGCCAGCAGATAACAAGACGCCTTCTACGCAGAAGACAATGATCATCAAGGATTATACTCCCGCTTGATCGAAAGACCTACCGTGAACGCGACTGATGGAGGGCGGGGTGTTCCATATCAGCTACTGGAACTGAATGAGGCTACCACCCCACTCCGGGTTTGTGTTTCATGCTGGGAGGCATGGCCCAATGTCCAGAAGACGTGTTAATTTCTGCTTGGCAAATATTGCATGACTACTGAGTGCTCTTGGACTAAAACATCAGAAAGGAGGCGGGAAAAAATACATCTACGGGGAAGTAAGCCGTTGCCAGTGGCCTCTCACGTTATGATTTGCTAGTTCAATACCAAAAATAGAAAAGAAGGGGGGACAAAAAAGAGGTAGGGCAAGGGCAATTAGTTTCTTACTCTCCTATGATTTGATTGTTTTAGTTTTTGTGATTCAAATAGGTATATAATAATTGATTGCTGATGCTTTGATATTGCACGTTCTTAAAAAAGTGATGTATGGATATTCCAAGAACGATTAGTCGAAGGTTGAAATTTACAGCTCTCTGTTGAAATTTACAGCTCTCTGCAAAAGAAACGCCGAGAGATGGCTTCTCTGAGATGTCTACCTAGAACAACACCATTACGTAGTACGTGAACCGTAGGGGCGTTAAAATCATTGTCCCCTAGCTGCCGTCTTGCCCGAAGGGGAGATTCCACGTGTAGCCTTGTTGATCTTTGAATAGGGCGGGCTATTTTGAACTGTCGGCGCCTTGAATTTGTTATCTGTCAATTCGCTAATAGCAAAGCTTATTCATTGGCAAAGCCACCCAAAGGTTTATTCAGTCTTTCCCTCGTGCTGCCGTAATTTTTAAACAAGACATACGGCTTAGATGAAAAGCTAGTGGTCTTTGTACAAAAAGACGGAATTCTCGCCATATGTCTTTGTCACTTATAGTACTGGAAGTAAGATTGCCATCCACGAGCAAGGGGGTTGTGAGGAAATGTGTTTATATAGTCAAGAGATATATGTAGGCTTGCATTTGACGCGCTTAATTATCTATCTCCATTCCCCCTCTCCTCGCCAATTCTATATTCATTGCCAATGTAGGTAATGTAAATAATCATCTTGATTTTTAGTTTCTATGACCTAGCTGGAGATTATAGTAAGTATTCTGACCATTAAGTTCATTTTATGAGTCAGTGCAACGCATGGTACTTGCAAATGAAAATCATACCTTCTCAGGAGCCTATAATACGTATTGTCTTGCATCATGTATGATTTAATGCCAAGGACTCAGCCCACGTTACATCCTTCTCCAAACTGAAGGGATCTTCCAAGTGTGGCTGGTGCTCATTTCAGCCTCACTTGGGTAGCACCTCTAAAATTAATACTGCACAGCCCTTCTGCAGTGAGACGAAGTGGCAATAAAGCATATTCGTAAGCTCATGCGGCTGGCTCCTAGTTCCCGGCTGTAGCTATTCCTCTTGGATTTAATGTATTCCTGCTCGTCTTGCTCGAAAGAAAAACCAAATCAGACATGGTGGTTTCTTTGTGATACCCAAACACGCATTCACTATGTCCCCGACCGAACACCCCACAACCGATGCTGATACGCACAAGGGTGGCCATCTCCTGTTCCCGCAACCGGGGGATGGGAAGCTTATCCCCCTGGTCATCCAGAGCTTCCAGCAGCCTTCTCTACTGCCTGAGAATGTGCCATGGACTCGGCTAGGGGAGCCCTTCTCCAAGGTCGGCACTATGGAGGCCATTTGGTATTGGGTTTTATCTCCGATACTCGTAAAGGGGAGCAATGAGGTGGATATCTGGCCCAAGTCCTTATTCTTCTTGGTTTTGAGGTTTCTCGCGGCAGCGCCTCTATGTGCTGTTATGGTTTGTAGTCCTGGTCCCATTATAACTTGGCAATGGTCAGCTTAACTGACGGCCGGAGGTTAGATACCTAATGCTCTCGCCTCAATTGTATCGAGGATTAGAAATATCAAGAGCAAATCGCCAGAACAGATTGAGACGCAATGTCAATATCCGAAGTTGCCAACACCGCCGCCGCCGCACTCATCATCATCATCATCATCGTCATCTTTAGAGGCCCGCGAGGCACCACCTTTATCAAGTCATCCCTCCTCAACCAACATCCGACTTGGGGGCCAGCTAGCACCACACAGGCAAGACCAGGCAATTGTCAGCAATGTATCATCCTCTTCCTCCAGATTTCAGTCAAGCGGGCTGTCCTTGGGGCCAAGGTACTTATGCTTCATCACCGATCCGGAAAAGAGACAGTACAGCACGATGAAGGTATCCGATTATTGTCAGCAACATGGCGATCAGGCGGATACAGAGTTTGTCTTTGTGTCGTATACCCGCCTGCAGTTTCGTGTTGTCACCGATGCCGAGATTGACGAGTGGAAGAACTACCCCAATGAGGAGACGAGAGAAGCAAATAGGATGTTGGCTCACCGAGATCGCGAAACACTCATTCAATGGGGCATCGACGCTGCCTTGGCTGCTGGCAAACGCGCCTTTTGGCTCGATTTCGAATGTGTGCGCGACTCGGATGGCGTTGCAAAATCCAGTAGTAAAAGCGAGGATGTCTATCGAATCTGCGACATTGTTCGGGCCGCGCACTCGATGATTATTGCTATCGGCCCTCCATCAGCCGAGAAAGTCGCGAGTATTCTCAATGGCGATGAAAATGTTCCCTCGGGTAACACCGAGCATGCCACCAAATGGTTGCGCCAATGGGGCTCACGATTGTGGACATTGCCTGAACTCCTCCTCTGCCCGAGTGAATATCGCATCAAGCTTTATATGGCCGGTGACACGAATGAGCCCAAATCTCTAGCGAAGCGGAACTTTGCTGAGAGAGCCTGGGATGACGCCGAGTCTGTTAAAGAGTTAGTGAACCACTATGAAGGCTCAGCTATTCTCCCCCCGACGCAGCTTATTAGCATTGCTCTAGAGTGCTTCGCTCGGCGGAAGACAGATCAGTTCAGCCAGGGAGACATTGCCTATGCTGTCATGGGGCTCTTTCCAGACAGCCAGAGACCGATGGTGGATGAGAATGACTCCGGATTTCGAGCCTTTGCCCGTCTCGCCTTAGCCGTGGAGGGCAGCAGCCTCCTCAGTCGTTTATTGTGCGTCGCACCCGCACGAACCGGAGCTCAGTGGTCAGATGCGACAGACTACTGGGGCGTGAAACTAAAGGACATCCGTCCCTGCTGCGATACTGTCGACGTTGCTGGGTCAAACGCCGTTGAGGTTCAAAACATCCACGCTACGCCTATTTGCTGGGATAAGATGGAAAGGTCTACCTTTCAGGAAAGGCTGCCGATTTTCCCAGAGATTATATTCGTCATTTTACTCTTCTTTCCGTTGTTAACATGGTATCGGATTGTCTACTTACTCGTCTCTGCCGTTGAACGTAGCCAAGCACTTCAAGCTGATGTTCCCCGATTCCTTGTTCAGCTATTTTTCATCCAAGCGATTTTGACACCAGTAACCGTGCCTGCTTTCCTTCTTTACGAATGGAAAATCAGACGCAAAGGGCTGAAAAGCGCCCGGCTGGTCGGGATAGAAGGTGTTTTGGATTGCGCAACCGCTGAGCGACACATCTACGGCTATCACTGTGGAAGACTCGCAGAGATTCCATCAACGACGACTTCCGACTCCGAAACTGCCGTTTATGAGTCTGGTCCTGCTGAATCCCCGCGCAAGTTCACCTTCACGTTAATAGACATGTGTGCGCAAACTCTCAGGGTGATAAACTGTGCCGCTCCTCCCGTTGCGATGATGCTCTGTGGCGAAGATGCTGCCGGGCACCGGGCGATCCTCTGCTCCTACAACCATGAGACCGATGTCTATCATCGTGAGGGGACGCTGCGGGTGGATGAATGTGTTCGCCAGCAAATGAAGGCAGCCAGATCGGTTAATCTCTCTCTTGAGCCATTCCCCTTGAAACTTACCGAGGCACCTCATGATGAAGATGCAATCAAGTCAAGTTTGGATGGTCAGGCTTCTACAAGAAGCAGAGAGTGGAAGCCGGAGCTGGTATTTTTCATTATGCAATGTGTAAGTTTTACCCTACGCAAGACGGGCAAATCACCCGATGATTCAGCCATTAACGGAGACACCTAGATTTCTTTTTCTCAATACGAAAGCATACAGGTCTCCGAAGTTGCTGAGGGGGCCCCTTATGTCTGGTTCTTCTTCGGCTTCATTCTTGCTCAGCCACTTGTATTTTTTCTCCTTCATAAGCGCCTTTTATCAAGGGCCGTTGCCCCCGTGGTATATTTGCAAGGTATATACACGCGACGCTTTACCAATCATCAACACTGTCTCCATCGTGTTGTCTTCTAACATTGCCTTTTAGCTGCTCTCCGATCCTTGTTCATGGCTAAGACGATGGAGTATGAAACAACCTGTATTGTAACATTCCAAGGTATCGCAGTTGGGCTCTTTCTCCCATACATGATTCTTCATACAATATCATGGCACTCGATCGGGGAGACTGTTTTTCGATTGCTGTTTTATACTTCGACGGTTACGCTCATGGACACGACCCAGCCAAAAGCTGATGGTGCCTTTGTCGTATCCATCTTTGCTCTCTTCAGCACCACGCTGTTCGATTTGCCCGAAGTAAAACTATGGACCAACAGTTTCGAGGGTGTGTCACTGGCTCGCCGTTCAGCTCGGCACAAATTCTCCACCGAGGGGAGCGACCAAAGCCCCCGTTGGGCACGCCACGACGTGAGTTCCTCTACTCTCTTGTTTCCCCTCGTATGGTACTCTGAAAGAGCACTTTTTGGCTGTACTTGCGATGCTAATTAAATGCTGGCTACAAGCTACCGCGGAGTACCACGATAGTCACTCTACTTTTCTTTATCATGGCTACAGTCTTGAACAGTACTGTCTCTGGGGTTTTGATCAATAGATATCACTTGTTCCTTGATCCGAACAGCGACTTGACCCTTCCCTGGCTCCTTCGCGAACCGGAAAACAGGCTTATCATTTTTTACACTCTCCTTATGTTCTTTATCACTATTATACTGTGGCTGTATCCGCATTTCATCCGTGAGTACCTAGTCATTCATGAGACAGCCTTGTTCAGGAACTCTATTGACCAAAGCATGATGTGATTTTGAGGATTAGAAATCGTCACGTTGAGCTGTAGTACGATCAGCATAGTTGGTTTGTACGGTTACTCCATACTTGACCGCAGAGCTTTTCTTTGGCCTGCCATGGTATCTGCCCAGCTACTTGTGTTACCCCGTAAGTTCCCCGAGATCGCTACCACCGATTTCTGAACATGGCGGACTGACAAAAGGCTTGAAAACATTAGTCTTGTGGATCTGGATCGTTCATCACACGACTTCGTGGAAGGGCTTCATCACCTATCTTACACTATCGCTCGCCGGATGGGGCTGCGGGAAGCTTATCATCGAGATCACTGGTCAGCCTGACAACCAGCAAGTACTCATCTTTGCCGTGATACAGACATGTCTGCTAGGCTGTGTGTGGGTGCTAGATGTCATTCGAGAGCGGCGAGTCGCCCAAGCATCACGGCGGACACTGGTTCGATCAGAGTACCAAGACAACGCGGCAGAAGCTGCTTGGGAAATAAACGAGGGTGTGGTACATACTGATGCCAGCCAGGGGCTCGAGGAATTGAAAGCGAAGAAGTGGCCGATAATTTGCTGGTATAGCCTATTGCTGATACCACAGATGTTGACGCTACTGTTTGTGCATATTCTTTACACATCTTATGTTGCATCATCTACACTCGAACCCCTGTAAGGTTGCTGGAGGAATACCTTCGTAGCGGGAGCAGATTGATATAATTAGCAACAAAGACACATGATACGATGACTCAATAAAATGATGTACCCTTCATAGTGTGTGTACCAACTTTCTAAGGTGGCACGTAGGCATGGCTGCTTGTTATGGATTATTGGCCGCTAATAGAATAATAGCTTTGGGAAGGTGATATATAAACAACAAGGGAGATAAGGGAAAAGAATAACCGGAGGGTCCATTAACAAAAATCGAAAAAGATCAAGATAAAGACAAAGTTCGCTGAGGACGGCAAGGTAGATATCCGGTACTTTGTAAGTGGTAGACTTCGTGTTCGTTGTTCTTGGATGCCGGGTTTGGCCTCTTCCACCGACATTCTTCATTTTGTACTCGAACTCTCATTAACACAGTGGTAGACACTACACTTCATGTTGAATTTCTTTGTTAGCAAGCTTGTGTGGGAACCATCAACTCCCTGAACGTTCCCTCTCACATCTCGGGCTCAACCGCTGTGCACCTGCTTTGCACCTGCTTTGCACCAGCTTTGCAACCACCGGTTCTTACCTATATCAACTGTATCTTTAACGCAAGGGAGATGGCGTTGTACCTTCTGACAACACTCTGTTAATGTTAATTATGAGCTAGCTGAAAAGGATCGGCAATTGATGCCCGAAATGTAAAACACAATTGAGATCGTCTAGCTTATTGACCCGTCATCTTCTGAGAATACTGCCCTCTGATTGGACACGCTCAACCATAGTTTCGATTGCCTTTTCGCCAGCATCCACGGTATTTAGGTCTGGTGTATCGGAGTGCTTGACTCCATCGAACAGCACATCGATTTCCTCCAGAGTCTTCCCCCTAGTCTCCACCCAGAAGGAGTAAACAAAGACAAAGAAAGCAATATTCCAGCTAGCGTTAATGATATACGTCTTCCACCAGAGTAATTTGAACATGAGTGGGAAGGCCATAGTCACAAAAATTACCACAAGTTTTGGCGAGGACTGTGAACAGCCCATGACTATGGCTCGAAGATCATTTGAGAGCACCTCAGGGGGGTAGATGTTTGTCAAAGGAGTCAGGCCAAAGGAGTAGGAGCCCAGGTAGAGGAAAGTTGCAGCCACAGTGCCGTAGACGCCGGATTGGCTGCTTCCGGAGCTATAGAGAGAAGCGAGTTCTTCTAAGGCCAGAACGTTACAACGACCAGGCGATTATTGGCCTGAATGCTCAGAAACCAACAACCGGAGGAACTAGAAGCGCGGTAGTGAAACCATACTACATCACCACTCCATAAGAGTTGCTCAGCCAACTGGCGCTCGAGGCTAATTTCTCGCTCAAGATTTCGTTCCCTCAGGGAATTCTGACCAACCTGCACAGTTCATGTAGTTTGTGTCCCAGTCAGAAATTGAAATGACTATTGTAATCAAAAAGAGAACTAGAGGTGGCATTTTATCTTAGGTAATTCTTGGGATTGCTCTTGTGAGTGTAGAAATAGATGATGAGGAATGAACACGCTCAGTCAGGTAGGGAGTATGTCACATCACAGCAAATTGTCAATGCAACAAATAGTTTTTAACATTCCACCTCTATAAACTACTCTATAAACTACCAAACCAAAAATATTTCGCGACCAGCACTGTGTTTATATAAGAACAAGAATGTATGTTTTGAAGATTTATCTCCAAGCGTCTCTCACCGTCGCCATCTTAGTTACGTTTGTCTCCTTTCAACTTTTGGCCATCCGACTTTTATTTCTAATTCTTTTGCCATACTTGAAGAATAAGAATGGGAATGGCACCATGACCAAAGTGAGAAATGCCAATAACGAGGATGCCCACTGGAATCCAAGAGCAAGGTACATTTCGTTCCCGAAAAGGGGGAATGTGGCTATTCATCTATTAGCACATTCTAGTACGAGTGTGATCCAGAGGCTGCCACGGGAACATACCGGCGAATACACAACGTACGCAGGTGTTGGCTGCCAATGCGCTGGCGGCGTAGTCTGGGTATGCATCAACCTTGTGGTAGTCAGTAAGATTGAATGAAGGCAGAATCTGGTTCAGTGAGAGCTTACCAAGAATGCAAATATACCCGTAAACACAAGGATGTTCCTATTCATCAGAGGTTAGCCACGTTGCCCGTTTTCAACCCGTGCTTGAATGCTTCAAGCAAAACTGGTTTCATCCGCAGGACTCACCCCGTGCCAAAAATAGCTGACCCAATAATCGGAACTATCCAATGTATCGAAGGATACGTCGTCCAAGCAAACATGAACAGACCAAGTGGGACGAGTAGAGACCCAAAGATGGCCGGAGGCAGCCGGAATTCTGGTTCCCCGTCACTGGGCTTCCCAGTACTTTCTACAAGTTTGGTCACATAATGGAGACGAATTCGAGACCATACAGGGTCAGTGAGAACTCCGATGATGAGCCCAACACCTATACCTAAAAAGGAGAGTCCGACCTGCCAAAGGTTGAACTGATGGTGAGTACGAAAGATAAGAGGGAAGGCAACAAAGAACAAATAGAGGATTCCAAGAAGAAGTGCTGACAATATGCAAAGACTGAGGCACATGGGCTCAAAAATGAGAAGTTGAAATGGTCGCTTCAAAGACCTGCAAACAGCAACCAGAATCGATTTGTTTTGTTCTTCGATGGGGGCTCTCCAGCGCGAGTCACCAGTAGATTGTCGCAACATCTTGGCCTTCTGTCGCAAAACAGCGGGATCTGCACAGCCGTCAGCACATAGAACCATGATATTTTCCGGGCAATGTTGTTCAGGAACATACGGAATGTTTCAGGGACAAGAAATGTGATTGCCATGAGTAGGGCGAAGGACCACATCAACATAACATAGTACGTCCACCTCCAGTGTGTATTGTAATTCATAAAGCCGCCCATCGTGGGTCCTATACAAGGTCCGATGAAAGGTGCTACTGTAAAGATAGCCATCGGATATTGGAGTTCATCTTTGGAAAACAGGTCACCCACCGTTCCACCCGCAACGGCCAGAAATGTGCCTCCTGAGAAAGCTGCGAGGAATCTCGCGACTAGCATCGTGGCAATGTTATTGGCCACGGCTTGGGGAATGGTCCAAATGACATACAGGATCCATGCGACGAGGTATATGGGACGACGGCCAAAAAACTCGCTCAAGGGGCTAAAGAAGAGAGGGCCACAGCCGATCCCTAAAACGAATAGGGAGAGACCCAGGACCGAGATCTTCCTCGAGTTGCCAAATGACTCTTCCATTTGCTGATATGTGGAAGTGTAGATGGAACTCGCTGCGGTGCTGAATCCAAAAGTGTTAGTGCTCAAATGCTGTTTGCTCCATTTCCGGATTCTATGGACAGGCCATTCATACACACAAAAGCATGCCATAGAGACGATAGTTACAATCATCCATTTCTTTGGCTTGCTGAAGCTGCGTGGGCACAAAGGGTCATCATCACCATCGTCCCAGCCCACCTGGAGGAACTCAGGTTCTGTACCTGAGGCGGATGGTGACTGCGTCTCTGGTAGTGACCCCTCTTGGCCCTGCGCTCTGTTTAGTTCAATCAGCCTTTGATTTTACTTAGGAAAAAAAGCGGTAGATAGGTGATGGTTTACCTCTTGACACTAAACAATATCGGCGATTTCACAAACATTTTCTTCGATATATATATATAAATGATAAAATTGAAAATGGTATTATGACGATAGAGGCATATTCCACCTGCTAAAAGCACTCGATATACTGTGTTGATCCACGAAAATGATCGAAAAGCGATAAATGGGTGAGAGTAGACGGCACAGAGATGTGACCGACGGCTCCAACGATCGTCGTCCGCACACGGTAGATAACAAACAGCTCTGGCGAGTCCTTGATACGGTTAGTTTTCGTGTTTGTAGTAATCAACAATTGATTTACCTTGTTATTTATTAATTTCCGAGCTTGCCGTCTCTTTGCTCGTAGGGGTGGACAAGATGAAATCTCGGCCGAGATGAAAACGAAATTAGCGGATGAGAAGGAAGCTCTTCTCGCTCATCGGTTCAATAGGCTCTCTCCGCGTATGACCCCTTGAGAGACCTTCTCTCGACTTATTTCACACAATGCCACAGGGCACTTAGGTATTCTCCATTGAACTTCTATGTTAATTTCAACCTACATCCTCTCGATCAAAAGAATGTGAGACTACCAATCGAGGCCTAGCCTCAATCGGCTCAGCTTCCGAAGCAAGCGAAACCGGCAAATGCGGTATCGGCTATTGGGTTTCGAGAAACTCGGCCGAGGAGTTAGCAAGGTTAATTGGAGTGCCCACCTTGATGCCAAATTCTCCACCATCCCCATCTCTTTATCATCTGAACACGGCCGTGCTTCCAGTCTCGCCCTTTCTCTGCCAAAATGTCGACTGGAACGCCCGTCAGAAGCAGTCAGAGAAGCGTGCGTGCGTGTACCGCATGTGCGCGGCGTAAGATCCGATGTTCCAAGACGATACCCTGCACGGCTTGCATACGACTCAACAGGGCCTCGTCTTGCCAAAGAGAGCAGGTTGTTGTCGTCACCCGAAAGAGAGGGCATGGTACAGATACCACTGGCTTAGAAAACGGCAACAATAGCCCGTTGCCCAGCCTGTCGGATTCAGACCAAGCCAGGGATGTGCCCCCGGTAGATCCTCATTCTTCGTCTGAGACCATTGGTAACAACGTTGTTGTTGAAGGCGCATCTGCCATTCCTTGTCCTGAACTAGGGGATCCTATCGAGGAGCATACCTTCTCTAGTCGCCCCAGTCTGGGACGCCAACAGACATTGAACGCGCCCCGGACGGCTGACAGTCGTTTAACCAGCGATAGAGCGGCAGCATTGGAATTTCTTACCCATGGCCGTCGGAACGTCATCAACCAATTTGCGGGCAGGAATGATACCGCGGAGTCACCACCGTCGCTCAATTCATGGAGCAAAAGCAACGTGGAAGAGCCATGGGATCTATTCTTCACCGAACAGAATTCTCGGACACTCCTGGCCCTTCACCAATCCTATCTCTCCTGGATGCACTGCGCAGTCCATATGCCCATATTCCGGCACGATTTTGAAGAAAACCTTGCCAGACGAGAGTGCAACAGGTCTTGGCTAGCTTTGTATTATGCAATCCTGTCTGTAAGTGTCTCACAGCCAGCTCATAACAAGAACAAATGCTAATAATAGTTTACAGCAAACACTGTACCATATCGATGATCAGCACTTGTCCTCGCTGCCACAGCCGGTCAATGGTATGTTTGCTTAGACTTTAGCTGTGTAGCTGTGCAATTTCGGTAGATCTTTGGCATTAACATGGTCATCATTAAGCCAGCCCGGATGCATCCTTTGTGCTTTTCAACAAGAGCATCGAGGTGCTCTTCCGAGCCAACTTCATGGATGATCACAGTATATATTCAGTCCAAGCAATCTGTCTTCTCATACAAGTGGCGCACCATTTTGATAAGTCTGACCTTATTTGCATCCTCATCTCCACGGCAATTCGGATCGCTCAGTGCCTGGGCCTCCACCGTCTGGGCCCAGATCGCGCCATTTCTGAAGGAAGCACCGCCAGTATCAATGAACCAGCCAATACTGACCGGGAACTGAAGAAAGGGATCTGGTGGTTTCTAGTGTGCCACGACTGGTTCCAAATACCGTTCCAAAACACTTGTCAGATACACCCAAGTCAGTTCAGTACACCCATGCCGACCAGCCAGCCTATAGCTACGCAACAGCTAGCGAGCGATTGCACCCCGAAGATGGACGAGGCCTATACTTCAACTAGTTGGACTAATTACCTCAATCACTGTAAATCAAACGTATCTCGCTACTTAAATTCTGCTGACTCCTTCGTGTGCAGTCTCAGTTCTGATTTGGAAACACCACGATCGCATGTTCAAGGCTGGACATCCAGGCAATTGCCCAGAGAGTATCCCCAAGTTATACGAAGAGGTCATACGGGCTGATGAAGAAATAAAGGCTAGCTATGTGTCCCTTCCGCCCTCTTTGCGAGAGGTTGACACGTCACAAAATGTCACAACTGCCGACGGACTTCCCATTGGCTTGATGCCAGGCCTTGTCCTTGTGTGTACTGCCCACAAAGTAAGTTGGTTCCTATTTCAAGAAGACGAAACTACTTATGGTATTCAAACATTTATCACCACTATCCTAGGTTCTCGGCGTACATCGTCATTTCCAGCTTTCCGGTTTCCGAGACCGGCGCTATGCATTTTCTCAAGTAACTTGATCTGAACATCATCTGTATCTCCCAGTCCTTCTAATTGCACTTCTCCAGTTTTCGTGCGTCTCTATTGCTGAGCGTAGTATCGCGGCTATTATCGATTGGCCAGACACTCTTCAGTCACGGATTGCACGTAGGATGTGGACCACATTGACGCACGTCATTAGTTGCTGCATTAATCTCGCCTTTGCCTTGCTGTTCAAGTCCGAGAACACCCTTATGCATGACTGGGTCAAGATCCATCGCTACCTGCAGCTCGGGAAAGAAATTATCAGCCACGAGGAGCAGCGAAGCTCTCTGGCCCGGCGAGGTGTTAGGTTACTCGGTGCCATGATGGAACTAGAAGCCAGCTCTGAGTGTTCTGTAGACTTGGAGGCGGAGATTGGGAACCTAATCCGTTGCGTGACTGTCGCAGACGAGAATTACCTCAACATGGATGCTGCTGATCCCCATCACATTATCTTCCCATATAGCCAGGACCTTTGGGATAGTTTCATTAATGATGCTATGGCTAGTGACTTCTTTGGGGTTTAATGTGTATCCTACATAGGGCTTTTCAGTTAATACAGCCTCGTCCCGAATATCCCAGAAAGGACGGTTGCTTCAACAATGACTGTGCTTCTATTTAAAAAATCGTTCATTGTCCATCAGAACTACCATTTCTCGGTGGTTCTGGAGATGTAGAATGCGAAGATAGATGTATCACAGCTTGCTCTCATACGTTTGCTGCTTCCAATACTTATGAATACCGCCATTTGCGCCAACAAGAGGATCAAACTTGGGGTTCGGAACGTTCCAAATCTTGTGATAGTTGCCAATATCATCGCCTCCCTCGCCCCAGTTCCAGCTGTTGCCGACTGGATAGGCACCCATCATCATGAATCCGTGTAAAGGGAGCTCTGCAACCTTTTCCCGTGGCTTGAAAGACTCAATCCCGCGTGCTGAACCTGTCAAGACCCCAAATGCTTCACCCTCGGCCTGTGGATTGTAGGACTTGTGTGCCACGCCGGCTGGGATGACAAAAACATCACCAGGCTCCACCTCAACCTCCACGCCAGTCTTTTCGTAGGCATCTCCATAAGTGTGCTCTTCCGGATCATCGGAGAGGTCTGCTGAGCCCCAACGAATGATCCCCGGTCCGGAGAGGACAATCATCATTTCATGGGTATGGGCGTGGTAGTGTGACCGTTGTTGGCGACCATATCTTGTCACCCATTGAACGTCCCATCCATTCGACCTGAAAGTGTCAAACGCACGGACAGCGTCGACTTTGCCATCATTAAGGAACACACCTTTATATAAAAGGAGTGGGTTGAGAGAGTTCGGTATCAAAGCCGTAGGCTTAATATCATAGAGGATGGGCTCCGGAAATGACATCCTGATGCCTGGGGGACGGATGAGAGGACAGATCAAATTTCGTGAAGATGATACTATTGCAGTGGTTTGGGACTGCGGGGAAATCCTGGCTTAATAAAAGGGGCCTGTCTTGCCCACCTGCACACCACCGATCTTCGGCTTCTGGACGGTGTAGCTCATCCGGGAAGACCATGTGTTGGAGGACTGGAAACTCATGGCGTGGACTCCTCAAGAAAACTGCACGCTAGACTGAAGTGTAATGAAGCTTAGTAGGTCAGCTATACAAAACGGAAAAAAAACCCGAGTACCTGGGGGAACTCCTGCCCAAGATCGAGAGTTAGCTCATATGTCGACCCAGTTTACATTGAACAAGCAGGATACAGTTACCGAATCCCCACAATCGCTTGCTGGTCTGGCTTGGGAGGTGAATTGCGGGTATCACGCGTGAACGACAACCCCCACATTCTGGCATAAAAAGTCGGTTATTGTTTCCGATCCGCTCGGCAAGGAGCTGCGATTCGCACTAATTCGAGGAGAGTCAGGTAGACATGGTACAGATAACAGCATTATGTAGTATTCGGGAACAGAAAGCGCCAAATGCGGGGAGAGGCACCCATTCAGAGGAATGCGATAGTCGATGTTGGTATTGGTGTTTCACCTGGGATGGGTAACGTTGTTCTTCTCTGGTCCATCCACTAGCAGCAGTCAATGAATATATTCACTCTATGTGCCCTTCTTCTAGTGCCACAGCGTCTTCGGTCATCCAAAACGAACTGAACCCACCTTGTGCCAATATGCCACACTTTCTCAGTAACAGCCCGGAGCCACAGTCGCCCAAGGCGAATAGCAAGTCCGTCTGTCACCACGATACGGAACCCTTTGAAAATGGGCATCAGATTCCAGAACCCCAGACTGCTATATTGAACCAACAAAGCCCGGATGTGTGGATATCACAGCGATGTATGGACCAAGCAAGACCCCTGAAGGTCATCTACATCGGTGCTGGAATCTCTGGAATCACGGGCGCTATTGAATTCAAGAAGCGAGTACCTGGGTTGGATTTGGTAATCTATGAGAAAAATGAGGAGCTTGGCGGCACATGGTTCGAAAACAGGTGCTTAGTTTCCCTTCTTCTTCACCCAATGCCAAGAAATATCACGTTAACATGAGAGATGAAAAGATACCCCGGCTGTGCTTGTGGTGAGTTACCGAATTACTAGTGTGAATGGCCTTCCTCTAATTAATATCTAAAATCATTACTTCAGATGTCCCAGCGCACGTATACCAGCTCTCATACGAGTCTTCGCCCAACTGGAGCTCCTTTTTCGCCTCGGCGTCTGAGATTCTCGAGTATTGGAAGGCCATCGCAAAGAAGTACGATGTTAGAAAGTACATGCGGTTTCGTCAAAAGTGCACGGCCGCTCGATGGAGCGAGACGGCTGGCAAGTGGTTTGTTCAGCTTCAAGACCTTGCCACCGGTGGTAGCTACGAGGACCAAGCCGATGTACTTGTCACCGGTGAGGGTGTTCTTAATGAGTGGAAATGGCCAAGCATTCATGGGCTTCATTCATTCAAAGGAGACATTTTGCACAGCGCAAATTGGGATCCCAACATTGACCTAGAGGTACCACCCCTTTCTATTTGATATTGGAGAATGCACTCTAACATTGATCATCACAGGATAAATCCGTTGCTGTGATTGGAGCTGGGAGCAGTGGGCTTCAGATTGTGCCTTCGATCCTTCCACAAGTCAAGCGCATGGACCACTATGTCCGCGGTCGATCATGGATCGCGGGTCTCTTCGGAGGAGACAGTATGGGGAGACGAATAGAAGAGAATGGGGGAAATTTTGAGTATACAGAAGAAGAAAAGAAGTTATGGGAAAACGACCGCGACGCCTACCTGCAGTATCGCCGGGGCATTGAATACGATATCAACAATAAATTCAATGTCATCTTCAAGGGTTCGAAATTGCAGGCAGAAACTCGGTTGCGAGTTGAAGAGAACATGAAAAAACGACTGGAAGGGAAACCGGAAATTTTCGATATACTACGACCCAAGTATTCGCCATATTGCAAACGCATGTCGCCCGGCCCTGGCTACTTGGAAGCATTGGCATCCCCCAAAGTAGACACAATCACTTGTGGGATCGATAGGATTGACGAAAATGGTGTTATCACCACGGATGGAGTCAGACATAACGTTGATGTGATCATCTGCGCTACCGGATTTCAGACTTCCCCAGCCAACCGCAGTTTTCCAATCTATGGGAAAGGTGGCATCAACCTTAGAAAACGATTCGAGGGCCGTCCTGAAACTTATCTCAGCGTCTGTACTGATGGCTTCCCAAACTTCTTCCAGTCTATGGGCCCAAACTCGATGCCAGGCGCCGGAAGTCTGTTACTCATTATTGAGAAGACTCAGGTCTACATTGGCCAAATCCTCGCCCGCATGGCCTACGACAATATCGGCCGGGTAGAGCCCAAGAAGCAAGCAGTCCAGTCATTTACGAACTACTGCGATGAATTCTTCAAGCACACCGTGTTTGCGGAGGAATGCAGCTCGTGGTACAAGACAGCCGGGCCTGGTGCGTCGCGGGAAGGGCAGATGAATGGCCGTGTCACAGCTTTGTGGCCGGGAAGCAGTCTCCAGTGTCTTCGAGCGTTGGCCTCGGTCAGATGGGAGGACTTTGAAACAGAGTCCTTTGATGGAAATCCCTTTGGTTGGTTTGGGAATGGGTGGACTCTGGCAGAGAGATATCCAACAGGCGAGTTGGAAAGTTTGACCTGGTACCTGAATGATACTAGCATACTTAAGTGTTCATAAATAAATATACCTTAAGAGGTATCAATCATTGATTACAAAGTTCCGAATTTTATCATAACCTATCCTAGAGTAATACGTAAAGAAAAGAGAATGAAGTTCAACAGCAATGGAAATTACCAGAGCCCGACAACGCAAGACAATGATTCTAGAGTAATATTTAGCAAAAGAGGATGTAATCTACAGTGAAAATGATTTGAGGTACGTTAGCTCTAACTTGAATCCAGCTCACATTGTTGTTCCGAGTAGAACATCCGCTTCTTCTAGCGAAAGCACCTCATTTAGCATCGAAATGACAATTATGCCCTCCACTAAAGCCTCAAATATCATCTTTCCCTTATTATTATTATTGTTACTATTACTACTGCCTCGATTATCTATTCCTCAGATTGTGGAAAAAGGGCCTGCTGAGATACAGGGTAGGTCGGCTCCACAAGCCGAGTCTGTAAAGGAGAACGCTCAGCGATGCTGCACGTCTGCTTCTATCCTAGAAGCCTCCTCCAAGTCCGGGGATCATTTGGCATCAAGAATGTAACATTATTTTCTTTGTTGAACAAGTGGAGTCCAAATGGGATGTTGAGATATCCGAACACGAGATAGTTGGCATACTCCTTGCGCTTGCTTCTGCCAGCTGGGATGCTCGGGTACGATATCCGATATCGGCAGAGGGGTTACGAGACTTGTTGCTGCCACGAATCATGCTTCGTCTTATCTTCCAGGGCCAGTGCCTCCATTTGCCGCTTGTCTAGTGGCACCGTACCATTGGTTCTATGCACACTTGGTGGATCAAACTAGACGATAACACTACTAAAGATATGATGGCCGGCGAGCTACACGAACGGAACATGGGGTGTACGGAGATGCTCCACTGACCCTTGAGACCTGAACTTGCACTGGACAACGTCTCTCCTCCGCGTGGCAGATCAATGATGCCGTGTGTATAGACGCCCGTATACAATGAGTCCAGAAGAAGAACAGACGAGGAGGAGAAGGAGCTCCAATGCGTAGGGTCATGTCCGTGATATTCTCTCTCTAGGCTCTGCTGATTCTGGTGAAGTTGCATCCGATGTCGTCGGCACAAGATCAAATGCAGCGGAAAGGTCCCCTGCGATGCGTGTAGACGCCGTAGGTTCAACTGCGAATACGAATTGGAGGAGCCGAAAGTGTTTGTCTCCAAAAGGTAATCATAGGTTTGCTTTTCTGTCAGGCTAGGTGACAAGAAGGGTGACTGACTATGCATGACTGTTATCTAAGGTACCTCTCCGAATTGCAGACAAAGTTGGCATTACTGGAGGCGAAACAAGATAACCCTTCAGGTACGCATGCTCCTAGTTTTCGCTAACTGTTTTTGAAACCCGAGCTGATTATTGTCAAGCCTGTGTCCAAGAATCAACACCCACTTCTCGTATTCACGTTGAGAATGGCGAGATAACTAACCCAGTGTATTCTCCCGAATTCTTGACCCATGTCGCAGGACCAGGAGGTGACTTTCGTAAGTCCATAGGACTGTGAGCTATGTATGGAATGCATATGCTAATATTGCTTTGATCCAGATTACCTTGGCCATTCCTCAAACTACTCTTATACACAACGGGTACTGCGACTGTTGCATGCCCGCTTCTCAAATGATCCCTTTCCATATGGCACTTACATCCCTGCCGAGGCATCTGACCTGGGATGGGATGGCAGGAGGGCAACTGCTGAGTTGGAGACTGATACGTTGCCCTCTCTCGATCATGTCATCTTCCTTCTCAACGCGGTGAAATTCCATGCAGGGCAGATCTACCATCTGTTTGATGAGACTTCATTCATGCCCCAGCTGTATCAATTTTACTCTGACCCCGTCGAAAACATGACGAGAATGGACCTTTGGTACATCCACTTTCTCATTCTTCTCGCATTCGGCAAAGCTTTTGTTGTCTCCGAGGTTCAGGAGGGGAAGCCGCCAGGATCGGAGCTGTTCGTCCGTGCCGTAAAGCTGCTGCCCGAAGCTACCTACTTACTTGGAGAGTTCGTTACTGCAACTGAGATTCTTTGTTGCATGGCACTCTACTATCAAGCTCTTGACGCGAGAGTCTTGGCATATGATAAGGTAGCTCCTTCTGCTTTGCCACTTGTTATTCAGTTCTACACTGAATGCTGACCGGATCTAGATTGGCCAAGCCGTAAGGTTGGCCATTGGTTCCGGAATGCACACTCCCATGCAGCCGGATCAAGTTGACCAGCAGTTGATCCAACGATGTCGAAAGGCATGGTGGACAATTGTAGTGATAGATCGTCAGATATCGTGTTTGATCGGGCTCCCGATTCAAGTGCGAGACGAGGACATAACTACCCCATTGCCTGTATTTCCCGATTCAAACCAACGCAATGCGTCTCTAAATATACAGGTTGGCTTATCTCGCGCACTCGCGCATGTTGTGAACAGTAAGCATGATGGTCAAATACGACATGATCTTGGCTGACTTGATCCGTAGCCGTGTACCGAAGTGGGAGCACACGCCACCTCAACTTCATTGGAAGCATCCAAGACGCGCTTCGAAATGTAGCAAGCGTATCTGAGGAGCTTCGTACACATTTCGCCTTACCTGGTCCGGGTTCTGTTGGGGGGATATCTCCCATTGCTGCCCATCTCAATATACTCTACCACCACGTAATATCATCCCTCTCTATTTAGCATTTCTGGCTACTGACATGTACCCATAGTGCATTGTTGTTGCTACGAGACCCTTTTTATACTTGTTCCTGGAAAAGCGGTGTAAAAGCTCGGTGGATAGAGTCGCCGTCTTATTTTGCAAAGAGCCTATTCGCCATATCCTGAAAATTGGAATCGAGTCTGCGAAGCGAATAAGTGCTATCCTTCACGCATTGAAACAGCAGCATTTAATAGGTGAGCCTATAAAATCGGCACTGTTCGTCGCTAGATTTGACCAAAATAATAAATAGAATCATTTCTGGCCTTTGAGTTGGAGGCGGCTTTCTCTGCTGGTACGTTTATCGCCATTTCCGAGGCATGTTTTTCTTCTCTGCTCAAACATGATGGCCCATCTTTACCTGCCATTTCCGAAAGCCTTCAAGTCATGGCTACAAAAGGCAATCTCCCTGCCAAATTTAGGCTCATGGATCTGAATACATTGACCCGGTTGCTTGGGGATTGCCAGGACTTGTCTCATGACACTCAGGAAGAAGGAGAGGCGGAGTCGACTGTGGCAGCTGATCAGACGGAGATTGCCTCGTCTCAGTCTGACTTGCAGGGCTTTGACACTGGCTCTATTGTTCTGCCGGATTGGCTGGAAGGTGCCGAAGCGGAGGATCTGTATTCGCCCTCGCATCGCTTGGAGACGATTGCAGAGTCCCTGGATGGCTGGGATTCAACGGGGTGGTTCTCTAGCTTGGCTTATGATACATGATTAGCATAGTGGGAAACATGACCCTAAGTTTCGGGTGAGTCGTGAAAACAAGCAGTATTTCAACACCGAACAGACTCTTTTGGGATTGAGGAAACAAGAAGTGTCAGGCGATGATAGTGCCGTAATGACAGCGAACTGGCGGGTCAACTTTCCACCGAAGCTATATAGTGGCCAAAATTATATGAACTGATAAGTTTGACCGGGCTGAACCTATGAGACTGTTGGAGCGAGTTGAGTGGATTGGATAAGGAATGGCAAACCGGCTGACAGCTTCGGGTGGCCACTCCGTATTCGATGAGACAAGATCTCTCATGCAAGATTCCGCCACTTGAGATTGGGGCCACTAATTATGTGCGAGATTTGGCCTGGCCGAGCGTATTCGGAGTTCTATTGAGCGGGGCTTGTTTAGTAACGCTGGTCCATCTCCGCTTGAGCGGCAGGTTTTCCCGACCCTGATCCTGATCCTCCATCAAGATAGCTCAAAGTATTTCAACGCGATTGGCACTGTCTGATATCGAGGGTGCGTAGAGCCTTTCAATCCCATCTCCCATTCCTTTTGAAGCAGTAGCTTTCAACGCCGCACGTCTATCCCTCATGGCCGAAACCATTGTCGTCGTCGTTGGAGCCGGTGTCTCTGGATTGACATCGGCGCTTCTCCTCTCCAAGAAGAAGGGATACAAGATCACTGTCGTCGCTAAGCACATGCCCGGTGATTATGATGGAGAGTATGCCAGCCCATTCGCCGGAGCAAACATTGTCCCGTATGTTTTCCCAGCCAAATTGATTCCCTGATTGAAAGGCTGACGATCTCGCAGCATGGCCGAAGAGAAAGAAAAACGTTGGGAGTCTCAGACTTGGAAGGAGCTGAAACGGCTTGTCGAGGAGGTTCCCGAAGCTGGCATTCACTTCCAGAGTACGTCTTCCTCCCAGACATCGACTGTGTTCTACTTTGTGGTTCGTTAACATTGATTGCTATAGAGTGCCATATCCTCCACCGAGAGCATGATCTGAAAAACCCCGCTGGCTTCCCCGTCCACGCGTTTAGTCCCACGCCTTGGTACAAGAATATTTTCGACGACTTCCGTGAGCTCCCCAAGGGCCAGGTGCCTGATGGATATGATGGTGGATGTGAGTTTACCGGTGTGTGCATCAACACAACCATGTACCTGCAGTGGCTGGCAGGCCAACTCCAGCGAAACGGCGTACAGCTCAAGCGAGGTATCGTTACCGATATCAGCGAGGCAAAGAACCTCAGCCACACCGGAAAGCCGGCTTCAATCATCATAAACACAACCGGGCTCGGCTCTTTCAAGCTGGGCGGAGTGGACGACAAGACCATGTATCCTATCCGTGGCCAGGTTGCGCTCGTCCGTAACGAGTCGACTCCCATGGTCATCTGCTCCGGCTCTGCCGACGGTCCAGGCGAGGAGCTGTATCTCATGCAGCGAGCGGCCGGTGGAGGCACTATCCTTGGCGGGACTTATGATATCGGAAACTGGGATACCAACCCCGACCCCAACGTAGCCTCACGTATCATGTCGCGGATCGTCAAAATTCGACCCGAAATAGCGGGCGAAAAGGGAATTACCGGCCTCAGCGTGATTCGACACGCGGTTGGCCTGCGACCAGCTCGCAAGGGCGGTGTTCGCATCGAGAAGGAGAAGCTGGATGACAAGACTAGCATCGTTCACAACTATGGCCACGGTGGCTATGGATATCAGACATCATATGGCTACGCCGAAGCTGTTGTAGAGCTGGTGGAGGATATAAAAGGGCCTGCTTCCAAGCTGTAGAGTAATTACTTCAATAGCATGTCAAGAGATCTTTTCATACAGGTTTGGTATTTGAGTAACAGCGCCCTGTAGATTGAACTGGCTTCACAAATTTGAAATCAGCACTCAGTCAGAACATAAAAGACCCCATTATGAACTAAACACTGGCAGGTATTCGTGTAGACGGGAATTGGTTGAATATTTGTCGCACAAGTTCCGACACGAGTGACGAAGCCGATCCCGCCATCACCGCTGAAATGTCGCCATCTCAATTAGAACGGGGCTGACGATAAGTAGAAGAATGATAAATGAGTTCAGTGCCCCTCAATTTGAGATATTTGAGAATTCTTTTTTGAACGGAAGTTTAGCAAAAATCCTTCACGTTGTCAAAATGTCCACATCAATTCAGTCTGGTGACCTCTTCAATGTCAAAGGCCTGATAGCCTTTGTTACTGGTGGTGCGACTGGTGAGTGAAGACCCAACCCGTCAAGTAGGATCGTGAGTTTGCATTCAAATGATGATTTACTGATTAATTTTACTCTAGGAATTGGCCTCCTGATCGCCCAGGCACTGGAAGCGAATGGAGCAATTGTATACATATTCGGACGCCGACAAGAGTCTCTGGATCAAGCCGTCAAAACTGCTGTGCGTACTCACAATGACCCCTTATCATCACACCACCTATTCCTACGTTATTTTGTACGCGTCTAATTAATGTAGAAAAACGGCAATATCCACGCTATCCAAGGCGACGTGACGAACAAGGCAGATCTTGAGAGGGCTGCCAAACAGATCCAGTCTGCCCACGGTTATATCAACATCGTGTTTGCTAATGCCGGCATCGGAGGCCCATCACTGGCTGGGCTGAAGCCCGACGCCAGCATTGAAGAGTTACAGAAGCATTTGTGGAATTGGGGGGCGGACGATTTTACTCATACTTTTGCTGTCAATGCCACCGGCGCCTTTAACACCGTAGCCGCCTTCCTGCAACTGCTGGACCAGGGCAACAAGCAAGGCAATGTATCACAAAAAAGCCAGGTTGTTGTCACAAGCAGCATTGGCGCGTTCAACCGCAGACCGGGTCTAGGTTACTCATACAGCGCCTCCAAAGCCGCCGTTACCCACATCTTCAAGCAGCTGGCTACCACACTGGTTCCATATGATATCCGGGCTAACATCATCGCACCTGGCTGTAAGTCTTCAATGATTCACATCTATATGAAACTGTCGGGAAGTATTCGACAAGAGAGGAGAATGGTGCACTGACATATATTGAAAGTTTATCCGAGCGAACTGACGGCCAAGACACTTGAGGAGCGTGAGAAGACCGGTTGGTCTAAGAGCGAGGTCCCAGCTGAACGCGCTGGAGATGCCCAAGATATTGCAGGGTCTGTGTTGTATCTCGCCAGCCGAGCGGGCTCTTATGTGAATGGTAATGTCCTGGTAACAGACGGTGGGCGACTGGGTGTATTCCCTGCTACTTATTAGGGAGAATGAAGGTATCATTTAGTACGCACTAGAAAGACCTCATAAACATCTACGTTGGGGAAGTGAATTGCTGATAGACATTCTGAAGAGCCTTCCCAACTCTGTCGATCCTCCTAAGTCGGTATTTCATCGTTGCAAAAGCCAAGGAACGAAAGCTGGATATTGTGAATGAAGAGTTGTTACATTAGATTCTACACTATGAACGGGACTAGAATCGTTCCCTTTACAAATCCATTAGATGAATTCATAATAGAGGGTTTACCCGACGGGATGTGATGTGTCAAATATGACAAGTATCCCTATTGAGCCAATAACCAGACCTCAGTAAGCATTAGAGGAGCGACAATCTAGGATAGCTTAGCAAGACGGGCTCGACAACTTGGTGTTGTGGCAAGAGAACTGCATCTGGCCTCTAGCTCGATACGCCCATGTAGTCACATCTGAACCACATTCATAGGCAATCTTGACCATGTCATTGGCAATATTTCCACAGTGGACCTTCTTTTCCTTCGACAACTGAGGTTTAAAATTATTTCGTCAGCATTTTCTTTCGTGGACTCCGGCAGAGATGAGGATGAAAATACTGACCTTGCTGCAGAGATACATGCCACAGTTGTGAGAGCAGCTGACACGCGCGCAGCTCTTGGCTTTGGCGCCGCACCAAGCCTTTCCAAGATTCCAGAGGTATCCAAAGCCTTCGCCGCATTGACTCCATACGTTTCCGACGTAGGAGCCGATGTTACAATTAAACTGCGGCCAGTTAGCCATTTGGAATTCGTAAGGGTCGGTTATTGATGGAATTCATTACGCTGTCTCGAGTCACCAACTCATTATCTCGTTCATGAAGTTCGGCCATTACGGATGAGCGTATTTTGAGAGAAGGGCTGTTGACATCAATATCTTCAGGGGTCAGTCCTCGAGCTTCCAGATCCTCCGCATACTCGTCAAAGTCCCACACACTGTAGGATGGGTTCAACTCCAGGATCTGGTCATAAATCTCCTTGGCAGTGCCGCTCAGAGTGACGTTCGGTCCGCCGGGGGTGATAGGACCGACAAAATCCATGATACTGATGGAGTCGATCTCGTCCATGTCAAGGACATCTTCCTCGCCGCTGTAGAGGCCATCGTCTCGAAGGGACTTATTGACCTCAGCAGGAGAGGCCAGAGACTAATGCAATATTAGCATGTGGCAATGTCATCTTGAGAAGTATGCATCACACCTGACAGGTCAAGGCGATGAGAATGGTGAAAGCGAGCTTCATTTTGCAAGAGTGAAAGGTGAATGTCGATCGTTGGATATTAGGTTGAGTTGCTTGTTCTTTGAATAATCATAGAAGAATACCCTACCCTTTTATACCCTTCACCAGCCTCTTATCATGTGAAGAATCAGCTACCCTACCCGATAGAATATGAAGTATCCCAACTTCCACCCTGGGCTCACCGTGCTCACCGTATGGCAATGGTCGTATTCGTTCCTCGCTATCCTCGACAATTTCGTCCATGTGACTGTCCTGAAACCCTTGCACTGCAGGCTTTAGCAGTTTGCGGAAGCTTTTTGGAACCGAAGCAACACACTCGACTCAAATCAGTTTGTAGATTTTGAGCACACATTATCAGCCGCTGAAATGCCGCACAAAATTGTTTAGATATGATCCTCAGTCACCCAATATTCCACTTCAAAAAGCTACTCTAAACCTTTGAAGCCGTACCCTTCATTCTGAACTCAGGATTGTTGGACCCTCGAGGAGAATGATGCTATAGGGTTAATTGTCATATTAGCTTCAAACGAGGTTACATGACACTCCATGCAGCTTGGGATGAGTATTGATCAGTTAATGTCATTTTTGGTACTTCGGACACTCGGAAGTTACTCTTAAAGGGCATATGTGCCAGCCCCCCTTGACCAGCTCTTGACAATAACCCGGTTGATTTTAACTTGCATTCATTTCTACCGTACCTCCCCCACACAAGCTTTTCGATACCCGAAAACCCATAATCTTCAGAAACGGGTTTTCGATAGTGCGGTGTGCATGGTACTTTTGTTCACACTTTTGTTCATCGTGTTGCTCTGCTCTTTCATTTTGCCTTTTGCGTTGAGATAGAAATACATTTGGCAGAGGTTCCTTTGCTATATTTCGTAACTTGTATCCAGAAATCTCTATGTCTACAGAACATTGACTTGGCTTTCGATTCATTTGCCGACTTCAAAGCCCTCGGTCCTAGATTTTTTGACATGAGAATAATTGTTGGCTCTCTGTTCGTTTGGATTCATTAGCAGAGCGTCAAGGGTTGATGATAACCAGGGTGCATTACATGCTAATCCGGCGCTATTGAATCTCGCTTAGGACTCAAAATGAAGCCATGTTTGCCAAAGTACTGAAACCCGAGATAAGACAGGCAGGCGTACCATTCGTCGCAACGGTTCCTGGGAATCAGGTGTTCACTAAATACCGGGAAGGACACGACATGTATCGTTCGATGGTATGTGTCCAAATTTGGTAGAGAGATACTTCCTAACTTTGGCCTTAGTCGCCAATCATCTGTTGCCTTCGGTATCAGTCCCCATTTTAGAGGCTTCTTCTCCTTTATGGTGCATTGCTGACCCTGAACAGGGCTGATTAGCATGTAGCTCCGAATCAATAACGCATGTCACATATTGTGCCATCACCTGGAAGGTTAGGCTGCTTATTTTCCTCAAGGTTCCATTAGAATTTCTCATTATATTTCAGATAAGAAACTACTTAAGCAAGCCATCCATGGCTCGAAATGGCGATGAAAATGACGAGCTTGACGTAAATTACGAGCTCGTGTAGCTGCCTAGCGCAGTCACGATTCGAAGAGACTCATCAGCAGCGAACATCAAATGAGAGCAGTAATATTTGGCCTGCAATACAGAATAATAAAAGTTTATAGCAACATATTTTGGTTCTTAGGTGAAGTAGTGGTCTAGAACCACGACCTTCAGCAACAAGCAGGCACAAACAGGTGGTGTCTAGACGCGCCCCGCACTGTAGAGGTGCCGATTAGGGCGGATGTGATGTTTATGAGAATGAAAGACGTCAAAAAAGGATGCTTCATGTTTACGATTACCATCTTTCTTATCAACATAGTTTATGTATGAGCAGGCCTTTTTTCGGAACCCAATTTGGGAAATCGCCGACAACATGTCTGATAACGCCGGCACCAGCATGTGGTCAGTGTGCAGACTAAATTGACTTGTTCAGAGCGACATCCATTGTCAATAATATGGCATTCGTTTGACGGATCATGTAAACACTATAAATTAAGGATATTAATGGGGGCTAGAGCTAAGTTCATTTATAGACTTCTCAATGTCCAACACCAAATTGTGATTCTGCACACACAATATCATCGCGTTGAGTTGCATACCATCATGTCATCAGCTTGGGCCTAAGTGTTCATTCTAATGCTTAAGCCAACCAACTTTCTGACAGTCGATAGACTAGAAGCAGGAAGCACATGACAGTAACAGACGCAGCAGCCCAGTACCCAAACGTTGCCCCCAACTTATCAACATTCTCCGACATAGAGAACAACGTTCCTATGAGACTCAGAGGCAAGAAGATAGTAGCGAGGCCCGTCAAAAGCTTAATACGATGTGAATCGACCATGTTGATAGTGGAGGTGGTGACTGCAGTAAGGCGATCGATGCGTTCTTCATACTCATCCATCTGTCTGAGAATGAGCTTGAACTCGTTGAGATACTCCATGAAAGGTTCATCTTCCACATCCTCGCTCCGTTTTCCCTCACTATTGAGAAAGAATTCCATGTGCAATGTTGTTGTGTATAACATCTCCCTATACACAGGGACAAGGCGTCGCCATGTGTGCAGTTTGTTCAAGATTGTGTAAAACCTATGGTGGCCGAGAAATTCTCTAGGATGTATCAACTCCCAATCCACTTGGGATAGCCGGGATTTAATGTACTGGCTCATTGTAATCCAATCTGCGCAGATGATACGGAGTAAAATCATCATCGGTAGCTGCCGCGGGTCATTGCTGAGAGCTGCCTTTCGAAGAAATGGTGCCGGGTTTTCTGTCCAGTAGATGAAGCGCTCGGCGAAGCTGGATTCGGGGTCAGGAGTTCTTGGACCGACCTCTCCCGGTGCCGGCTTTTCATGCCAGTTCTCCTGTTCTCTCCAGAGCGGAAACCCTTCCCTCAGGGTCGGGTCCAGTAGTAAAACACCTAGAGACGATTCATTAGGTAAAGCTCCTCAACAACAGCATTTCAGCACATGATTACCTATGTTTTTATTCTTCCACCAAAAGGTCGCTTTTGTTCTCATCAGCCCGACCTTGGCATCGACCTCCTCTTCAATCAGCTCTTGTTCGATCGCCGTCTGGACTTCGTCAAGTGGTATGCCATGTTCGCCGCTTATGTTCTTGTGGTCACCATTGGGGTTTGTTTCGGGGACCTCGTTTCGGCTTTTACGCCTTCTGAACAATGATGTGTTCAACTGTGGAAAAATCGGCTTGCTTGTCGGATAGCTTCGATCCCATAACGCCTTGCTCTCGTCTTCATCTAGCTTCCTCTTTATGTTGAAATTATCGACCGCCCGTTGCGCTTCCCGGAATTTTGCGAGGTCAGTAAAGTACCGAGCCCGACAAAAGAATATCTGTTGCCAATTTCTACTCGCGACATCCATGTGAAGGCTCGGCGGTACCCAAAAGGGGTCACGAATGTTAAACCATGCGTGCTCCCGGAGATGGGAGCGGAAGAAGTCAGGTTCGATGTGCAGATAATGGCCAAGGAGGTCTATTGTATCCCGAGAAAGATCCTCAACGACGAAAAGCTTTAGGCCTGATCTTGGTAATTGATCCTTTTCGTCCTCATTTAACTCTAGCAGCTTGGCGCGGAGGTCAAACGGGCGCTCGAAATACGTTATTTGCGGTTCAGCTTCATTCTCTTTGTAATCCAGGAGACAGACTCTGCTGCGCGACACCCGCTCGGATCTTTTTTCCTCTGTGCAACATCCACGTCAGTTTTTTGGTGGAAATACATCAGTCAGATATATCGTTCGCAAGCTCACCTCTACCAACAGGATCGTCAGGATAGGTGTATCGATGGTTTTTGTCGGAATTGTTGAAATCTCTCCAGCGCAGGGGGTCGGTGCCGACCTCCATGAAATCGGCCAAATACTGCAGTGGCCTCCATCCTGGAGCGATAGTCTTGATATAGTCAAGATACGGATAGTGGTGAGAGTCGCTTGTAAAGGATGAAGTTAGCAAAACACGACAATACCCAGGCGAGACGGGTCGCAAAGATTGAGGGCCAGTCTTACGTTTTGATCTCCCACTGCCGGCGATAAATCTGCTGTTTCTCTGTCGCGTACAAATCGCCGGTAGAGTAGAAGTCGTTCCATTCCTTCTTGAACTTCCAGTCGGACACCGGCGTTGGTCGAAAGGACACAACCATCCTGCAGGCTGCGGCAAAATCGTATGGCCATGCGAACTATCCCTCAGGCGGCGGAGAGACCCGTCGGTCGCCTTATGTAGTTCGGCGGCCGCTCAGATCGATCGAGACTCGCTGCGACATTATTCATCCGGGCGGGGACCGAGGATTTGATATATCAATATCGCTGCGCACGATTGTGCAATACGACGCTGCGATTGGCCTCTTCTTTTCGCACAACTGAGAGACAACCAAGCCACTGACGCGAATCAAGAATTGCCGTGGGTCTCTCTATTCAATATCTACTGATGTAACGATGGTGGAGTGATTTCCAAGCCCAGTATTGCGTATTTTGCTTCGCATCGACACCACGCGTCCTTTTTGGCATATTAATACGGTCAGCAAAGGAGCTAAATATCAGTGCTACGTGTGTTACGCATTCAAATAGGCGCGCAGAAGGAATAAGAGGCATCGCACAAGCACAGGACAATCCAAATACACATGAGAGCCCCTCACCGCGAATGAACATGGAGTGAGGGGTCTGAGACATCATAGGTAGGATGATCGCGCCCGAAAGGGGCTGAGTGCATTTCTCAGCTGAACATCAGAAGAGGGTGGTCAGCACAGCGAGGCTCTGGAATCTCTGCCTGTGAAAAATACGTAATGTACACGTGCTGAATGGTAATGTGCATCTATTATACTACTTTGGAGTGACAATTTTGTGCAGATACAGACTCCGCTATCTATTTTCTTCTTCTATTTGTAATGATCGCAATTGGCTCGGGTCTTTGAGACGCGTCATAGAACACAAATGTGTCCTGTAACATGTTTCATGGCGATGAAGTCGTCGGTGTAGGGGCTGTATTCCCTTGCGTATTGTCGACAAAGGCTGATGAGCCCATCGCGAAATGATAAATGAGGTTCGCCTAGAAAATAGCGGACAGTTTGAAGCCCGTTTTGAGGAATCTGGCGAATAAAATGCCCGTGGTACCAGATAGCAGCAAAACACCAGCAAAGATCTTCATTCCCGTCCATCCTGTCGGGCTCTCGAGAATCGCCCCGGCAATGGGCGACGTGGTCAATCCGCCAATCGCTGAAATCAGGAATGTGAGGCCGTTTCTGTAGCCAATCTGCTCCGGGGGCGAGATTTGTGCAACGAGCGCACCCATCAGGGAGATATAGGCGCCGGAAAATAAACCGAAGAAGACGGAGAACACAATGACTCCGACCCCTCCGCTGGCTGGGATCCAGAGGGCCAGAATAAGGATACCTGAGACGTAGCAAGCGATGATGAAGATGTTGAATTTGCCGGCTTTGTCCGATATGTAGCCAGACCCAAGACGGCCAACTCCACTGCAGGAAACGAAACATTAGTAAGAGCGTGTAGCTGACGGATAGAAGAACATGCAGACAGTTACTCACCTTGCGGCATTATAAAATGCTACCAGATTTGTTGCCATTTGTTGATCCAGACCGGCACCAATAGCGGCTACAGGCATATAGTTGATTGGGATGTACAGGCCGAACGGAACGAGGAAGAGTCCAAGAAGGAGCGTCAGAAAGGCAGGCTCTCGGAAAGGCTCGGCCATGGCTTGGCGCGAAAGGCTGGCTTTGACGGGGCGTTTGCGGATCTTAAGGGTCAAGTTTGCAACCACGAGGAGAACGAGGATGATGAAGGCCGCTGAACGCATTGCCCAGCCGTACCCAACCTTGCGGATGAGGTTGCTCACCATGATTGGGAAGATGACGCCGCCGACACTCGAGCCCGTCGCTAGAATGCCAAATGCGAGCCCGCGACGTTTGCTGAACCAGCCGCTTATGGTGCTCAGGGCGGAGAGGAACACGCATGCAACACCGATTGAGCTGCAGATGCCCTGAGACAGGAGGAACTGATAGTACTTGGTTGATAAAGAGGCCATCATCAGGCCAAACACGTGCAGAAATGACCCAACGGGGATCAAGAGACCAATTCCATATCTATCGTAAACCGACCCAATGAAGGGACCAAGGGCGGACATGAAGAAGATTTGAAGCGACGGGATCCAAGAAATCTGACTGGATGAGTATTCTTTTAGAGGACCAGATTCGTAATACTCCTGAAACGTACCGATACCTGCAAATTGCGTTAGTTGACAGTTTATGCGATTTGAATAGTGATTGGCACCTACTATTGATCCAGCCGTAGCCAACAAACGAGGCGCACCACGCCCCGAGGACGACGAGCCATGCAGCGGTGCCGCCATCGGGAGGCTCATCCGAGTCAACCGAAGACAAGGACTCTTCCAAGCCTGTCTCTAACTCTGAAAGATTGGCCTCCGTTTGCTGCTTCTTTTCGTCGTAGTCATCGTGGCCAAGGTCTCTCGACTCTGCGGGGGCAACGGCGATGGCATGGCCAATGCCGCCTTGAGCCGAGGTCACTTCACCATGGTGAGCGGACGACATTCTCACAGCAGGGCGTCCGGACGGAACTGGAATCTGTTTCCCAACGGCACGACAGTGTTGGGCGAGAGTCTCCAGGTCTTCCCAACAAGCGCTGCAGTGACTGAACCCGCCAGCAATAAAGAGTCAGGAGACCCCCGACATCGAGCCGAATGGCGAAATGAAGGGAAAATATTTTCAATTGTGGAGCATAAGATCCCATGCAGGCAACGACAGACTCTTTCCCAGTTGGGCTCGCCGATGTTGTGGCCGGGTGGAGATGGGTTTAATCCCGGCCGTGGCAAAGAGTTTAGACAAATGAACGTCCATCTCGGTCAGCGGGGGATCGTTTCCTGTATCTTGGCGCGCGGCAATGGCAGTGCCGTCTAGTCTCTCTTAATAGAAAGATTTACTCTATGATTCAGTCCGGCAAATGGTGATCCTTCGCATGAGTACCATGAGATGTTCTTTTCACAACTCGTTATTTGTGAGCCAACTTATCAACATAGGCCTCAGCGACACTGTTCCTCCCCGCCTATTCTTAAAATACGGTAAAAAGGATAATAGATGCCGTGACATGCCATTAGAGCAAAGGTGTAGATGCCAAGATAGCGCGTCAATGTTATGTCAATAGTCGTTCTCGGTGCTGAGATGTCGACCTTAACGTGGTTCAGTCATCCATTCTAACAGAATAGCCATAGCTAGAAATATTGTAGGATCTTTCCAACGCCTTCCATCAATTTTTTTTATTTTTATTTTTGGAAGAATTATATGTCCTACCCTGCGATCTTTGAGAGTGCGAATTGAAAGGCATGCTACTACGTTGTCTAACCAGCGCTGACTTCGTTTCCGATGATCGATCTTTTACAACTGCCTCAAAACCGATCCTCGCACATTTCACATCTCCAAGTTCGACAGCTACCCCATCACTACAAGATCACTCGTCGAGTCTACGAAATCCCTGGTTCAATGTTCTCCTCTTGGTCAGGGAGCTTGTTATTCAACCAAGCCTTCGATTAAGTTCTGAACAGAATGATGAATTCCTCTCAATTTCTAGAATGGAGTCTCGCAGTCATGGAAGCGTCGGAGTATGCTTGGATGTACAAGAGAGCTGCCCTGGAACAAGTCTATCCCTGTTGATACTAACAGCTGAGCAACTTCACATGCTTGATTGAACGGCAGGTTCAGAAACGGCAGCGAGGTAAGTGAAGTGGAACCCGTACGATAGTGACTACTGGGGGAAAACATCAAACATTTCCGTACAATTTTCGAGTCCACATTGGATTTCCACGGCGCTAAGAAACAGAGTGTGTGATACTGGTCCTATGCTTGCGAATCAGTGCCCAAAGTTAACCAATGGCTCTCTCAAGTTCTCATCCATAAAGACTTTTCCTTGATTCACGTCGACCCGATCGTCTAGCATGTACGGCACGATCTCGATTGATAGTAAGATATAGCGCTAGGCCGAGTTATGTGTTGACAGGCTTCCAATTTCGGCGTTTCCTAGGCAGCTCTGCCTACTACTTGAATTGCTCCTTGGGGCTCAAGGCGAGTCAATGTGAACATCGACCCCAGAGCCCGTCTCTCTCAGCAACGTCCGGAGGAGGATGTTCCACTGTGAGCTTGTGCATTCTACTCGCTTACATGGTTGAAGACATTTCTGCCAATCTCAATCAATCATTCAACGGTATTAGAGCCGAGGTGTGGTATTTTAAGGACTGTTTCAAGAAAACGGGCGCGTTGTAGATATCACTGCTTACCCTAGAGCTATGTTTTGTTTAGGTAGAATAGGGACCTTAAATCACGACCATGTCCTACACGACCAACCATAGTTAGAACTTGATAACAGGGTCAGAAAATACAAATCAAACCTTACATGGTAAAAAACTCAGTTTAAGGTTATAGCCCTTGTTCATAATGATGGATTAGGATGTAATGAAATGCACATTAGAGAATTCCAGAAAAGACCTTCTCAACCCAATGTTGGTAGGATAAGTGAGACACTACCAAGGAAAAGTCTTAGAGCGAGCACGCTTTACCCTTCGGTATGAGGGAGATACACCTTCCAAGTTTAGCACACTGGATGTGCGGCCGTACCCAGAGGAGGTGACTATCATGACACCGACATCGCACTAACTTCGAGCTAGTTGCAGGCCCGGGGACAGATTTGGCCATTAAATAGCAGTCTTTGCATGGGCGTGAAGATGTTGATCTGATAAGGAACGGGTTCAAGGTTGCTCACTGGCTGAACTGACTAGCGGTCAGGGGCAAATGGTCCCATCTCGCATTAAGGGTGAGATGGCGAAACCGATGGCGTGCTCTCAACTTAGACCGACGCTACTGCCAACACAGATCGACGCTTAATTGCGTGATCGATCCAGCAAATAGCATCAACGGATCCCGCACCAACCAAGATCTGTCGGAAGCGCAGGAGGTTCCGAAGAGTGTGGGCTCTTGTGTCATTGGAGGTGGTGCGATTCATTTCTCCGAGATCCGCATTGCACTGCACCCCCGACTTAGAGATGAGCAATCCCCATGATGCTGATGAATCCGATTGCGGGGTCCACGTGTGAAGTATAGGAGGTATAAATAAGAAGCCGCTTCTCGTAGGACCGTAGGAGGAGGCTGGTCATGTTCCTCAAACCAATTCATAACTACCACCCATCATGGCACCCTCTGCAACCGAGACCACCACTACTACCCGTGGCCCTGCGCCCGTCCAAACTTACCACCTCCACCTGGATAAGCACAAGGAGATTGACACCACACAAATCGACCGTGATGTCGAGCTAGGAAAGACCGGGGCACCCGGGGCCAAGGTTTGTGACTGCTTGGGTGCGTTATTAGTAACCGGATCTTGCTAACTTACTTGGTTATCAGTATCCCCATTACTTGCCAACATGGAACCCGGAAGACAAGTATCCTGCTCTGGAGCCTTTCGAGCATTACGAGCACGGGAAGGATGCTGATACATCTTACCGCAACCTGCTTCCTGAGGGTGCCACGGTCAACCATCTGACACCATTCACTGGCTCAGAAGTCCGTGGTGTTCAATTGAGTTCCCTTTCCGACGCAGGAAAAGACGAACTCACTCGATTCGTCGCTGAGCGCAAGGTTGTTGCCTTCCGCGGCCAAGACTTTGCCGATCTATCCATCAAAGATGCTCTTGAGTTCGGTGGTTACTTTGGCCGTCATCACATTCACCCAACCTCTGGTGCACCGGAAGGACACCCTGAAGTCCACCTTGTCCATCGTGGAGCCAACGACCAAAACTTCAAAGCCTTCTTCGAGGCCCGCACAAGCTCCGTTGCCTGGCACGCTGACATCACATATGAGAAGCAGCCACCTGGCACAACGTTCCTCTATTTGCTCGACGGACCAGATGTCGGTGGTGACACTGTTTTTGCCGATACTGCGCTGGCATACCGGCGCTTGAGCCCCCTCTTCCAGCAACGTCTTCACGGGCTCAAGGCAACTCACTCTGGTATTGAGCAAGTGAATGCCTCTGTTGCAAAGGGTAGCATCAAGAGACGCGAGCCCGTTGTCAGCGAACATCCCGTTATTCGGACTCATCCTGCTACCGGCGAAAAGGCAATCTTTGTGAATGAGCAATGTAAGTTGGCATCAGGCTCCCTAGGTGCATTGAACCAAACTAACCTTACCTATAGTCACTCGTGATATCGTTGGCTTGAAGCGAGAAGAGTCTGATGCTCTACTCAAGTTTCTGTACGACCACATCGCTCGAAGCATTGACTTGCACGTACGCGTCAAGTGGGAGGCGGACACAGTTGTGATCTGGGATAACCGAGTCACTCAGCATACTGCATTGGTGGACTGGGAGAATGGCGAGCGAAGGCACTTGGCCAGGATCACCCCTCAGGCTGAAGTGCCATATGAAACTCCTTTTGAATCCTAGAAGCAGGGCCTAATGATAAGATGAATAAATAAACAAGCGTTGCATCCTTTCTAAGATTTGAATTTCGCTGTAGCACCTGGAATGACAAGTTTGATGGAGCCGTCAACCACTTGCTTGATGCTCACTCCCCATCGTGACTCGCCAGGATTGGTTTGGTAGTGCTTCACTGTCTCCCACGCTCGACTGTTCACAAATTCATTCAAAAGCGTCCCATTAGTGCATTGTCTAAATTTGTCCCATACACCTGAGTTGGAACGGCCGTCATTGTGCGGAAGCGGCAGCCCTCATGGTGAGCTGATTGAACATAATCTCCTGGACGTGGCGATATTCTAGACCAAGGTGCTAGGCACTCCCAACAATATTCATGGCGACATAAAGTACCTAAATCACTTTGTTAGTAGGTTTTATTGGCCATGGTGATGTACAAATTTGAAATAAATTTGCACCAGCAAAGTGAAGGATGATCACTTACACGTCATGTGAAAACAGTCTTCGCCCTTTTGAGTATCTTGCTTACATTGGGGGCATTTCTTAGTATTCTGGGCTATCCAATCTCGCGTTTGCTGAATATCTGGATCGCCATGCACTCGTGCGCTATCGTATTGGTCGCAGGTTTGACCTTGATGCCATGGTATCGAGTGTTTGTAGCACATCTCGAAACTGCAATCGCCGCAAGTAATACGAGGGTTATCTGGAGTGATATTCTCATATAGCTGGCCACTCTTGCAGGCAGCTTTTCCAGGGTCCCCAGGGTCCCCAGGGCGGGGAGGACGGCGAGGGCGGCCTGGGTTAAGACACCAACGGAAATTCGGAAATTGGCTCAAGACGTTGAGATTGAGGTATTTATCGTATCTGTGTAGAGACAAGTCAGCCTGGCAGTTTCAGCTTGCAGGATGTATAAGATCTCTTACGTGGCAAAAGTATTAGATTTTGCGTATAGCTTGACCTCTTGATACGTTAGACGGCGGCATTCTGGGAAAGGGCAGGATAAATCCTGACATTTTGCCCGCCCGTACTCCTTGAGCTGAACCTTGAGATGCTTCTCTAGGCATTTGGTACAGAAATTGATATCATGTTTGCACTCTGTTGCAAGTTTCAGTGGGAACTTTAGCACCTCCCACATCCAGTCTCCGTTGAAACCGGAGCAATCCTCAACCCAGTTCCATATTCGACCGACATCTATCTCTATATCGTAGATTTTCTCTACACAGTAAGCACACTCTTTGGGAATTCTTTTCTTGCGTATAAATCCAAAAAGAAACGCCACTTTCAGAGTAACACCTTGGTGCTCGACGCTTATCAATTCTGTTTCAGCGGGCTCGAAACTCGGCATATCTTCCCTAGCCAGAATTGAATTCGGTGGAAGATCTGCAATGTTGTGCATACGGCCCATTGATATAAGTTGGAAGTATAATTCTGAGGAGACTTTGAGACCCTGACCGTCCAGGCCTTTTGGGCTTAGACCTTTTAGTGCGTCTCTTAAGGTTTTAATACGATCGTATCTAGAGCAATAGGTTAGTCGTTGGTCAGGAGATGTATGGGGTTAGGGTGAGCAACTTACGCTGCTATATGCTTGGCGACGTTTGGATCTCCCAGATTCTGAAGCGTGGCCTGGAGTTGGTCCCTTCCTCTGATGTTGAAGGACGCGTCGCAGTTACCCGATGGACACTTTACCCAGACACTCTTCTCTAAGTCAAACCAGTAGTCATGGAGGAGTGACCGAATAGCTCCTTCAAGAACGCATGATTTACATATTTTCGCGGAACAGCACTGCATTTTCTGTCCTAGCTCATCTACCCTCAACCTGGGAGCTTGGTTAGTGAGTGTCAGCTTTGGAAGCTGGCAGACATTGCAACCAACAATGGCCATCTCATTGCCTCGGATGCTTTTCCCTAGCTTGTGAGCATTCTTAGTGCTCAAAGGAAGGTCAAGGTACTGGTTAGTGAGTGAGGACAATGTGCAAAGTTCCATGAAGCGACTGGCCCCAGGAATCTCTGAAATGTCCTGAGAGGTCCGCGCCTGGGAGAGAATCTTCTGAAAAATGACTGTTCGGGGGGTGTGATGACCCCCAACAGCCCGTGCGGCTTCTTTGACCCTGGCCGCTGATTGCCGGCGCTGTTCTTCCATTTCTCTCCGTAACGCGTCTGTGGCTTGTTGGGATTGGGCTTTCACAGCCTCAAGTGTGCGGTTAAGCGTTACGACTCTTTCAGACAAAGACTGTTTCTCACCGTCCAATCGCGCCTTGTTTCCTTGTAACGCTGTGAAGGCCCTATCCTTTTGATGGTGATTGGCATTTAGGGATACAATTTTGCTGGACAGTTCACTGTTTTGGTGCTCCAGCGAATGAATCTTATTGTTTGCAAGTTCCAGTCTAGATCTTAAATCGTTGCCTTGATGATCAACGCGTGCCTGATGAGACTTCATTGTTTGAAGGCTGTTTTTGAGCATGAGATTTTCATCATTTGCCGCCAATAGCTTGTTGCTTAGAGAGGTCTTTTCACGTCCGGCATGGGCCTTTTCGGCTTCAAGGGCATTCTTTGTTTGTTCGAATTTAGCCTTTGAGTCGTGTTTGAGTGTTTCAAAGGCTTTTTCCAGATTTCTCTTGTCGAGACGATGACTTGCAATCTCCTTCGCCATTTGAGCTTTCTCGTGACTGAGACTGTTCTTGGAATTTCGTAGCTCTTCAACGCAAGCCTTCAATTCGATATTCTCTCGATCAACTGAAGCCTTTCCCGCTTTCATAGTATCGTATCTATGTTGCAGACTATCCTCAGCATTTCGTAAATCTTCAACGCAAGCTTTCAGGTTTACAATCTCTTGATCAAGTGAAGGCTTTCCTGCTTTCATAGTATCATATTTGTGGTTTAGACTGTTCTTGGCATTTTGTAGATCGTCAACGCAAGCTTTCAATCTGATATTCTCTTGATTAAGTGAAGCCTTTCCTGCTTCCATAGTGTCGTGTTTATGTTGCAGGGTGTTTTTCTGACGGCTTATCTCGGCTGTGCTAGCTTGCAACTCGGCTATTTGTTGTTCCATCTGAGTTCGCTCTTGGTCAGCCGAATATTTGGCGTTTTCCAAATCGACTAGGGCCTTTTCTGCAATATCTTTGTTCATCTGGAATCTTCCAAGTTCCTGTTGTTGTTCATCGAGTTTTAAAACTCTAGTCCGAAGCTCCTCCTCAAGCCGAATGTTTTCTTGGCGTAACTCGTCGGTAGGGAGATCCATGTATTTTGATAGAGCGTCTTTTGCGGCACTGAGGTCCTTCACTTTTGATTCAAGATTCTTTTGGATTTCTGATGCCTGCAAATTGTCGATCCTGTAACGCTCAAGCTCAGCCTCAAGTTGCTGAGTATGCCTCATTAGATGAGTCTCTGAATGTTGCGACTCTCGTTTCAACTTCTCAATGTCACCCATCAGAGCCTGAAGCTTGAATTTTTCGTGTTGAATTTTCTCTTTTGCAGTGGCAGCTTCCTCAAGCGCTGCTTGCAGCTGGCTATTCTGGTTCGCGATTGCGGTTTCTTGAGCATCTCTCTCTTGCGTCAAGAATGCGTTGTGGCGACGCAGAGATTCCACTTCCTGATGCCAGTCCCTGTTTGGTTCATCTTTTCTTTTAGATTCTAAGGGCAGATGATCAACATCTGTTTCGCTTGACCAGTCATCCGAGCTTGACTCCGTCGAATTTTGTCTCCTTCGTTCGACGTTCGCTGCGACCGATCGCCTTCTTGGTCTGGCTACTCTTCGGGCATCATGACAATCTCCCCCTTGACTCCTCGCTCTTGAACTTGGACGAGACCTTCTCGGTAATGGTCGCTCGGACTCCTCTCCATGATGGCGTGCCGTTGATCTTCCGGCTGCGGGAGGACGCCTTCTCGGTCTCGCCTCACTTCCCTTGAACAGCCTTACCACTGCGCCCGGAACCTTCATGGGCAGGAGATTTGAATGAAGTTTATAAGCTGAAAATCAAACAACGCAGAGACCGCTAGACGATAGCTCAAGAAGGGACGGTTTAAATATGATGCTTCTATGATTAGATGGTTAATCGCTGATATCACAAGGAGCTGTCTTGATGATTGTTACCATCGATTATCTTAAAGACCAGCTCAACAGCGCGTTGAAATAAAAGAAGAGTTGATATGTTCAGCAAGAGATGCCTATTTATGCATTTTTGGTAGCGTTAGTGAATGTACAAGATGAGGGTCATCATTCAGGTGAATCAAACACAATGAAACAAGTGTTTATGTACGGGGAACAACTAAGCCCATTCACTCTTCATTTCATGGGAGATGGCAGTTTCACTGATGTTCTGAGACGGCTCACAGTGTACAGGCGTGGTTTTCAACAAGGCTTTCCTCCACGAACATAAGTCGTAGGAGGAGCCGACCGAACTTTGTTCCTTCACTGGCTCTAGCTAACTTGTGCCTGAACTTCTAATAGAAATGAGTGGTAAACACGGAGAATTCGTATCGGAAAATCATGAGCATGAAGTAGCTGTTCATCTATTATCTAAGGAGTTAAGAATCTTTATGAAAATCGTGCGCTTTGTCTTTCACCATCCAGACGTCAGATATTCCAAACATATCGATTTCAAGCGTCAAGGAGCCTCGGAGCAAGACGACCCAAAATCGTTGTGGATAGTCCTCCCACCAGGTCTAGTGCTCACAACTAAGATTATGTCAATTATACACATTCACCAGCATTGCGACTTGATGCCTAAATTTAGATGGAGACTTATGTGCGTCATCCTTTAAGAGGATAAACCTACTTGATTGACTGGGATTGAAGGCGCCCCCCATGTTCCTTATGAGATGGTGTTCGCCACCCGGAATGATCGTCACAATGAGTCAAACACAGTCATCCGCAGATCAAATAGAAAGTTAACTTATAATTCCTCAGTGAGCCAAAATCGTGACAAGAATCTGTGCAACCACCCTGCCCATATTATACTTAATCATTGACACAAATACTGCTCAATATTGGCATTATTTCACCTACCATTCTACATCCTAGACGTCATGGGCGAGTCAGAGAGCATTGCTGGCCCTACGAAGGACTCAAATCTCACATTCCGTGAAATCACAGAGGACAACTGGCGTGCGGTAGCAAATTTAAGCCTCAAAGACGGCCAGACTGGCAACCTCGCACCCAACGTGTGGTCTCTCTGCGAAGCGCACTATGACGAAGATGCTTGGGTGAGAGCCATCTATGCGGATGACACACTCGTCGGAATGCTCATGATGGCGATTTGGGATGCCGGTGGCGCATACTACATCTGGAGATTCATGATCGACGGCCGGTATCAGAACTTGGGCTACGGCCGACGAGGCGTGGAGTTTGCGATAGCACATATACGACAACACCATCCTAAAGCAAAGCAGTTGGGGGTGAATTCAACGCCACCTGAGGGGAAGAAGAGCGAGAATCCTAACAAGAATGTAAAGCCTGAGGATTCGCCTTATAACTTTTATTATAAACTTGGATTCAGGCAGGCCGCACCCCCAGATGAGGACGGGGAGATCCTGATGATGATAGATTTGTAGATATTGAGTTCTATTCTATACCGTTGTCGCTAATACCAAGAATTCATTGAAACATCGGGTTTTGGCAGTCTTTGCTTTACGGCTAAAGATTATACTATTCCTGAAGTAACTATGTGCCAATTGAAGGCCTGATTAAGCGCGATCACGTATCTTAAGGATGATGGGTAGGCTGGACTTAAATTTATAGCGAGTAACTTGTAGCTCGCGAAGGATATGATACCGATTGTGTCAAACTCATTGAACTTATTTCCTCTAATTAAAGATTCAAAAGCCGGGGACAAGGTGCAGAAATAGAATAACCTAGCTGCTTGATGCAATCGAGGCATTTTTCACATTAGATTCAATTAAAAACGCGAACAAGCCTTGATTGAAAACTTGTTTCCAAAGTGACTCCTCAGCCGAGTCCCAACATCGAATCGTGATAGTGGGCTGGTCCCCAGGAGGGTATCCCTCACTAAAACTGCCACGAGCTGATCCCACGAGCTCCATAGCTTCACTGAAACGGCATGAGCGAATTAAAGTGAGAGCAAGGCTGTGCATGCTTTCGAGAGTACGAGGATGAGTGTCTCCAAGCACTCGCCGTCTGGTACGCACTACCTCCACTTGCAACTCCTCAGCTTTCTCCAACGACTGCAGGCTTCGATATGTGAAGGATAGGTACATCTTCACTTTCAAGGTTTCTGAATGCTCGTCACCTAGCGTTTGGCTCATGACTTTTACCAACTCCACGAGTAGCTTCTCTGCATCCGCCCACCGTTCTTGTCTGTTATATGTGAATGCCAGATTCCTCTGAGCAATCAGGAGATCAAGTTCGTCATAGTCGAATAGCCTTTTCATGACTGTGATCAGTTTGACTTGTAGGTCTTCGGCTTTTTGTAGTTCCCCTTGTTTCTGATATACCAGACCAAGATTTGTCTGCGCAGCTAGCACATCAGGATGCTCATCACCGAGGATGCTTCTTCTGGTCTCGATCACCGGTAACAGTATTTCTTCTGCTTCACTCCACCGATTCTGTCCTTGGTAGATTCCTGACATGCTGGCAAGAACCTCCAAGGTGTCAGGATGGTCCTCTCCAAGAATCTGCTTCGAATCAGTGACCAGTTGTGATCCAATTTCCTCAGCCTCCTCCCATCGGCCTTCGCATTCGTATATGAATGCCAACTGAGACTTGATGAAAAGGACATTGGTGAAATCATTCCTAGAGCTTGACGAGGTTCGCCCAAGGGCCCGCAACAACAGTGTTTCAGCTTCAGCCCATCGATCTTGATCCCGGTACAGCATAGCTAAATCGATTTCATCCTTTTGGACATCGGGATGATCCTCACCTAGCATTCGCTTCCTTGACTCCATTGCCAGCAAGTATAATCTTTTAGCCTCGTGCCATTTGCCTTGGGACTGATATACTGATGCTAGGGTGGATCGAGTAACCAGTGTCCAAGGATCTTCATCACCAAAGGCTTCTTTCTCTAATATCAACACTTCTTCGAATGTACGCGCTGCGTCTTTATAACTCTTGTGTGTTTGAAATGCTTTCCCCAAGAGATGCATGGTATAAAGAGTATGCGGGTGTTTTGGCCCGAACTGCTGCTTGAAGCGTTCAAGGGCGTCTTCGAATACTTGAATGGCGATTGCGCCTTGCCCGAGAGTGTTGTAACATTGACCAATGGTGCCAAGCAAGTATAGTACCTCTGGGTGGCTCCTTATCTGCGGAATGTCTGCAAAGGCCTTTCCATGGGGAAGAAACGCCGGGTATTCTTTCAAATTCTCATAGCCTCCTTCCGGGATCAAACATCTTAACCAGAGAAGGGTAACAGCCGTGATTGCAGGCCATCCGCCACTTTCTCTTAGATGCTCTTGTACGATGACTGGAATCAGGGGATGGACGTCATAAATATCCCCGTCAGTTCGTTTACTCAAAAATCAGTATGCCTTCAATGTGCCAAGTGCTTTCTCTGCGATGATATCTGATTCCGCGGACGGGAAAATCGCTCGCGGGATGTTTTGCGGTGCAATGCAAGCCAAGAAGCCAAGGTAAAAGGCGGCAACCTTGTCCTCTTGTTCTATGCGCATGAAAGAAATCTTCCAGGTGAGGAAAACGGCGTTTCTTGATTCCCTGTCTCTGTTGGGGTCATTGAAATCTTCCCGCAACAGCTCAGTCTGCGAACTGCGGCACTTTTCGAACAGTTCCATATAGCGTTCTAGGGAGATGCCGTTCTTTCTGACGAACGCGATAGCTTGGATAATAGCGAGGGGATGTGATATGACCATCTCAAGGAATTTGTCCAGAGCTTCGTCTGCTAATTTCTGTTCAGTTCCGAAGAGTTTCCGCAGCAGCTGTTTTCCCTCGCAACAGTCCATCTCACCAAGTGACCAAGCATCATGAGGAGCTACATCGATGGCGATCTTGCGGGTTCGGGTGGTGAAGAGAATAACACCCTGCGCATTGTGGGGGAGATAATCATATAGTCGACCACCACTGTCATTAGCATCAAATAGGACAGAGCTGTCGTCCGCATTATCGACAATCATGAGCCATCTGCGCATGGATTCATCGCTCAACTTCTTTCGAACGCGTTTGAGCACATCGATATCACAATCATCAGGTTTTGATGCTTTCAGCTGTAGCGCGATCTCGCGATAGGATTCTAGGAAACGCTCCTTTGTAAATGAAGAAACCCAGAAGACCGCTAGAGAGGGATTGCCCTTGCGGGCTTGATATGCGAATTCGACAGCAGCAGCGCTTTTCCCGGTGCCACCAATCCCGTAAATAGCAATTGATGGATGGTTCTGAGGGTCATTAAGACAATATTGGAGTCTTTGTAGCAGCTTGTAGCGGCCAGTAAAATGAGGATTTCGGTTGAATGGTAAAATCCATGGAGCTACCGAAGAGTTGTATTAGCATCGAAACTAGACATAGTCTGGCGATTTAGTATGAAATAGGCAATGAAAGACTTGCCTGGGACCTCATCAGATTCTGCATTCTTCTTTGATGAGATCACTTGGAGCAGCTCCTTTGCATACGCTGCTGCCGTAGCTGCTGCAAAAGGCTGCCACCTCTTGTTCTTGTGTGAGTCTGCATAATCGCAGATTCCACGGATCACGAGGCAAGGGAAGTTGTTCATCAGCCCGGCAGCTTCCATCTCGAAACAGAGGATGTTGCCGCCAAGGTCTTCGTAGATTTTATCCCGTTCGACTCCGTCTCTAATCAGAGAGTTTGACGACGCAATCGTGCCGTAGTGGACTTGTACCAGATCCTCTTCCGACCGTGGTTCCCTCTCTACGAGCATTTTCTTGGAACATCGCTCACAGTTGTTGCCTCTCTTGTGGGGATACTCAGGTGGGAAAAGGCAGTCCGGTCCGGCCTTTTCACGTCTGAACTTGGCCCTCCTTTCCCCAAGCTGCGATAAGTATTCCGTAAACGAACCCTCGTCCAACATATGTTTTCTTTGAACCTCGGACAGAGCATGCAGCAGAGGCCTCGGCGGCTTATTGAGATGGCTGGTTTGCTGAAATCGTCCATTCGGCAGACGCTTTCCCAGGTCAAACTGTACTACCCCGGCGTGGCCGTTGCTGGGTTGGCTCACGACAACATCTCCCAGTCTTATATCAATATCGCTTGGAATTCCACCACCAATCCCGACGAGGAGACGATATTTAATGTTCGGAAAATGGCTACTCATTTCGGTAGCGACAGTGGTGGCAGAGGTAAGGCCGGGTTCACCAGCCGGGAGGCAAGCGATTACTACATTATGGCTGTGGATTCGGCCGCTGGTATATTGGGCGTTAATCTCTCCTTGGATCTCTGGTGACTGATGTCTCTCGTCCAGCATTTCCACGACAGCAGCGTATTCGACTGGTAAGGCTGTGATCAACCCGACCGTGTAGGCCTGCGGCGACAGAGGCGACAGATCCACTGATGCGTCTGACATGGTGGTCACAACGCCTTAGACGCGAGACTTCACGGACGGGAGTCTATTGGAAGTAGTTTGATGAATCATGACAGTCCTAAGTCAAGGAAGGGGGCGGTGCATGATTATGCGGGGTGTGGGCAGCCAATGTTACGAGTTGGGCTTTTCAGCTGGAATCTGGATTGGGAATAGGTTGGGTCAATTGTGAGATGTCTTGTGCATTATCAACAGTCAGCTCAAGCAGGATTCAGTGTATTGGTCACAAATCGTGATCCAACGCCCAATCACGTGCTGAGAGACCATTGATCAGCCAAGTGTTAATGTCCCTCGTGCACCACTAGACCATGCTGCTATTATTTCGCTACTAAGGGAAATTATTGTCCAGCTGGAACCCAAAACATCGAGATAGAGCTCCATGCCATGCGATCGCACATCGATGCCATACGCCAGGGCAGGAGAAAAGCCATGCGGCCTGGCGACACCCATGCTTTAAACCATGGGGTCTGCTCGTGTATTACTCGGAATTTGATCCTTCGGGGGATTTCTGGCCAACGATACCTGATCCTCCATCCATCAGCAAAGATGTCGGCTTGGCAAAAGAAAATATGATTCATGTACGGGCCCTATTAAGTATGTCAGGCTGCTGATCTCCCAGCATAAATGGTACATGCACATTTCACTTGTGACGAAGACGTTAGCTGGTATCGGCGTTAACAGCCATAAGTCTAGCCACCCATACCTCCCATATATTAAACCAGTTTTCCTCCGTCCACCCTATGGAATGAAAGGGACAGCTTTATGTATTTAGCCACCCACCTTCTGAAATTGACCAACTTTAACCACTAAAACCTAGACCTAATTACAGCTGATGAAATAAAGATTTTTCTAAAAGTTAATATAAATACATTTTTTAAAAAGAAGAAAGAAATTCTAAATATTGCTTAACTTTACTAATAAAACTAACTAATAGAGAAGAATATCCATAATTATTAATATCATTTATTCGTAATATATTTCCTAGTCTTAATAGCAGGGTTGTTTCTGTGTGTTGGGCCGGCTGGTACCTATTAATGGACTTGTCTTAGGCAAGCAGTCAAGGGGCTGTAGGTAGCTAAAATGGCATGGCTTACGAGCTCCGTGGGATGCAGATTAATACCTTGTGCTCCCCCAAACATCTGTGAATAGGCTAGGCGGAGACTCATTTATTCTCCCAACTCGCAATGAGCATAAGGCTCCGATGTGCCAGTCCTTGGGAGCGACTCACGGCTTGAGCATTCTCGAATTTCAGTAGCTAATAACCCAGATGTTACACGACTGCCTCCCAACACCTCAGCTGGCCCTTTTGAAAAGCCCACGGTCCTCGAGCCATCCCCATATCCGCCGCCGCCCGACCTCGATTAGTCGCCTCCGACGTTGACATTTGCCAACATGGTCGTGTAAGCCAACACGTATAAGAACATGTGCGACGAGTCAACGCCCCACCAGATGAGAAAGACGAGAAACAGGAGCACCCAGACCACAATGACGACGATGTTCACCCATCTTGCAAACGCCTCGGAAGCCAGGACCACGAATGGCGCCCCGAAGAAGATGCTCGCGACGAGGCTCGCCCCGGTTGAGAGGAAGTTGACAAGGCGGCCATGATACCCTTCGGTTTTGCGCATGCCAACAATGTCAATGTCGGTGAACTTGACAAGAAACCCCTAGTCGACCGACGTCAGTCCACTCCGGACGCTCAAGCGAACACTGCGGCAGAAATCACGCCAGCTACCTACCAACAACCAACCCATCTTGACCTTGTCTTCCATGATGATGGACCTCGCCCAGTCCTCGAAAAGGCGGGGGTTTCTGAGTGCCCTCCACTGCCTGGTGGTCCAAGGATACTGAACCTCGCTTTTGCCTTCCAAGCTAACGTAGTTGAGGAAGACCTTGAGATCACGGCTAGACATCTTGTTGAGACCAGTCATGAAATGCCTGAGCTGAGCTAGTTTCACTACGGGACGGTTAGGTTTTACAGCACACCATCAATCAAGGTCAATATCGATATGGGACTCACTGGTGGAGAAGACCTTGCTGATTACCTGCTCCTCCATCAGACGTTCTACGGTCGTATCGTCGCCGTCGCGGATGGCTCTCTGAACCATGCCCCAGTCCCGGTCGAGACGATGCTCAAAGTACGCCTGGGTGAAGGCAAAGACATCGGAAAAGGCCCTCACACCTTGGTAGTTTGGGTCTCGTGCCTGGAGCCCGCTCACACGGAGCAGGCCAGTATACTCTACGAAGGCATTAGATGGGCCTGTTCAGCTCAGGAGGCAATCAGGGACGGAACCTTACTCGACTTCGATTCCAAGTCGGCATCCGTCGACTCTGCGGGGGGCGCTAATGGCTGGCGTTAGCGGCTAAAGCCAGAGCGGGGTGCATTAGGGGCGGACCTTCACTGGACGTATCCGCTGGAAGCTGGCCCGCCTCAGCGGCCGACAGCGATCGCAGGGGGGTTGGGCTAGCGCTGTTCCCACTGTCGTCTGGAGGGCTGAACAGCCCAAAGCTTCGAGCTCGCTGAGCCATGAGGAGGTGCTTTCAATTTCCTACTTGTTTGCCTGGAGATGCGGTCTGATCTGAGGAAATTCGGCTGGGCAGAGCCCGATATTAATACGTCGGTGCTTCTCTCACTTGAGGATTTCCAGAGCTCACGACCGATGCTGGAGTGTGGCCAAAGTGCAGGAAAAACATATTCTACAGCTTCAGCACAGCCCGCTGACAGTAGGAATGACGACTCTCTCGGTCAATCAATCGCTCGCCTACCGTCAGGCCACAAACCAGAAGCAGAAGCAGCCCTACTTGTCATATTCGGCGTGTACACCGCCACGTTTTCGGTCATATTTCACGCAGCGTGGAGGGGGCATCCGGCACGCAATTGGAGACAGCGCACCCGTCAGAATTGCGATTCTTACCGGCGCTGAGAGCGACCAAACAGAACCCTCCAATTTCCAGCAAGGCGACGCCAATCTCACCAATATGCGACATATCTGACGCATTCGGTCGGCTGCCTCGACTTGCTCTTTGATTGATTCAAATGCAGTAATGCATTGCACTATCAGCCCGTGATCTCATCATAGGTGAGGTGTGGGGAAACTTCAGATTGATTTCTTTATCTATAAGCTGAAGAGAGCCCTACTTGGTTGTACCACATTCCATTCCTTCATGTTTTCTCTTTCCTCCCCCGCTTCCCTCCTTTTTGTTTGTCTTCCCTGGATCCAGGCACAGAGGGGTAGGGGAAATGCACAGATCCCCACACGGCGCTGGCACATGAGATTAGTGTCCATGCTATGTAATCCCCATTGACCTTAGCCTCCAGCGGTGATGGTCTGTTCCACACGCACTAGATATCCTCTGTCATTGGTCAACAGTGGCTCCGGGAGTGAAGGGCTACAGCACAAGCACCTACCTCTCTGGCTGGTTTGGCAATGGTCGCCCAAGATGCGAAGCTAGTTCGGGACAATGATTGGGCTGGGGGGGTCTTCAATATCGGGGCTGGCCATCAATTTCTTGCGGCAGATGCTTATCATGAGTGAGGTGGATGACGGAAACATGGTGCGCGAAGTTGTGGGTGGCCGGGTAGGCAGTTGGGTGGTTAAGAGCAATGCGCGGTGGGCAGCGGAGTCTTGCTGTTGGAGCTCTGTGTTTGTTCAGGGGCCGATGGATGCATCCTCAGGATCAGGTGGACGAGTGATGGGCCCCTCAACCTTTTATGCCCGCTCTGGAATCAAGACTCGAACCCATAACTCCTCTGAATTGGTTCCGCGCGTGCGGGCGAGACGAGTTTTAGGTTCGAATGGGCGGAATTAGAGTCAACATCGGGCGAGATCATGGCTTGGTGACAAGGGTAGCGACATGGAGGAATCTCCTTCTGCTCGCTCATGCAGACCAGTAGGAAGGCATGCTTAGCCGCTCCCTCGCCAGGCAATGGTGTTGATTGGGCTACTGAGTTACGGCTCGCGAGGGCTCGCGATCAAAGATGGTATGGTCCCCATCATGAAAGCAGCAGGGAGCCCTGCTAGCTTGGATATACCAGACTGCGGGCACTCAGTGCGATGTGATCATCGCTGGAGTCGCTCTCGTCCCCGAGGCAGCCCGCCAACAAGGCCAGACCCTGCACACCGAGTCCTTCACGCCCCAGTTAGCGGTTGGAAACTTGAAAGACGCTGAAGAGAGAACAAGTTCGCGCAAGAGATCACATGCGACGAGAGTGGCGCTCCCTCGTCAACAGGGGCAACAAGTCATGGACAGGACCTTGGCATGAGGTGGAGTGGACGGGGAACCTTGTCATCTGACGACATTAGCGAGTTTGGCTATGTTGCAGAGGAAAGAGAAAACCACGATTGACTGGTGGCGAACGTCGGGATGCCCCGAGAACCTACATACGCGCTTGGCCATGGAGCTCTTATCCCGGTTCGTCTCGCCGGCCCTTGAGATTGGTCTGCCGCAAGCTGGAGCAGGTGGACGGGCTATTTACATTGTGTAAGGTGCAACGGTAGAAGGGTAAGGAGCCAGGAAGGGCATGACTTGGGCCTCCGAACGCATGCTGCATGTGTGACACACCCCTTCCGGTGGAGAGCCTCCTTTGAGTTGGCACACAGCCACCCACACGCCTGCTAAAACGACTGCGGAGGGGGCCCATGATACGTGCCCACCTTGGCGGCCGCAGCAATATCGCCTACTGCCGGAGCTACAGTTGTTATCTACACCTTCAATCCAAGGGGAAGATCAGGGAACGCGTAGAGGGCCGTGAGCTCTGGAGTCTTTCCGCATGGCGGGCCGTGGCCTACGGTAGGAGAATCACCCACGGAGGAGGATGGTTGGATACAGGGGGGATTCACCTACGTCAGCGGGGTCTTTCACTGCATTACCTAGGCAGCAGTCTGGGTCCGTTTATAGCACCGTACACGAACTGAAATCACTTCGGCTGGAGCACGTACCTATTATGCCTAACCCCTCACCCCCCTGCTGGCTTGAATTCAGTAAGGCTAACTTGAAATGAAGCTGAGAACACCAGCTCGGCCCGAGCAGACCCATGATTCAACCATTTTCGACAACCATCCCTTGCTATCCCATCAATTCCAGAAGCGGAAATGAGTCCTCACCTTTCCGCCGGATTAACGCATGGCCGACCGTATTGTCCCCCCATAATTGAATATAGGTTCCTAATCGCGACCGTTATGCCACGTAGAACACGGTGCCAATCATTCCCTGATTTTCAACATGATTATTTCAACCGGCAGCTTCACACAACCTGCCAAGCGCTCGCAGATTGCGACCACTAAATGGGCAATTGTATTTCGTCAATTAGTAATATATAATCGCTATCAATTTCTCGGCTCATTGCTGTAGCTGCATCCGTTCGTTGCCGGTCACCAAACGGACGGATTAGAAATCTCCATATCTTATCCATCACCTGCCATCGTTTGTTAGTGCAAAATAAAATCCGCTGCTCATTGTTTCGATCGTGCAATCATGTTTCCAATCATACTAGCATCAAGATTATTCAATAGTTGTATTGTAGTACATTACCACCGGTCTGTTTTTCGCGAGTGCGCCTGTGGGACCCATCGTTTTCAACATCACAAGAATTCTCTTTCAAGAGATGATACAGACGATATTGGACATTCTAGTAGGAAACATGAATTCAGTCAAGGTATATTTAACTAACATGAGTCCGTAGGTACTTCAGCCATCGTGGTGTCGGGGGTTCATGATCGGGTTGTTGTTGTCACAAAACCAAGATCTCGACTGATGTTAAAAGATCCTTGGGACCCTGAGTCAGCCCACTAAACTAATGTAGGAACACGGGACGGGAACGAAGATCAGTTGGTGGGCCATGAACCGGTGGGTGGGAGCGTGATGGACCCATGGGTAAGGGCAGGCATGCAATGCACCAAGGGCCAGCCGAAGTCTCGGGACAGGCTGGGATGCCTGAGCAGATCAGGCTCAGCTGGCATATGCTACCCCTCGTTAGTCTCGCCCTTCTCTCATCCCTTCGTAATCACTGACAATGTTTCAAGTCACCTGCGCCTTCAACTCCCCAAGCACTCCACCGCCTACTTCGAGAACTACAGCGAGAAGACTGCGCACAGATTTACTTCTCCCCCAAACCTACATAAAGGTCAAATCGTGCTCTCCGTCTACACAACGGAGAAACGTCCGAAGCTAAGTCTAATAGTGTACAGATGAGCTTCCACATCGAATGGCAGGCGCTACTGGGACTCTACAAGAGCCTTGTCATTCCTCGGGCCTGCCCACCTGGTTTCCATCGTCTGTAATCTTACAGACCAGACTACCTCATCGTCTTCCTATAAGAAGCCTCCATTTCACTAGAAAGGCATTCTTACAAGTCCAGCATGACGCCTAATGCTGAACAGCAGCTCAAGACATTGCAGACCTCTTGACAACATCCTCTTAACTCTCGCAAGTCTCTGGCTTTCTTATTCCTTCTGTTTTTAGAACTGGCTGTCGCTATCCTCTACATGCAACAGCCACTCGGTTTACTTCAGCGTTGAACAGCGTGGGGTCGGTCTTCGTGTACGTGTCCTGCGTACTGTCGGTTGGGCTTCTCATCTGTCGATTGTAACGACATTGCTTCCTTTGTTCTTTCGTTCGCTCGTCTGTTCGTTCGTCCATTCCCCCCTCCACCTGATCGCCCGTTCGTCGGCCCGTTTGATCCGGTTTCGATTCGTTTCTTGTCGCTGTCGAACTGTCGGAGTGAACAAACAAAAGAAGCTGGAATAGCAACAGCACGTTTTCGGGGGAAAATCGACGAACAAGGCATATGTCTAGCTCGAGGCACTGGGAAAGAACGCATACTTGAGACTTTATTCTTCCAAATACCTAAATAGTTGACGCGTCAGGTGCGTCATGCCAGGTCCACTTGGGAGTACACAAAGCCCGCTGATTGAACAAACCGAGTGGCTTCATGACACCCTCCCGCAGCAGCCATAGCTAGTTGCCAAGGTGCATGATTCGCTGGTGAGCAAATTAGGGGGGAAAGGAGAGAAATCGCTACTACAAATCGGCAAAGAGTTGCGAGCAGCTGACCATAGGCGCGAAACTAGTGACAGCCATCTTTTCACCAAGTGCCACGGTAACATTTGTTTACCATGGCGCCCCAAGCTGGCTCTGCACGAGAGAGAGTCTTTTATACAAAACTCCGGACAAACGCTCATTTATCCGGAGCTTCCTTTTTCCTCTGTTTCAGCAAGGCCTGCACAGCCTCACTCAAAAGGGACACATCATCCTCGGCAAAATGCTGGGGCCTCCGCTTCTACTGGCGAGACCCCAGCAGTGTCCTAAGCTTGAGGGTTTACGACCCCCATCAACCGCCACGGAACTATTTATGCAGACTGGTCAATGGTTGACGACGCCCAACGGCTAGCCGAGGGTAAATCCAGGCTGAGTGGGGGTGATGTCCACCTCTCTGTATTGATCAATCTCTTGGGCCACAAACATGTGAGACTGAGCTTTCAGCCAACACGAGAAAAAGAACCTGGAAATCTCCGGTAGCAAGCCAATTCATTCTTAGGTAAGATCAGCGCATAGCAACCTTTGGGTACGAAAAGTGACCTTACAGCTTTGTATGATTTGCAGGGTTTACGCGTAGCCTAAAGTCTCTCTTTCTTCCAGCAGGGCATCCTAAGCGCCCACCGCCTGATTGGGTTAATGAGACAACACGCCCCCTGAGAATCACGGAGGAGGGGACGTGGTCTCCTACAGCCTGTACCTGTTGCACCACTCTACAATGCCATTCCAAACTATATGACTTCTCTCGACAAAGAACTCTAGAGGGAAAGGCGCTGCCGACCAACGCCGACTGCTACGATGAGCTTGGCGTAACTGACGGACTGGATCAATGTTGGTGAAATGGCGAACGGGGCCTCAAGATAACCAGGGGCTTTTTGTTATCACGTAACTTACCATGCACACGGAGAAAGGTCGGTATTGGTGCGCTTCATTTCATTCGCTAACTTCCACAATATTGTCATGCAAATTTCCAGACAGGGAAACGACCTGTCGGATCACGATGGGCCGCGTTGGAGAGCTCGGAGGATGTGCTGGCATGATGCAGAGTGAAGGGCACTACGTCCTTTGAAGAGAAGCATGCAGTATTCAACGTCACCCGCATAGTGTGTATGTCTGAGCGTCGCTCACCGCTCTCTTTGCATTTCACAGCCCGCTGGCAGAAGAACGGATTCATCACATCCATCCCTGTATTGCTCTGCTGGTAGCGTCGCGTCTTATCCACCTCAAATTTCATATTTCTTCTGTGAGAATCAGTCTTTTTGATATCGCTGAGTATTTAAAAATTTCTTTTGCTACCAAGCTGCCAGTAGAGTCTTTACTTTTTTTTGCTGTTCTGTCGTCTTGTGACTCCTGACGTGTGAGCGTAATCTTATTTGGCTCTCTAGGTTTATCTAGGTAGCTAAAACTTGGCTACATGGGTGCCAGTAGAGATTGAACCCAAGAACAAGGTTACCCTATACACCAGGAATTCTAATGCGGCGTTTTAACAGTGACCCAAGTAGAAAGAATACATACGATTTAAGATTGCTTATATGATGAAAGTTACTTTTTCAAATAATTCTTACTATAAATAGTATTTGCCCTAATAACTTAAGTATATCAACAGCTATCAATTCATTACAAAAGGATATTTCGGCATTATCTTACTGTGAGATGTCCCCTTGTTGTTGTCATCCATTGCTCATCTAGGCATCACAGTTGCGCCATTGATAACCTCAAAGATTGATCGGGATCTGTAAATCTGCCTAACCCGTACCACAATATGCACACTGTCGTAATAAGGCATCTCAGATGATACTTGGACTAATCATTAATCATTGAAGATGGTAGGCATATCACGGCTGAGTCTGCTTCGCCACAATGTAAGCCAGGTAGTTGCACTTTTATTCAGGCGGTATAAAACCAAGTTTACCGATGACAGACCATTTCCATTCACCTCACTTCGAATGAATTTCAACCAAATGGATATCGATGACACGTAAGAATACCATGTGAGTTTGTGGACGTCACATGTGTTCAGCGCTGATCATGGTAGTAGGCGATCGACTATGGAGCCCAATATTGAGGACTACACTATTGGGTGGATATGTGCTTTACAAGAAGAATACGAGGCTGGATGCCGTATGCTTGATGAGGAGTTTGACGGCCCTGAAATAAACGGGATGAATGACGACAATACCTACGTCTACGGCCGCATTGGGCCGCATAATGTTGTCATTGGGTGTTTACCAAGATATGGCCTCAGCCAAGCTACAAATGTGGCAAAGGATATGGTGAGGTCGTTTCCGCATTTAAGGTTCGCATTGATGGTCGGCATCGGCGGCGGCGCACCCAGTCCAGAGCACGATATCCGCCTTGGCGATGTCGTAGTCAGCGTTCCTCGAGGAGCGAATGGGGGCGTGTATCAATATGATCTAGGGAAAAGCTTGGAAGTCGGTCGATTTCAGCACTCTGGGCACCAAAATTCTCCTCCATCATTGCTCCTCAGTGCAGTATCCGAGCTACAACGACGCCATAATGACCCAAGAAAGCCTGACATGATCGCCGAAAACCTTGTTCGAATGCAAGACATGCCCACCTTCGGAGTGCCTCAAAGTGACAGCTTGTACCGTTCCGAATATCTTCATTGTGGAGGAGCAGATTGCTCAAACTGTGATCCGGCTGCACTCATTGGCCGGACAGCTCGGGTTAATATTCGCCAAGTCACTGTCCATTACGGAACAATTGCTTCTGGCAACACGGTGATGAAGAACGCAGCTGTGAGGGATAAGTATGCAGGCGACCCCAATTTGAAAATAATGTGTTTCGAAATGGAGGCTGCCGGCTTGATGAACCATTTCCCATGTCTAGTGATCAGAGGCATCTGCGACTACTCGGATTCTCACAAGAACGATGAATGGCATGCTTACGCGGCACTCACGGCAGCAGCCTACGCTCGAGCATTGTTGCATGTAGTCAAACCCACGAGGATCACATTGATGCCATCCTGGGCCGAAACGTTTGATAAAAGTACGTTATAAGTATTGAAATTATTCATACATATACCAAAGACTTTGAGAGTTTTATAGTATGCCATGCTAACCAAAACATGCAGCTCTGAATCAAATCAAGGAGCAAGTTTCATCCGTGTCCGGGGCTACGGATCGAATCAATAAGCACAATCAATCACAAAACCGACTGGAAGTCCTCAATTGGATCACGCCTCTCGAATATAATGCCCAACAGTCTGACTTCTTTGAACGCAGCTGCCCTGGAACAGGTCTGTGGTTTTTGAAGTCGGAGGAATATCAAACCTGGATGAGCACCGCGGGCCAAACGCTTTACTGCCCAGGAGACCATGGAGTGGGCAAAACGATACTTGCGTCTATCATCATTAACGATCTTTTACTTCGGTCAATGGATGATATGAATATTGGGCTCGCATACATTTATTGCAGCTATCTGCAACCGCGAGAGCAAAAGCCTGCTGACCATATGGCATGTCTGCTCAAACAACTTGCCTCAAGGTCTTCCTGCCTACCAATGCCTGTCATCGAGCTGTACGATCGGCACAAGACCGAAAAAACGCGGGCAACATTGCAGGAAACCTTGGAAACTCTTTCCTGTGTCGCAAAGAAGTTTTCCCGAATATTCATTGTCATTGATGCCCTTGATGAGTACCCGATCACTGACGGCGGACGATCAAAATTCATATCAGCGCTCTTGGCACTTCAGAGCCAGACCTCAATCAATCTTTTAGTAACCTCAAGAAATTACCCAATCATCAAACAAAGGATGGAAGGAAGCCGTACTTTGGAAATTCACGCTAACGACATGGATCTACGTCGATATCTCCAAGAACGTATTGTCCATGGAGAGTCAAAAATTTTGCAGCGGCCTGATTTTCAAGAAAGTGTTGCTGAAGGTGTTATCAAATCTGTAAATGGGGTGTAAGTAATGGGTTACCCGGGTAGTCTTTGGAAGAGTTTAACTAACGCCAGAGAAGCTTTTTACTTGCCAAGCTCCAACTGGACTCCCTCTTGGACAAGAAGCTACCTAGAGACATAAGACAGGCGCTAGAGAGTCTTCCATCTGGATCCGAGGCTTACGATCGCGCATACGAAGATGCAATGACCAGAATTAACTCTCAGGGCGCGAGTTCAGTTCAATTCGCTAGGCGGATTTTATCTTGGATTGTATTTGCAAAAAGAGACTTGAGCCCTCCTGAGTTGCAGCACGCCGTATCAGTACGACATGGTGACCAAGATATCACCCAGGAGGATCTCTCGGATATTGCAGACATCCTATCCGTCTGCGCTGGGCTAGTTACTGTGGAGGAGCACCGAAATGTAGTCGGGCTCATACACAAGACTACCCAAGAATACTTTCAAAGAACATACATGCGATGGTTCCCTGACGCAAATTCAGTTTTAATCGACACATGCATTACCTACCTCTCTTTCAAGGCGTTTGAGGAGGGCCCATGCGGAACAAGAATCGCCTTTGAGACCCGGATTCAGAATTGCCCTCTTTGTGTTTACGCAGCGAACTATTGGGGAAAGCACACCTACAACAACACCTATTTTATTGATCAAGTTGTTAACTTTCTCAAGTCGACTAAAAAGACATCATCAGCTTTTCAGGTAGTTGAAGCCACGAAAATACCTTGGAGAGAGATTGGTCCTCAATATACTGCTACCGACATGCCAGGTCTTCATTTAGCAGCTTATTTTGGGATTCATGAAGTAATACCCAAGCTTGCCGAAGTCGGATCTGTTGATCTCGTTGACTGGCGCGGAAGGACTGCTTTATGGTGGGCGTCAAGAAATGGCCATGAACGGACTGTTGCCTTGCTGCTTGACCATAAGGCCAATTCGTGCATAGGGGACAGTGAAAGCTTAGCACCGCTATGGCTAGCAACATATAGGGGCCATTTAAGTGTTGCAGAGATACTGATAGAACGAGGTCATGCGAAAGATATTGACTGTCGTCTACCTACGCTCTGCTTGGCCGCGGAGAGGGGCTACTTGAGCCTAGCCAAGCTTCTTATTGACAGCGACCTCGATATTATAGATCTTCAGTACCGCTTCAGGAGACCACTTTTGTTAGCTACGGAACAAGGTCACTCTAAGGTAGTGAAGCTCCTACTCGAAAATGGGGCGTATACTGAATCAAAAGACGGGGATTCACGAACACCATTATCATTAGCAGCTGAATCCGGAAACCAAGAAATTGTCAAGCTCCTGCTTTATCACGGCGCCAACGTAAAACCTAGAGATTCTCGGGGGAGGATTCCTCTATGGTATTCTATTAAAAACGAACGCGATGTTACTCAAAACGAACATGAAGCGGTCGCACGGATTTTACTTGGGGCTGGTATGAAGGATGGTAGCCAAATTGAAGACGAAATTAGAACGACCTTGGCACTTGCATCCGATCATGATTATTCTAATAGACAGCCGAATCTACAGTATGAGCCTTGGTTTGAGGATGAGGAGTTAAAAAGCCGAAGATCAATCGGGCTCAATATGCTCGTGGATGATCCCGCGGTAAAGCGATGTAGCCATTACCCCGGGGACGCTATGGATACTCTTATTTCGTTCGTACAAGATGGCAGCGCTCCTTATCAGGGCTCTCGGAAGGATGCTTACTACGGGGCTTTCCCTGGTTTCCTTGACGGTGCTCTTCGCCCAGAAGGCTTATCATGTGGCCGATCAGACTTCTTTCAGTCCGCGTATGAGGAGGATGACTCAATGAGCAATTGTATTTGTGACAAAAGTCCAGATGGTTGGTTCACGATGATGTATGGTTACTAAAGTGCCTATATCCAATCACCGCTTTGGTGTCTCTACGAGCGTATGCGAGATATCCGGTAAGAGACAAACAGAGTATCTTTCTACATTCACACGTTGCAATCAACGCTCACCGAGGGGGGAGGCTGATTGTCGAGGTTAAATCAAAGATGATCAATTCAACAAGTTCTCTTGCCGTAGGCCTTTTTTATGGCCCAAGCTCGAAGATCTCGGACTATAAATTACGGAGCAGACTGGCCTCGTGAGGGCCAATCTTTCGCAGACCCGGAACCACCTGCCTTACATCGGCTTTATATGAGTCAAGGTAAAGGCCGTTAACCCGAACAGGGCCAGGTTTTCAGAACTTGGATGCTAGGTCTTTCTCGTAATCTCCAACATTCATGGAGAGCTGGTTGTAAAAAAGACAGGATCTATCTCTTGAGGCCTGTCCCAGAACATAAATGAGATTTTAGCTGATGTTTTAACTAATAAACCTCTCATCCGAAAGAACTTGCTGTTGATCTATTCGCCCACGTCCTCTTCATCGAGAGCGAGGGGTTTGGACACTGAAGAGCCTTATTTTAGTGAAGCAATTATGCTTTCAGAGTAACCAACATATTGCATCTCTTCTGTGAGCGGTGGCACGAAAGGACTAAACCTAGATCTGTACTTTATATAGTCGACGCAAGACGGTTCTATCTTGGTCGCACTCTGGTACTCGCAAATATCAAGCCTGAATTAAACGAGCATAATCCGAGACTTTGGGTCGAAGGCAAGTGAGGGGCTGATCCAAGATTGCAACGGTAGCACCGCCAAGCGCTGTGGCGGCTATGCCGCTCAGCAGCATCGAGCTGGACGAATAGTATTGGAAGATGCACGCGCGGATCTGCGCACCATTGGGCTCAAAGTTGCCTTGCATGCGACCCAGGTGTGGTCAGCTGGGCAGCGACTAAGGCTTACTCCATCGCCCGAAGGTAACAAATTTGGCACTCCCACATCACAGGTCGGTAGATATGTCCATGGCCGGCACATGCACCATTTGCAGCTGTTGCGATGGCCCAACAGATTCAACCGCCAAGCGGCAGCGTCCGACAAGAGGAGCTGCACTCGAAAATTAGCAGCTTGCTCTCTGCTGCTGACGGCACGTCTCCCAAATCTGCGTTCCTGCACGATGTCTGGCCAAGGTTGGAGGAAGAATACGATCTCATGGTGCGCAGCCTCATCGCCCACTGCGAAAATCTAGTTAGAGAGAGGAATATATCGGCCAAAGTGGATGGCAGAGTCAAGACCACGCAGTCGATTGACAAGACTCTCGACCGCCGGCTGCAGTACCGCATTGCGAACTATCTGGGCGCGTACAAGAGCGTCGAGGAAATGTTCTACGATATGTATGACCTAGCAGGCATTCGTATCGTGGTTGACTATCCCTCGCAACTGGAGCCGGCAAACCAACTAATAGAAGAATCATTCCGGCAAGCCAAGAGCCCAAATATCTTCACCAGGGAACGGCCCGTCGGAAAGGAGTGGGATGCCTGGTTTGGGGCATATCAGAGCTACAATTACCACGTCTCCGTCAAAAATGGAACCCAGGGCACCCTTGGGGCTTACCTCAATGTTGTTTTTGAGATATAACTGACGAGTCTACCCGAGAGCTTATACAACAGGCTGGCACATCCCCTGCTTTATAAACAGCAAGCGGGTGACATATCTCGGCGGGATGAAATGGTTATTGACCTTTCCCACGGCCTGTCGCTATGTTATTCAATCTGTCTATTATATGCCCAAGACAAGCTGGGAAATAATGAACGACCTGACCAGAGCCTTATCAGTGCAATGAGGTGCGCGGCGAATGATGGCGATGATGGCATATTGGAGAATATGAGCCTATTGCTTAGCATGATGCCCGACAAGGTGAAGGCCTAATCAGCTTCAGGTCCGAAACAAGAGTCAGGCAACAAGGTCTCTATGGAACTTCTTAAGTTGACTCTCTCTGCCTTACCTGAGAAGTGTCCACCGGACTAACTCTGGACAGGTTTTGTTGAAAAAATGAACGGCTGGGATATGAAGCTGGAAGCCGTGGAGACTGCTGTGAAAGACCAAACGAAAGCCTTTCAACAATACCACCAAGATAAAACCGACAAGAAATGTCTGGTCGACTTGAGAATTATTAATCCCTCAACCCAGAAAAAGACGATTGAAAACGCCAAAGGTGGCCTTCTGAAGGGAGTATATGAGTGGATTCTTGGGCATCCGGAATATCAGAGGTTTAGGAATGATGATACCAACAGATTGCTCTGGGTGAAAGGGGACCCGGGCAAGGGGAAAACCATGCTTTTGTGTGGAATTATCAACGACCTAGAATATAAGAGCTCTATATCCGTCTTATACTTTTTCTGCGAAGCTACTCAGAATAACTCTTTGAGATGCGCTACTGTAGTGCTTTGCACCCTTATATGGCGCTTATGCACATCCCGGCCTCACTTGGTCTCTCATGTTCGGAAGAAATATGATACGGAGGGTAAGGATTCATTTGAAGATTCTGCGGCTTTATTCACGCTGGAAGAGATAATGGCGGATATCCTGCAAGATCCCGGTTGTTCTACCCTCACTTTCGTGATCGATGCCCTCGATGAGTGTACCGAGGATATAATGCTGGATTTGATTCGTATAATTATTACTTTTTCTAATTCCTTTGAAGCCAAATGGATTGTGTCCAGCCGCAACTGGCCTATGATAGAGGAACAGTTCCAGTTGGCTGAAAAGGTTAAAGTCTCGCTAGAACTGAACCGAGCCTCTGTCTCGCATGCAGTGAACCTGTTTATCGACTACAAGGTATCGCAGCTGGCCAAATTGAAGCGTTATGATTTATCCACAAAGGTGGACGTACTCGACTTCCTTCGCCGCAAAGCCAATGACACATTCCTGTGGGTAGCTTTGGTTTGCACAGAGCTTTCCAAGCCCAAGGTTCGGTCTTGGAACACGATGCAGCTACTAAGTTCAATTCCAGCGGGTCTGGAGAAGCTGTACGTACGAATGCTTGAGCAAGTGTTCTCATCGATCAATTCTACCCTCTGCAAACAGCTTCTTGCCACAGTGTCTATTGCGGCCCGTCCGCTGTCATTCAGAGAACTCCCCGCCTTCATCCACGAACTCGAACCTTTCAGTAACGAGCAAATAGAAGAGTTTATTGGAGAATGTGGCTCTTTTCTCTGCGCTCGGGCCAATAATGTTTACTTTGTGCACCAATCTGCTCAAGACTTTCTCGTCGGACCTGAGGGTCGAGTTTTCCGGTCTACCATCCAAGGCCACCACCTAGAAATATTCAGGCAATCAATAACAGCCATGCAGGCCCTCAAGCGCAATATGTACGAGGTTTCTTCACCAGGGAAGCTTATCGAGGAGATCAGCCTGGACAAAAACAGTCCATTTTATTCTATCAAATATTGTTGCCTCCACTGGGTTGATTATTTGGAGCTAGCAGGTCACGAGAGGCAGGCCCAAGATGATGATCTCGCCCGCACATTTTTCACAACGAAGGTATTGTGCTGGATGGAAGCTCTTTGCTTTCACGGGTACGCCACGGAGGGCATCAGCATGATACAAAAGCTCGGATCCATCGCGGTACGTATTGCTATTTGATACTCGGATCTCAACTAACAGGACTGAAGAATTCCGACGAGTTAAAAAACTTATCTGAAGACTTACACAGGTTTTGGCTCACTTTCAGAGCGGTACTGGAAGTTGCACCGCTCCAGTTATATGGTTCAGCCCTATTATTCGCCCCTGCGTCAAGCTTGATCAGGAATTTGCACGAGAGTAGCACATACCCCTGGGTCACTTTGAAGCAAAGCACACCACAAGACCCATCAGAAAGATGGGGGCTTTGCGTTTCGACTCTCGAGGCCAAAGGACTTCGGTCATTCGCCCTCTCAACAGATGGGCAGCATCTCATTTACAGTCATGAGCTATTCAGAGGCGGCTCTAGTCTCATGTTATGGGATTCTAGGTCAAATAGTTACAAGCATTCGGTCCGAACAATCGACAAGACATCGAGTGTTGCAATCTCATTTGACGGGCGACATGTGGCGGCTGCTTGCACAAAGTGCTTTCTTCCAGAGAATGTGATTGAATTACGAAATTCGGATTTGTCTCTGAGCGATACAAGACTCAAAGAAGAGAAGGACGATCAAGTTTGCTCTGTTGCTTTTTCGCCTGACGGAAGGCATATAGCCGCCGGCTTGTGGACGGGTTTTGTCCTTGTATGGGATCTGACGACAGGTGCTGTTGTACATAGACTGGCTGTTGATTGCGGAGTGGTGTCCTCAATTGCGTATTCTGCAGATGGGAAGCAATTGGCTGGTACGGGAGAATACACAACGGTCTGGGACCTAGTGAGCGGCAGATGCCTCTTCTCCACCGATTATTGTACTGCGGAGGCGGTATTTCTACCCGGATCAAAACTAGTCACGGCAAATCATACTGATATTCTAATATGGGACACAGAGAAGGGGGGGCACTCTCAAAGGTTGCTGAGAGAGACTGATGAAGTATGTGCCATTGCGTCGCTTGATCTCCCTGGGCTGTTACTTGCCTCCGCTTTGTCAAATGGCACTGTCAGGCTATGGGATCAGGCTGGCAATTGTGTCCAAAGCCTCCTCGGCCATGCAGGACCGGTGAAATCATTATCATTTTCCCCAGAAAAGTGCATACTTGCCTCGGCCTCAAAAGACGATACCATACGTTTGTGGGACATCACAACGGTTGTCGAAATGTCGCAAACGCCCCAACAAGTTGCGCGGAACGAGTCCAGGCACGACAACTCTACGGAACGAGATTCTCAAAGTCATTCCGATCAGGTTAGGGCAGTGGATTTCTCCCCTGACGGCAAATGGCTGGCCTCGGCTGCGGCGGATAGAACAGTCAAGATATGGGACATTACGAGCTTTTCATGCGTACGGACCTGGACGACGAAGTTCCCTTTGGACAGCGATGTTGCTCTACTTCAGTTCTCTCATGATGGTCGCCGGCTGCTTCTGGCACCCGAGAGCGACAAAAACACATATTCAACGTGGATATGGGATATGACAAGTCTGGAGCCTTCCCAGGGTTTCAGCTTCAATGACGACAAAAAGAACGACGTCGATCAATTTTCGAGTGGCCTTTCGCCCGGTGGACGGCTTATTTCTCTGTTCAAAGATGGTACCACTCGCGTAGTGGATCTAGAAACGATGGAAATGTTGCAACATTTTCAGTTCTCGCCCCTCACTGAGCGATTTCCGCTTAAAAGTCTACTTTTGAAGCCGACATTCTCATCAGATGGTCGAATATTGGTCTTAGCTTCGGGGTCTCTGGCTCGCGCTTACAAGATTTCAACGGGCGAAGACCTGTGGAGTATTCGCATGGCTGGGGCTATAAGCAATTTGGAAATCGCTTTATCTCGAGATTCTACACTCTTCGCCGTGTTCTCAGATCAACATGTTTACGCTTGGAAGGTAAATACGCTGCCACCTCAGAGGCTCTGTAAATTCTACTTCGTTGGAAAAGGGGAGGATATATACTTCCCTACTATTGAAGGGAAATTGGCCATCAATAGGAGATGGCTTGTCTTCTACGAATCGTCATCCATAAACACATACGACCTAGAGACCCTTACCCATCAGCAGATACGTAATGGTGGCATAATCACCAGTGTATCCTTTGACACATTGGACGAGAATTGTTTTCATACAAATCTTGGTTCTTGGACCATTGACGAGAAAGGTTATGTCAAGTCCGTGGGCTGCCGCTTCAGCGTCGATCGCGCATGGATCACGCGGGATTCCCAAAGACTACTTTGGTTGCCACCGCAATACCGAGGAGTCGCGGCAAGTGTTAGGGGAGATACTGTTGCACTTGGAAGCGCATCAGGCTCCGTGGCCGTGCTACATTTTAACATGTGAATTGGTTCCATTTGTTCAAGTACCCGGTGCTCAATCCAACGCCGCTGAATGACTTGATCCAATAACATCGCTCAGTAATGTCCACTTCAACAACAGGCACGATCACCCAAGGAGAGGAGTGAGCCTCGATGAAACTGGGAATCATCCTTTCGCTTGCAGTTCCGGCTTGGCAGGTTACGAGACACCTCGTCTCATGTCATGACCACTTTGGCATGACGCGTTTGATACAATGACCCTGATAATACCGAACCTGCCCTGTTGAATGTTTGTCATATTGGCGGCCTCTGAAAGCTCACCTCAGCCGGGTATTGTAAGGGGGCTGTGTTTATACTGGCTACTCATGGGAAATCGATGTTGCGACTGATATTGAACTCCTGCTTAGAGGATCCACGATCGACGCAGTAGGGCTACACATGAACTAAGTCTTCTTAACCACGTACTTTATGCGATTAGGCAGGCAACCTTTTCATAACTGACCTAGCATTAGATTTAGGTTTATGACAAATACAATCAGCATTTAATAGCCCAGTCAACATTGGACTCAGTATAATAGAATTGATCTGATCTGGGCTGTGCTCGGGTATAGGGTATCTGGAGTGGGGCCAGCGGTGAGCTAGTCCCACTTGAGCTTCTGGAACTTTTTTAGCCGCCATTTGCTCAAAGTAGCGGTAGAAGAGAGGAAGAAAACATGGAACACTGTCATCAATTTCGGGATTTTGGCTCATTTAAATGAGGCGTGAGGGCCGCAGGTGGATGCCGCACGGGAGTCTCGGGAGGGAGATGACCCAAACCAGGTGTCTTCGATTTAGAAGTCTGACGTGCCGTGGCCACATGAAGCTCACAGTGCCGCCGGCGAGTCGAATGAAGCAGGGGCCCATATTATCTCATCCCTAAATGAATAGCCTATCCAATACCCGTGGCAAGTTAAAGTCAACCCTATTACTGGAAGGAGAAAAGCGTAGTGGTGTAAGCTGCTCAGCATTGCCCGACTTCTGGCCCGGTTGGGGGCTGAGCCGGCACTTAGCTTGGGGCTGAAGCGGCATTGCGTCACTCCTTGAAATCTAAAGGGCTGCTTATCAAATGCCTTTTGAGCTAAAATATACCGATGCTGCTGCAGATTTGTCCCCTGGCGATCTTGATGTGCATGATCTTCACGACCCCGACGCAAATTCACGAAACAATGAATGTCCATAGTAGTCCCCAAGACGCTCAGTCTCCCGATGTGCACACTCCGGCCTTCAAGCCGCGGAGAGCGCATGAGAAATCGAGAAATGGTTGTGTGAGGTGTAAAAAACAGAGGAAGAAGGTAACTTGTCGCGATGTCATACCCCGGACCGGACAATGACTAACAACGGTCGTGTACAGTGTGATGAGGCCAAACCGCGATGCTCAAGGTGCGACATTAGGGGTTACACCTGCGAGTACGCCAAGGACGATTCTTCAGGACGAAGCCTCGCAACAAGGAAAAAGCGAAGCAGCATCGACAACATCGATCCGCGACTGGCACACCTCACCATCCCAACCGACACATGCTCTGATATCAGCAGCCAGCGTTCAGTGTCGAATGTCTCCGTCTCTCCCTCTCCCGCATACGTGGATATGCAACCAAGAGCCGAACTTTTCGGATCACCACAGATCCTCGATGCAACCGAATTGGCCCTGCTAAGCCACTACCTAACTCACACCAGCCGGATAATCCCAATCGACTCGGTCGACCGCTACGCCCTGCAAATCGGCATCCCGAATCTTGCATTCCAAAGCAAACCCGTCATGTCGTCTCTCCTGGCGCTCTCCGCCGTCAGCAAATGCCACGGCCTGGTCAAGGGTGACATCGGCCACCAAAAGACCCTCGCTGACATCTGCGAGCTCCTCGAGTTCGCAGGTGACCACCACAAGGCATCCCTCCGGCAGATCCAGGTCACCATGCAGAGCCCCGCCCAGTACGAGTACGTCCTCGCCAACGCGCCCCTGATGGTGCTGTACTGCTCCGCGGACCACGCCGTCCGGGTCCATCTCGCGAGGACGGCGAAGCTATGCGGTGTAACGCTGCCAGAGATGCTGCTGCCTGCCCAGTCGCAGTGGATCTCCCTCATCCGGGCTGCCCACGCGGCATACAGCGGGCTGATGAACAGTCCCAGTGATCCGGTCGAGGTTGGGTCAGCGTCGCATCTTGGCACGCCGAGGGAGATACAGGAACAGCGGCCGCTCATGGCTTCTCTCTGCACCTCGGTCGACGAGTATGTTCCCGAGGATGGCCCGTCGGAGGGGACGAGGAGGCTGCTGTATCCGATTATCGCAAACACGTATAGGTCAGCCCTGTCAAAGTTGCAAGCCAAGGCCATGGCCATCTGTCCATCAGATCTCTCAGAAGGTTTATCTGTCTCGGAAACAGATGGACTCTACGTCTGGCAGCAGCAGTCGTACACCAGTTGCCAGGCAGACCTAGATGCCACGCTTGCCGCGCTGGAAATCTTGCAGGACGTCGCCGATACCGTCTACTGCACTATCGACGGCAGTTCTCCCGATCCCCAGTTTCTTGGTGGTATGGCTGCAGCTCAGGTTCCGCCGCCCCTGGGCCGTTTGCGGCACGTCTCACCGTGGTTGAGGACGTACTCGGCCAGGGTGACCTCTTCAACGCCGACGAAATCGCTTAGAAGGACGATCACGGCGTTTCTGAACAGGATCCCCATTGAGTACCTGCATTTTGTGCAGTCTATTCTGGACTTGATGCCCATCGAGCCCAGTTACAGTGAGCCTCAGATACGGATAGAGCAGGAGCAGTTCCCACCCAGTGCTGTCCACAAGCTGGCGATGGACGTATTTGCGCACTGGCTTGTGTTCATGGTACTTTTGGACGGGGTGTGGTGGATAGGCGGGACTGGTGAGTGGGAGCTCGAGAGGGTTGTGTCGTTTATGCGGACGTATGAGTGGGCGGACGTCTCGGATGCCGGTGAGAGATGGTGGCCTGAGAGCATGTCCAAGGTCAAGAGGGAGTTGGCGGAGCACATGAGAGAGGAATAGCAATAAAGTTAGTATAAAACAATAGAATTCTGTATATTACATATACCTATCATTATAAGGGGATGAGTTCAGAATATAAAGTAACATCAGTCTATGAGTGCGAATAGCAAAAGTAGAAGGCGGTAAGAATATATATAACGTCCAGCTAGCCGCTAGCTAGGCCGCTGAGGGCACTGTAATCTCATCTCTGTGCCCATTATGAAAACCCCAGACATGACGGAGACCTCCACCTTCCATATAGCGTGTCAAGGCCATCATCTAAGAGTGATACCGTGGTGCTTGGATAAGCTAGTTGTTCCACCGTGTTGAAGTCTGTTTGATCTGGACACGGTTAGTGGCGAACTCATACCAGATCCCAGAAAGCACTTACATAGGACGCATCAATATCTTTCAGGCTCGCGAGCCCAAGATTTGCCCCGGCACTCGTCACTTCCTTCTCTAAAAGAGTGATTGCGCGAGACACTCCCTCAGAGCCATACATGTTCGCGTACATGAAAGGACGTCCCACGCCAACTGCTCTGACCCCGAGGGCAAGCAATTTCAAGACATCCGTCCCATACCGAACACCACCATCGGCATAGACTTCAATCTCACTGAAGATGTCAGGATCGTTCTCGTGAATTTCCCATGCGACTTCTAGGGCCGAGGGCGATCCATCAAGGGATCGTCCTCCATGGTTCGACAGGAATATTGCAGGGGCACCAATCTCGATAGCCCTGCGAGCGTCTTCAACGGTCTGTATGCCTTTTGGGATGATTGGAAGCGTTGTTAGTGACTGGAGTTCTTTGTAGAAGTCCCAGGTCATGAAAGTATAACGCGGATCGCGGCTGATGCTCGTGTCGGGTAAGTATCTAAGAGGCCTGTACGCAGTACGATCTCCCACTGAATCAACGGTGAGGACAATAGCTTTCATTCCGGCGCTCTTGATTTTTGCGAAAAGCTCGACGGGTGGTTCATCGTCGAGAGTCGATAGCGAGACCTACGTTGTTGTTAGTTTCCGTGCTCAAAACCTGATTTTCGGTCCATACCTGCTGCCAAATGACTTGTCCTTCCTCCCTAAGAGCTGCTATTTCCTCTAGTGGAAGTGTAGTCGTTTGAGATGACTGAAAAATTATCAGCTGGCTTGGAGCGTGTGCAAGCGGTGGTTCTTGGATCTTACAATGTAGAGCAGGTTGTGTTTACTTGCCCCTTTTACAAGGCCTCCCTCTGCGACCTTGTTTGCAATGCCTGCCTGGGCAAAAGGGCTGATGAAGAAAGGCTCGTCAAACTCGTGGCCCAAGATGGATGTCCTGCGATCAAGGTAAGCCACGTGAAAGAAATTTTTAAAGTAGCCACAAACTTTAAGCTCGCATCAATTTTGGTAATATTGACCATGACACGAGGTCTGAATCGAAAATTATTAAAAGCTTCCAGATTGTTTCGAAATGACGCTTCGCTACCAGCGCCGTGGGTGATGTATGCGTATTCTGCAGGTTTCATCATCGATCTCGCGAGGTAGTCGAAATCAGGTAGGCCAAGCATTCGATCAATGCCGGGGAGCGAGCCATTGTGTGGAATGTCTAATGCGACTTCAATACTAGGTAAAGATTAGCTGTGGTCTTTTCTTTCTAGCAGTTGAAGATGAGGAAATGTTACCCAGTATTAGGCTCGGTGAGAAATGGACGCGCTGCCAATGTCTCGCAGGCCAGGAGAAGGGTGAGGGCAAAACGCATGTTGTTGATTTGCACGAATCAAGAATATAGGTCGATATTGATTTCATCACCAGCAAGCAAAACCTTCAGATCTTTATAGCCCATAACTACATTGTTTTGTTCAGTGAGATGCCTAGGGCATACATCGTTCTCGTTCTCGTCACTGCGCCACGGGGCTTTGCTGCGGTAATTCGGTATTAAGGGGTCTGGGATCTCCAAAGCGTGGAAATGAAGCCTACACATTCTTTCTACATAACCTGTGGCCCACAGCTTAATTCCATTCTCTGAGTTAGTGACGCCATGCCAGCACCGCCCTCTCGGCCATATTCGTCAGACTACGAAAGATTCATGTCACACACTAAGGAAGGCTAGTCCAATTGTGAAGCCTGTTCTAAGTTGTCAAAGATGGCATGGTTAGGGGGCGTATAGCATTGCGCAAGGCTGACTCGCGTTATTCTGATGATCCGGGTAGGCGTTGAAGAGATCGATTTCAAGGAGGACGTGATTTATGAAAAGGAAGTGGCCGTCATGATGGCTGGCGAATGACACTTCGATCCAGTCTTTCGACAGCTGAAGGCTCGGAGTGCCCATTACGCCGGCGTTGTTGATGAGAATATCAATGGCCGGAACATTGGCGTTGTCATTGAGCTCGGCTGCAGCCGCACGTACCGACGCTATCGCCGACAGGTCTATGATGAAGCTTTCATAATCGACGCCAGAGTATGTCGCCTTCAAGGTGTCGATAGAATACTGTACTTTTTCAGGGGCTCAGCCGGTCACGATGAGGCGTCTTGGACGCTGCAAAGTAAGGGCAAGAGCAGTAGCAACACTTGAACTGTCCGGCTGAACTGAGACGACCGGGGGATAAGCAGACAACTCTAGCGTCTACCGGTGGCAACCAATTACGGTGGGTAGTAGGGGGATTGTTGTAAAAACCCCGGCCGTGTCTATTTGGGTTTAGGGGCACTACTTCTTAGTTATTTGGACTGGGTAACAGCATGAAACTGCTAGGCTCACCAGAGATTAGAATGAAACCTTGGCGCGCTTGTGACATATAGGAGACAACTTCTCCGCTTTTCGGTGGTTCATCAGTGCAGAAAACTGGGCTCTCATGCACCTCGTTCTCGTTCTCGTTGCCGGCATAGTGTGGCTGAGCTGGGTACGTTGCACCAAGCCTCGGCGGCGCCAAGACCCTTCTGTTCATGGGTTTTATTACGGAATCACCCCAATACAAGCAACGATTCCGGTATCTCTGGCCATTTCGATTCGAGATTTCATTGACCACACCTTCAACAGTCTCTGCATTAGGAGCAGACGACTCCAGCAGGGTGTATGTTTCTGTAGAGCTTCGGAAAGGGAATAAGAGACATATACATTCGACATGAAGCGTCTCGGCTTCAAAAAGTCTCGAACTGGATGTCAGCGATGCAGGCAGAGACGTGTCAAGGTGAGAAGATTTCGAGCGGAGGAGTAATATACTGTTTTAAGGACTGTGCTGATTAGCCATCGATCCCAGTGTGACGAAAGAGTGCCTTGTGCTGCATGTGTAAGACACGGCTTGACCTGCAGTCTTACCCTATCCTCAGCAACAAAAGGCGCAATACAAAAACAGGCACCGGAACGCTCGCTTAAATCGTCGAACCTATTACAAATCGATGCTCCATCTCCTGTTGTCAACTTGGCGGCCCCCACATCGGCATCATGGACCTACAGTCAACCTTCTTCCACGACACATGGCTCATCATCTTCCCAATTCCTGGACTCACCCTCTCCCCAATTCCATGACTCATCCTCTCCTCAATTCCAGAGGATCTTTCAACGCTTTAAGCCTCTTGGCGGAAGCACCTGCGTTCCGTCTGACGCCGTGACCGACCTCGAGCTTATGCATCACTATACTGCCAAGGCATATCAAACGCTGTCCTTCTCGACAAGTGTCAAAGACGCTTTACAGTATGATATACCACGTCAAGCCTTTTCCGAGCCTTCACTACTTCATTCACTCAATGCATTCTCAGCACTGCATCTCGCCTTCCTTGATCCAGGTGGCCAACAAAGATATCTCGTTTGTGCGTACCAGCATCAGGACCTGGCATTCAAGAAGATCACATCCATCCTGGACACTGAACTTACGCAAGAGAATTGTCATGGCGTATATGCCACCTCAATCTTTCTTATAATCTGCGCCTTTGCGACATTGCCCTGTGCCGAAGTACATAGCGCCCATTTTAACCCAATTGACAGTCTGAGAGAGATTTTCACCCTTATATCAGGCATGGCGGCCATTCTTGCGTCATCAGATAAGGATTTAAGGGCCGGTCCGCTTAAAGGGATATTTAATAAGCCTACCAGCTACGGAAAGGTGCCAGATCGTCTTCAAGAGGTGTCAATTCAATTGACACAATTGAAAGGAAAAATATCCGATCCGCTAGGAGACTTATACGATCCAGTCTCACCCTCTGTCGTTAAAGCTACTGCTGGTCTTATTGACGCCATTGCAGAGGGGTCTAATCAAAGATCGGCCACATCGGCAGAGCTCAGAACAGTTCTTCTATGGCCGTTACGCTTAGATCCGAGCTATCTTGAACTTTTGCAGCGTCGACATCCGTTCGCTCTAGTTATCCTCGCATACTATAGCGTAGTACTATTCCACGGTGAGGAGCCATGCTGGTTTCTCAGAAAATGGTCGGGAAGTCTGCTGGTGGAAATACAAGAGCAGCTCCTTGATACGCCGTATTACGACATGTTAGAGTGGCCTATGAGGATGTACCGCTAAACGAAGAGTATATACTAGTTATTCATAATGACACGTTGCTTTGCTGTATGGTGTAGTAGTATGTAAGAGTAGTCATGATAAGAATTGTACATTCATTCCACTGCTGCAGCGAGACCCCAATAATGCGGTGAACGACTGGTCCAGACAACAAACGACGACACAGGAAACGAAACGTACTTGAACCTGTAAAGTAGCCTGAGGTCGCTGTGGCTGCCCCTTTGCATTCCTAACGACTGATGTTCAATATAAACTATAAAAATTGTATCTTTACGGAAGACGTATTTAAATTCAGACTACTACATAGATTAACATTATTTGGATGGGCTGCCACCCAGCATAGTCTATTCATTTCCATGGCTTCCGAGACAGAACACGGTTGTCAAAACGCTTGAGGATGTTAACCCGAAGCACGACTTTTCCGTATCATGTCCAGACTGCGGAAGTGAGCCCTGACACCTTTATCCTTCTCAATCTCTTGCCACAGGCGAGTATCCCAGGCTTTGAAGCCTTCACGAACACCCTCTTTAGAATCGCTAGCGACCCCAAACCAAGAGCAGCAACGTCCGACAAAGTCCCGTACCATTGCATTCTGCCTGAAAGATTTGTGTGCCCACTCGGCAGCAGTCAGAAGGCCCAGGGTGTACAGAAGCGCAAGCCACCATGACGGATCGCGCCCATACTCTTCAATGATACCCCCTGTAATAGCGTATGGGCCCGATTCATACCCAGCTACGAGCCCTGTAATGACTATATACAGCCACACGGCCAGAATACTGACAGAGGCAGACCACAGGGCTATTTTTGTCTTGTGATGCATCTCAAGAATCCTGGGATTTACGTTTTGTTAGACGAGCCATGGATGAGATGAAAATGGTTCCGGGGAAGCAGGGAGTTCTTACAAGACTTTGTAGTTGGTCCAGATCATACAGCATGCAAAAACCAGGGTACCTTGAGCGTAGAGCCCATTGTCGTAGACTGCTGGGACGCCTCCACTATAGGCAGCCCAACATACAGCGAAGATGATGAAACCAGCAGTCAGAGCATTGCTCATCCAACCAAGATAGACAAGCGATGTCAGACCTTCCCCGTTCTGCCCATAAGCGTACAGTTGAGGAATGGCCAGAAGCGTGTTTGCCTTCAAGTCTTGCTCGTACATGCCTATGACGAGTATGGCTGCCGCCGTCAAGTAGCTGGTAAACATCAGGGCCTGCGAGTGGTAGAGACTGGTGCCGGTCGATCCAGCCTCACCTTGAAAAATGGCTTGGGGGAAGTAAAAGAGGACTTCCTTCCAGAACGTGACCAGGATAAAGCGCGTGGTGCGATGGTAGTTCCAACGGCCGTGAACAAGCATAAGGCGAGCTAGAAACCGGAATTGTGATATGCTGAAATCAGCGACTCGGGCAGCTTGCTGGCCCTCGCGACCAGATATTCCCACACCCACGCTGGCAGTCAAGATCATGGGCACATCGTTGGCACCATCGCCAATGGCCAAGGTAAGAGGTCGGTGTGACTTCCGCCAAGACCATAAGCAAGACCAGCGGCCTCTCTTGATTTTGGCCAGAGGATCATCGCCAATAACACGCACAAGAAGTGCTTTCTGAGAAGGCGATGCTCGGCAGCAGATAACAGATCCAATATTAGGAGCAAGTTGGTAAAAGAGGTGGCGCACTCGGCTGTCTGGATCCTCTTCTATCGCTGTCAGTGTGGCGCCGTCAACAACCACAGCAGAATGTGATGCGGGATTTGCACTACACAAGATGTAGTCCGAAATGCTGTTTAACTGAAACTCGAGATCTCCGGCTGCCACGTCCAAGAAGTATAGCGACGTGTCAGGGCCGCAGATCCGAGCCGAGTGAGCGATGCTGATGGCTGTTTCCCTCTTGTCACCCGTCAACATCCAAATCTTGACCCGCGCCCGACGAAGTTTCTCGATCGTCTCTGGAACCTCTTGTTGGAGCTTATCCTCTACAGCTGTTATCCCAAGAAAATGAAGAGATTTCTCCATCATCTCGCCAACCTCCTCCATGCGCTCTCGGCGGTTTTGGAGATCTGTTTCTGCTTTGTGGTACAGTCGTTTCCATGCAAGGTACTCGCGCTCTGACACTGTCCGCCCTGCGTAGACGAGTGTGCGTAGTCCCTCGGTAGCGTATCGATTCATATGGCCAAAAGACTGGCGGATACAATTTGTTTCCTCATCTTCGGTAGCGGCGGTTGTTCCAATAATGGTATGAAAGTTTTGGTTGTCGCATACATCAGATTTGCCAGCTTGTCTCATGTTATCACGCAAAGGGATCATATCCTCTTCAAAGGGTATGCTGGTTGCGGAATCTTGATCATTTGCAGGACTTTCGGACTGATCAGACGGCGCGGATCTCCAATGACCGCGAATGATGGGTGAGTGCTTGGTGGTCTCTCTGGATGGGTAAGACTGTTTTGCCAAGTCATTCACCATATCGCGAGGAGCCATTGGAAGCCGCGGGAGGATGGCCGAGTCAGCACCCTTGCAAACCAACCAATTTGTCCCGTTTGGGCATCTCAAAATGATGGACATTCGCTTACGCTTGCTGCTGAACTCAATGGTATCGAGGATTTGGAACTCAAGCCGCTCAATATTGCCGACAGAATCGATGACGTGAATTGTGATTGACTCAGATCCCTCACTGTATTGTCTTTCATTGTATTAAAGGTTTAGAAGCTTTTTTTATTATTACTATCCTCCGAACCCTGATTTCTTCCACATCTTTTCCTCCCTTCTTATCAGTACCACCGCAGGCAGCCCTACTTGTTCTTCTCGTTAACAGCATTCTGCTAGAATAATACCGCTTTGGATATAAGGAATTAGAACTAATCTAACCCCTAACTTCTCAATACCGAGATAACCTGGGTATCAAATTCATCCTCGGGTATACACCTAAGGATATCTTGCCCGAAGTTATAGAGGGCTATAAGCTGCTCAGCAGAGAGACTATTAAGCTTATTTTCATCCAGCTCTTTAACCTCAGCTATATTAATAGCTTTAGTAAAGCTAGCAAGCTTAGGATTACTCGTACTGATCTTAGGCTTGAATATTATTAGCCAGGTTATTTTCTTATCTTTAAGAAAAGGTACGGGGATATTATTATCTGCTATAATTAAAGGCTGCGGGTATATTAGTACTAATACTCTAGCCAAGGGGCTACTAGTACTTACTGGGTTAGTTAGTATATTCGCACTTGGTATATTAAAGTATATAGATTAGTATAATAGAAAATAAGTATTCAGGTGAAGAGGGCAGCTTTAGTAGTTATTCGACGCGCAGCTCGTCCTGACAGCAAGCGAGTTATCGGTATAAAGGTTTACAGAATTTTCTGCTGTATAACTGCAGCCTTAGGCTAGTAAAGCTTTTTTTTAACCTTTCGTATTTATTATATTGAGTTATTAGGTCTGACTTCTTCTTTTCTTTTAACTTTCTATCAAAACTCTCTCCGGTGATTGACTCAGATGACCTCTCGACGACGGAAAATCCCATTTCTTGTGCTGCTCTTACAAGTGCCAGTTCATCTGGCGATGACGCTTGGAATTCAGTCTCGCCGCTCTCGCCGGAAACAGGGAGGCAGGTATGGCAGAGTGCTATAACAAGGAGGAATTGTTTGACACTGGCTGCAAGACGACCATGGGTCTCCGAGTGTACATACTCTAGCAGATTTCGAGTCGTGAATTCTCCAACGTCGCCGCTCAAGCCCTGCAATGAGTTCTTGCCTGGGGCGAGACAGTTTTTATGCAACCAGCTGGCCCCTGCAACACTCAGTTTGTGAAAATTCATAATGTTATCAGTAAGAGTGCCGGTTTTATCTGTGAACAGGTAACCAATCTGTCCGAGATCATCTAAGTTGTTGGTCGTATTGACCCGCGCAGGAGTATCGGACTTTTCGTCGTGCAGTTGGACATCGTTGTAAATCATTGTCATCTGACCGATTTTGATGCCCTCCAAGCCGACATACAGGGACAAAGGAATGACATTATTGAACATGATGACGAATCCAAAGAAAATCTGGACCATGGGAACCGTAGAGTCGAACAAATACCATGCCCTGCTTTCAGACTGACCTTTCCAGATTATATATGCAACCGTGGCCAAGCTCGAAAGAAGGATAATGAAAAAGATGAGCGTGGCGACGATAAAGTTCGTCATCTGCTCAAGCCTTGGCTTTTTGCTTTCGGCTTTGACCTTGGAGTTCATGCGAACCTTGCATTCCTCGCCTGTGTTGACAACGATGCCAATGGCTTCAGGCGTATTGCGGATTACCGATCCTCGATAGATGGCCTCATTAAGAGTCAGCGGCAGCGTGCGGCTTTGCGAAGTCAGTTTGCTGTCGAATCGATATAGGTCTGGGTTCGGATCCTCGATGCTAAACATGACGTCGCGTTGTGTTATATTGTCGATAGTGTCGCAGTCACCAAGGTTGGTTGGGGTTCTCTTCGCTTTGAGATTCGTTTCGCCATCCAAGGCCATTGTCTCCACGAATGCAAGCCCTCTGTCGCCCGTCGCATGCAATAGCACAATATCAGCCGGTACTTCATCGCCACTGGAGAGCTTTATGACCTCTCCAACTCTGAAGTCTTGCCATTTTGTGGCAACCCATTGCAGTTTGGCCCTGTGGCCTTGAGATGTTGAGCTGCGCAGGACTGTCGCGAGGCGGTTATTTTCGGCCACGTCTTGTCGATGCCGCTTCCAGTCATAATAGCCCTCCTTGGTGATGATCATGGTGACGAAGATGACCAGCGGGATCAGAGTGGTGAAGCTGCCTGTAGTGCTGAGACCAGGAATGACTTGCAGGATAGCCACAATCAAGAGATAGCTGTTGGCCAAACGGGTGAATTGATAAACTAGCTGACGTGGCAAAAAGTCCCAGATGGTATACGTTGTCGTTCTAATCGCATTCGAGATGTAAGGACGTCTACGCCTTTCATCCACCAGAGTGTCTGGCTCAACGGAGCTGAGACACAATGGTATTTGGCGGCCATCTTTGGTCGGCGCAACTGGGTTCCGCCGCAGAACAAGTTGAACAAGATACTTGTCCCACATGGATGCGAAATCCATATTGCGCGAAAGAAGAGGCAGCAAGGCGTTTGTACCTGCAGACAGAGATAGCCAGAGTTATGTGCTGTAGATTGTGGTACGAAAGAGGACAAAATCAGACTGACAAAGACTGACAAGGCTCGATCAAATCTGAACGATCTTGATCTATGTACTCTTATGATGTTACGTGTCCGAGTCCATAACCCTGTTAGACAGCTTTGCATGCGATGTGTTTTCAGCCACGCCCTGACTGTCGTCACGCGCGCGCGTCAACGGCGATCTGAATACGATATGTACAGCACAAAAACGCGCCTGTAACCACAACAGGGCCATCGCAGTGGTTCGTCAGAATTCAGCGGCACATGTTCAGCAGCTCGTTCTCGTCATCGTTCTCGTCGTCGTTCTCATTATACTAGCGCACGTGGGGTCACAAGGTCGCAGGTTTAAAAAAGCACCTCCCCTTCCCCGTAGGATCCACCCAAGGGTTTTGTGATGAGACGCATTATCGTTAGCAAATGTCGATCAATGCCGGCAGTTGTACCCAACCTAATCTCTGTTATGCCGATCGACAACATTTGACATGTGTGAGATGGCTGAGCGGATGGAATTACGCGGCTGGCTGTCAGGGGTTAGGAGTCAGTCCGCAGCCAATGAATGGTATTGGTTACATACAGCACGACATAGTCAGTCGATCCCCTTGTTTGGCTCATAATCCCGTCTAGACTGCAAACACTTTCTCTTTGATCATGTTTCAGCCAATTCTTTCAAAGGTTTTATCTTCCCTAGAATTAAAATAAGCCAACTCTTCAGAACATAACACACGTCACTCTTCTTCAAATTTAACCCCAATACCAAAGCCGACGTCCTCGTTGCTCCGATTCTTTGCGTCATGGTGAGCCTGACTTGGTGGAAACGGGAAACAACGGAAGAAAATAAGGTTCGATCCAGGAGACCGAAAGAGACCGCCTACAACCAGGAACGTATGAAAGCTTGGGAGTCAGTACTGCAATACAGACCATAAATCACAATGATAGCTTACGAGTAGTTAATAGGCCAATTTACAGTCCGAAAACATCCAGCCTTATCTTCCTGGTGCTCGGCATCATCCTTTCGTCCTTTGGTGTTTTCTGGGTGGTCGTTAATTCCAAGGTTTGACCCCAGATCACTTTACACAAAAACGTCTATACTGATCTTGTAAACATTTTGAAGAGTAGAGGAATCCAACTTGACTACACAACATGTCACGAGATCGAGTCTTACAATCAGCTAGAGACGATGCCAGATCGACTTATCGCGGAATACATGCCAAGGAAATTTGCGGGACAATCCCTTAACCGCTGGAAACGAGCTAATGGCACCCTTACATTTGATGGCATCACGAAGAATTACACTCTCTGTACCATCGAATTCCACCTACCTGCAGACCTGAAGCCACCCGTTCTCTTTCATTATCATCTTACCAACTTTCACCAGAACCATCGCAATTATGGAACTTCACGGCATGACAGACAACTGAAAGGGGAAAGCACTAGTCTCGACTCGATCAAAGGTTCAGCTTGCAAGGACGTCGCTGTTGTCAAATCTGGAAATGAGGGCGAAGAAAAGCCCATATACCCCTGTGGTCTTATTGCAGCATCGTACTTCAACGATACATTTGGATATCCACAGCGCATCAATTCTGGACCGAGAGAAGACGTTTTCTACAATATGTCCAAAGATGATATCGTCTCGAGACATGACAGGTTTCTTTACAAGCCCAGTACCTACAATGTCACGGCCGCGCCCGTCGACTGGAAAGACAGCCCTGTCGTGCCACCTCCAAGTTGGGCAGAGCGGTACCCCAAAGGGTATCACAAGGGCAACATGTTTGATCCATCAATGGACGAGTCCTTCATGTTATGGATGCGCACGGCATCTTCACCAAGATTCGCCAAGCTTGCAATGCACAACGACCATGATATCATGGAGGAAGGTCGATATCGCCTCGAAATCTTCTCTCGTTAGTCTACCCTTCTATCTTTGACTTGACAACCGACTAAGCTCAAACATATCTAGACTTCCCAATACAAAAGAGCGGAGGTAGGAAATCAGTCATTATATCTACCAGATCCCTTGGTGGTGCTCACAATCCGTTCCTTGGCTGGGCTAATATCGGTACGGGCGCTGCCTGTGTACTGCTTTCCGCCTTCTTTGCTCTGTCGTCCTTGTGGCCATCAATTCCACTGGTTTACCACAGCTACCCTCACGAAAACTATTGATCAGAACCTAGTTCACGCAGGTATAAGGTATATTTCGTGATCTAGAGCAGGGCTCACACCCCCTTTACAGGCAGGGGCCTCAAGCAACCTTTGATATAGACATAGCTAGGACCTTAGATTGTTAGCAATAATCATCTTCCCTTTCACTGATCTACTCGACCCTGTCTTGGTATATACCTTTTAATTAGACCGTTGTGCAGCTGCGCCTAGCTAAAGGCTAGGCGCAAGCATCATCATTGCCACTCAAGATTCATCTTCCCTCGTCGACGCTTTCAGATTGAAAATTGCGATATTTGAGGTCAGAAACTATTAATTAAAACATTATGATGAATCTTGCGGCCGAACTCATAGGGCCCTAGCTTATGTCCTACATTCCCTTCGTATCTAGACCGTAGGATCGTGACGCCATGACTTTGAAAGAAAAGAACGTAAGCAGGCTTGAAAATATGGACCATGTAATAAATACGTTGTGTATTCATTTCAAGTCCCTGTGCGAAAGTCTTTAAGTATTGCCAATGATCGATACTAACCAACCCCGCGCCCAGCTCGAATCGTAACAATGACCATCATATTCTGACGAAGCAAAGCCCTCAATAATCCCTACACTTCATTGTCAAGACCAACCTTCCGGATCATGACGCATAGTCTAACATTCTCCATTGAGTAGTCTGTCTCTAATTCACTGCTAGGGGCGGGGGGGTATAGAATGGTGACTGTCGACGAATCCTCTCACCAAGATAGTAAAGAACAAGTGGAATTGGAATCAATGCCAAGGATACAAATCCCAGGAGAGAGTTTCCCCAGCCAAGGCCGAGACTTTCATACAAGCTCAGCCCGCTCAGTGGCAACAGAGCCCCGATCAGAGATCTAACAACGGTCGTGGCGGCAGAGCCCGAGGCAGCATAGCGTAGATATGAGTCAATGAGATAATTTTGAAGCGTCATCTTTCACTTTGTCAGTCAGGCGCAATATTTTGCTTGCTCACTCACACGTACCGTTGTTCCAAGCAGTCCCGTCGAGAAGATAAAAACACCGATCATGGGTACAACCCAGTGCACTTGCTCTTGGGTAGTCCACCCATACACGCACAGCCCAATAGGTAGCGCGAGGCCCGTGGGTACTGTCAGCCACGGGATAATCTTGACCTCGGGCTGGTATTTGCTCTCAGGGTCCTGCTTTTTCTTCCAGCGGCGCACCAGTAAGTCCGATATGTGACCAAAGCTTAGGACTCCGACCATCATTCCTAAACCAGCAGGCAAAAACGACAACCCTGCTTCACCTTCATTGAAATTGTACTGATCAACGTAGACAAATGAGAAGGTCGCGATCAGTAAACCAAGGATTCCATTTGATATCCCGACGTACAGAGCAATGCAAAGGACGACTGGAGTGGTAAACAAGAACTTCAGGGGCCGCACAGCCGCCAGCTTCACAGACTCGAGGCTACCAGTGTTCAACTCGCACCTAAGATCGGGGTTTCCCGTCTGTTTCCGTAGACGCTCTGCTTTGCGCTGGAGAATAACAGGGGCATAGGACTCGCGCATGAAAAATAGTAGAATGCTGAAGGAACCTCCCTATAAGGTTCAGTTTCCTACCCAACGAGAGCGAGGAGAAGTTGAACTTCACTTACCAAAATGGCCAGAAGCCAATAGACCCAGCGCCAACCAGCAGCGTGGATTAGGTAGCCACCAGCAGTTGGTCCGATACTTGGCCCGAGAAGCGGTCCCATAGCCCATAGAGATACGGCTCTTCCCCTGAACTCAAGTGTCACTGTGTCCACGATACTACCGACACCAATGGTCGTAGGAATGGACCCAACGACACCCATCAAGAAGCGGAAGACCATCAGCATTTCGATGCTAGTGCTCAGGGCAGCACCGATACAGAAAATGACGAAAAAGGCATTCCCAACATTATAGAGGTATAATTGTCCGTATATTTCACTCAGCGGTGCAAATATGAGCGGACCAAAGGCATAGCCGAACATGTAGATGGAGACGACAAAGGTTGCCAGCTGTTTGGAGGTGGTGTTGAAGTCGTCCATCAACTGCGGAACTCCAGGCGCAAACATTGAAGATGCCTAGCAAAGTGAGCATATTAAAAGAGAATGTATATCCTTGAACACATACCAGTGGGCTGGGAAGTTAGCTAGGCTACCGTAAGGGTCAAAGGATGACTTACGAAATGAGGGTGAGTAGTGACATGATGCCAATGTTGATGCACTTCCAAGAGTTTGGCCAATTCATAGGGTTCTCTGGATCATCTCGTCCATCCCATTGCACCCAGTTCGGATCTGCAGCCTCCCTGTCAGAGCATTGCGCTTCATCCGATGGCTTCGTCTCAGAAGGCTGCTGGTCCAAATCCGGGGCTCCTTGCTCCAAGTCTGGCGATTTGGTTTCCTTTGCTGCCATGTCGCATGTAGTGCTTTTACTAGAAAAGCGATTTAATCACTGAATGCGATAGAATAGGTCCGCCAATCCCGGGCGCGGACAAAGCTGCATTAAATGGGCGGATGTGAGTTCCTTAATTTTGAGTACAGGACTTTTACCCAGCACGTTTAACCACTCAATTTCACGCCAATAGGCAGCATATCATGACTCTACGCGTGACTCTCCAAGCGGTACAAAACTCCGTCGTTATCCCTTCCAGCTGATTTTACTCGACGGGGTTACGAGCAAAAGCAATAATCTTGCCAGCATAGCGTCGGAGGCTGGGTGCTACCCACAAGACGATGACACGGCTTTCATGCCCTGGCCGGTTTAGTACCGAAATTTGCGCTTGCGTACCATCATTGGCGACGACGAGAACGAGAACGAGGACGAGATGCCGTGAGAGTGCCGAAGAGACCCCATCTTGATCGTCACCCCAGTAAACTACGATACATCCATGCAGATCGCTTGTGTTGCGGTGAAGCTAGGCTTCCTAATTTGATCCCGAGAACGAGAACTTCAGTTACATCATCCACTAAGCTTTTTGAATCAGACTCATCCGCATGTATGCATCGTTTCTTCAAGGTCAGTATTCAACAGGTGACGCGGCCATGCCAAATGATGGATGGTATCAAATCCAAAGACTTTCTACGACATATAACGGCGAACGTCCCGAAATCCAGGACAGTCTGGATGACAATCGCTCACACAGAGCCAGGGCGCATTTAGAACAATCATTTCCAACCTTTTCAGACACGCTCTTCATTCCATCTTGTTCATAAGTATGCCATCTAGCAAAGGGCTACTTGTGGCTAGTATTGCTGCATTTGCTCTGGTACGTGTCACTTGGCCTGATTCGCCTTTGCTGAAGGTCAGCAAAAGGGGTATGTGTGGGAAAACCTGAGGAGGCTGACTCCATCTTCTTAGACGGTTCTCTACCTTTTCGGAACAATTGTTTACAATGTGTTCTTGCACCCGCTGCGAAAATTCCCGGGTCCTCTCTTCATGAGGGCAACACGATTGCCCTTCGCCTACAAAGTTATCACCGGCACCCTTCCTTTCGAAATGCTCGATCTGCACAACCAGTACGGAGATGTCGTCCGAGCCGCACCCAACGAGCTGGCGTTTCTTGACGAAAAGGCCTGGAAAGACACCATGGGACACCGCACTCAAGGCCGTCCGGAATTCACCAAGCCTCGCTTCTTCTATAACCCTACAAACGCAGCTTCCAACATTATCAACGCAGACGGGCCAGAGCACGCCATGCTTAGAAGGCAATTAGCGACTGGCTTCAGTGAGAAGAGCTTGCGAAGCCAGCAGCCCATCATCATGAGGTACGTAGACCTGCTGATTTTGCGATTGCATGAGCGCTGCAAGCTCGGTGACGTGGACTTAGCTTCCTGGTACAATTTTACCACCTTTGACATCATTGGAGACTTGGCTTTCGGAGAGCCTTTCGGATGTCTTGAGAAATCCGAGTACAATCCGTGGGTGCGAAACATATTTTCCGTCATCAAAGTGGCCACTGTGGTTCAACAAGCCACTTACTTCCCGTGGTTGCGTGCTCTCCTTATCCGCATTTTAACGTCTGCGGCGGCTCGATCGCGGCAAGACGCGCACAGGGAAATGACAAGGCAGAAAGTCTTGCGAAGGATTGATATTGGCAAAAACGAGGAGCGGCCTGATCTCATCGAAGGCCTTTTAAAGAAGAAGGACGAATGGGTGAGCATTGTTCCTCCCCTCTCGTGCAAGGCCTCACAATGGGGGGTTTCCTAAGAAAAAGTCTAGCTAAACTAAAGGTTGCAGAACATGCCGGTCGCGAATATTGAGAGAAACGCCAGTGTACTCATCGTGGCAGGATCGGAATCAACAGCCACAGCTCTATCAGGCATCACGTATCTTCTAGCGAAGAACCCTAAATCGTTGGACCGCCTCACTCAAGAGATTCGCTCGAGCTTTGATTGTGAGGGAGATATCGACTTTATCTCGGTCAATAGATTGCCATATCTCATGGCCTGTATCGAAGAAGGTCTGAGGTTATATCCTCCGGCGCCTGTCGGAACTCCTCGAGTAACTCCAAAAAACGGCGCTATCGTATCCGGACACTTTGTCCCACAGGACGTAAGGAGACTCGCTTCCCCTCAACCAAATAAGCAATTGTACCATCATGGACACGATACTAACTCCTTTGTCATTAAGTCAACCGTCGCGATCCATCATTGGGCGGTATACCACAGTGAGAAAAACTTTACGAAGCCCTTTGAGTTTCATCCCGAGCGTTTCTTGGGAGATCCTGAGTTTGAGTCCGATCATCGTGAAGCTCTACAACCTTTTCACACTGGGCCGAGAGGATGCCTAGGGAGAAAGTCAGTGATACTTATGCTTCTATTCCAGTTGACGATTTTTATATATTACCAATCGAGACTAACACGGCAGGCAGCCTGGCGTATGTCGAAATGAAGGTCATTCTATGCCACATAATCTGGAATTTTGACGTGACTTTAGCTCCAGAATGCGATCAGTGGATGGAAAGTCAAAAGATATACAATTTATGGGAAAAGGGGCCCTTGCTGTTAAGATTAAAATCTATTGTATCTACCTCACTTTCACAATATCTACCATGATTTGAAGGGGGTGCCTAGTTAGTTATATAAGTTATCAGTTAAGAAGGCGGTAAGAAAATTAGCTAATGTCCAGCTAGCAACTGTCTAGGTCGCTAATAAGGGTGCTATAATCTCAACTCTGTGCCCGCCATGGAAATCCCGCATATGAAGGAGACCTCCACCTTACATGCAGCCTGTCAAGTCCATCATTATTAGCATCTCGGCCAGGTTGGAATGCTGCTGTACAGCCCCTCTAGTATACCTGTGTTCATCCATGCCTACTGCTACATTTCGCGATGCCACCGCCCGGTCGGAGCAGCACAGCCTGCCACCGATGCCACAAGCGCAAAGTGAAGTGCACCCGAGGTAAGGTAAACGAAGATGCTTCCGTTTTTGCCACCTTTCGCCGCTGGAGGTGAACCACTGCTCACTCGTTATTCGCAGAGCTGCCATGCCGGAACTGTCAGCTAGCCAACCAAGAATGCACATATCCCATGCGTGACCGCAACGTTACCGTGTCTGAACGCTTTATTCGTAACTTGGAAGCGAGAGCGCTTAGCCACAGCAGTCAGCTCCCGCAAGCAACACCCTCGTCGGAGCCGGAGTCACTTCGTGGGACCGTCAGTCAGGGCCTGCCGCCACCGCTGCCACTCGTCGAGGACTCCACGTCGGAGGTCTTCCTTGCCAGGCTGAAGCAGATACGCCAGAATAATACAGGCCCTGGGTTTTCACAACTTACCCCGTCCAACCCTTATACCGACGGTGAAAGTCCGGCGGCGGTACCTTACGACTTTGTTCAGCTAAAGTTTGACACCTCCGGTTCGTTGGCGCCTCAACTTTCCGCCTCACATATTGATGTTGCTACTAATTGGCGTTAAGACACTCCATGTTCCTTCAGGCTGCCTCCATATCCGTATGCCCGCGCATTGTTGGATCAATTCGACGTATTCTTGGGCCACGATTGGCACTGGTTCCTTCGCGAAAGTTTCCGAACGAGGTTTGATCTAACGTACAGGAATCCAAACTCTCCCCAAGCCAAGGATAGGGTCTGGCTCTGCACTTTGCTCGTCGTATTTGCTCTAGGGGAGTCATACAACGTCGGGCCCCCTCCTGAAATCCGGCTGGGTCGCGTCTCCGATCAAGATGAAGACCAGCTGGTAGATTCACGACGCCCGCCCGGCACCGAATTCTTCGAACAAGCCATGTCTCTTCTCAAGATCAGTCACGAGGACCCGACTATCGACCAGATTATGGCCCTTAATCTAATTGTGAGTATTATTCTCCCTTACTTTTGGGAACAAAAGGAAACTGGATTTACGGATTCATGGATGACTGGATTGACCGAAACTTCTCTCGTACAGACATTTTACTCGTACAGCCTTAACCGCAAAAAGTCTGCCTACGTGTATGCGGGAATGTCTGCCCGGCTTTCAAATGTTCTGCGCTTGCACAAGCCACCTTCCTCACCAACGCTCTCTGCCGTGGAATGCGAGCATTTGAAGCGCGTTTGGTGGACCGTCTACTGCTTAGATCGTATGACGAGCACAGAAATGGGTCTCCCGCCCATCTTCCGACGTGACGAAGTCGAGCTTGCCTATCCTAGCGATCAGATGCTCCCACCCGAGGCTGGTGATGAGTTCTCCAGCGGAGTGGCGTTCAAAACGCAGGTCCAGCTTGCCTTTATACATACCGACATCTGCCAGACAGTCAGAAGCCTGGGTGATACCGCCATGATATACGATCAGAAGCGGGCGGAGCCTATCATACAGCAGCTGGAGAATCTGAGGGCACAAATGCCTCCTGCATTGTCGTTTGATGTGGAAAACGGCCTACCGACAGAGATGCGAGAGATGAAAACCCGATCACTCGTGTCACTGTATGAAAGATACTACCAGGTACATATTTCGGAACCCCTCTCCCCCCCTCATTATTCTTCAACGGAATAACTGATGGTAAAAGTGTTTCGTCCTCCTGCTACGACCATTTTTCTTGAAACAAATCAACTACTTGTTAATGAATGATACAGAGAATGCGTGCCAGGACAGCTTGAAATATCTGACCAACCTATGTCTCCGTGCGGCAAGAACCAATTTGTTGCTCATCGTTGACCTAAAACAGTGTGAGAAGCTGGGTTAGTTGAACTCTTATCTCTGTCACTGTCCATATTCACATCGGCAACTTTTTTAAAACTACCAGAAGCTAATGCAGATTCTCTAGCCACGTTTGGGTTCTGGGAGAGTTCGCATCTCTTCTCCGGTCTTACAATATTGTCACTCGCTATTTCGGTAAACTCCAGATGGCCTGGTAGCTTCGAGGAGAAGCCAGACGACCAAACGACGTATTGGACTGCCAAGGGTGTCCTGGGGGAGATGGCCCAAGCAGGGAACCTTGCATCTAAAGGTCAGATACGCATGCTGGATGAAGTAGAGACTTTGCACGACGCACTAACCTGGACCGATAATACGGCTTTTGACCTCTTCAACTTTTGGGATACGGAGGCATGGCCGCATTAATGCTTTCATTGATCCGAACAAGCAAATTAGCCTTACCTTCCTATACTTGAATTAGGTAGTGGGTTCTAACGAGACACATTACTATAACATAACATCCATGGTCTCACGCTGGAAATTTGGTTTCATTCCCTTTAACTCAGCTCCAAGGGCTCGTAGCCGCCACGGCAACGGGCGCGGCGACTCCCCATGTCTTGGAGAAGCCCTGGCCCTGGCCGCCACGAACGATCATCATGGTCCCGACGGCGCTGGCGATACGCGCCCCGGCTTCGTAGCCGGCCACGATGCCAACGACCATATCGGCTGCGGACTTGCGTTCCGATTCAGAAGCTCTAGGAGCTGTGCAGACCGCGGCACCGCCGAAGTGGACTCCGACAGGGTATATCTCGTCGAGATCGAGCAGGTTACTGAGACGGGCGTTGGTGTAGAGTGGGCGGGCTGTGCCGACGGGCAACGTTGAGCCGGAGAGTGATGCGGTGCCTGGTCCTCCAAACATCGTGGAAAGTTGCTTGATGGGTTGGGCATGGCTTGTTGGTAGTGATGAAGCGTGTATGCAAGTCAGGTTATCAAGTAGGAAAGATGAGGCAGCGTTGCGGATATCTTGGGGTGTGGGATATCATGAGGCTGCTGAAGAGTGTAGAAAACTGCGCTGTCGTCGTCTCCCTCATTGTAGAGAAGATCGATGTATTTCCTAGTTATTCATGGGCTAAATGAATCTGGTGAGTCCTCAATCAAATTTAATGGGCTGTCATCCACTCCAAGAAGTGGGGGAGAAACAGTCAACAGCCGCAATATTCAGAGGCACTGTGTGAGCCTCTCTCCTCTCCACAGCCACGACAGTCTTGTCGTTATCTTGCCCCTCTTGTCCGAGAATTAGATGTAAACCGAGCTGATTAATGCAAACTATCGCCACTCCAACGGTTGACCACCTCTTCACTTTGGCTTGGTCCCACTTCTCCGCCATGATATCGGACGCTAGGGGTATTTGCCGAATGTGCAAAAGGTCTCGGATCCAATGGGAACAAGACGATGGCGTTATCGATTCATGTCCACACAGATTCATGTTCCCCGAGTGGAAATAACCCCGCGTTATCATGACGGGTTGGGCATTCTGGAGAAAGATACGTATCATTAAAGGTGATTCGAATTTCCCGCCCTCAGAAAGAGATCCACGAGCAATCTCGGGCCAATTCGCAAGCCGGCCGGTCATTCATGCTTGCCATTCTATACTGTAATACAAAGAATGGTCAGAACATGCCAAGGGAGTACTATACCACTAACCCATTCGCCCAAGCTATGGTAGATTGATTCTTTCCGTTAGGACTTATCAAATTGCAAATGATTGTGCATACAATAAATCGAAAGCGCCAAGTGTCACTATGATTAGCTTCAATCCCGTAAGACTTTAGCTACTATTCACAAGAAGAGTGGACGTAACCTTGCATCAGACCTAGGCTACAAAGAAGATGCATTTCAATATAGCATGTGTGATGGACGCCTTGAATCCTGGTTACTACTATTCGTTCCGCCGATGAGACAAAATTGTTCATATACGCTCTAGAGCAATTTGATAAATTTACCATGGAGTCTAGGAGTGAATCTCTGTCTGGAACCCGTAGTATATCAATGTTTGTTCAAGCCCCGCCCGAAATTGGAAAATCATCTACAATCTGGGCGTAGGGGGGTCGAACAAGAACTCGCCAACTAGTTTGCTCACTTCCTTGGCTACACCCCAGCTAAACACGTAGCCGCCACCGCCTGTGCCATAGGCGTGAACTATCTTCTCTCCGTCCTTGACTTCCTTTTCTACTCGCACACCCGTGGGCCTGTCAGGGCGGATGCCCACGTTGTAACGAATCACATCATAGTCCGCTGGCTTTGGGCCGGTGAAGTGCTCCGGCAGATTCTCGTGCACCCGACGCAGAATCTATCCCGAAATTAACAAGAGAAGGAGTCGAAATTTGATGAAAGAAACTTACGTCCTCTGTGATGGAGTCATCAACCTCAGTGTGCCTATTGTCGATGTGGTAAGTGAGAGGTCCTGTTCCGCTCTTTATTCATATTTCCTTGAACTTACGTCTGACCGTGCTGCTTAATACCTCCCAAGATAGCCGTGCCATCAAGCCTTGGGATTACATAGGTGTAGTCTTTTCCATGGCGCATAAAAACTTTGTTATAGCTGGTTTTGGCGAGGACAGTCTGGCCTCGGACCTGCACCATGTGCTTATCTGCTACATCCGCCAGATACCGCGCACCGAGCGAAGTGGCGTTGATGAGAACATCGTATCCAGAGCCCTTGAGATCGGCAAGGGATTGGAGGTTCTTGCGGACGAATTCGACGCCGGATTTCTCAAGGCGCTGCCGAAGCCAAGGAAGGAAAATGTGCGGTGTCAGGACCACGGTTTTGTCTACACCAGCATCAGCTCTGAATATCAAAATTAATCACAAGAGAGAGGAGACGACATACAGCTCATTCCTAACTTTGCGTCCTTTGGCAACTCATGCGGCTCCATTACGCGGAACTATCCGAATTGTTTAGCTAACTGTCTTCTGAAATGGGTTCGCGTTCTACATGCCTCTGGCATCTGATCTCGATACCAAACCTTCTCAAGCGGTGTCACATCTTGGAAATCATTCATCTCGATCGCCTATGGCACAAGTACCTCTTTGTCAGCACTGCCATTTCTATTCTCATCATGGATTGCTAATCTTACCCTCACACTGGACTCCGGATGAGTCTTGGCAAGCTGCCACCAAAAGGCAAAGGAGTCAAGCTGCATCTTCTGCTCACGAAGGTTGGATCCGTCAAGCCCGAGGAAGACGGCTCCAGCCCAGGGGCTAGCCCACTCGTGTGAGAGCTCGTCGCCAGGCAAGTTCCTAGCCACGACGGTGATCTCGCATGTCTTTGGTAGCAGGCTTGCGGCGGTTAGGCCTACAACGCTGTAGGACCGTTAGGGAGGTTCGTGTATGGTAGGGGCCCAACAGGACTTACCCAGCGCCAACAATAGTAACTTTAGGCATCTTAACGGCTTATCTAGATCGATAGTCTGAGTTTTCGGTCCAAGAGGAAGATTAGGGATAATTTCCTTGAGGTTAAACTCTTAAGAAGTCTTCTGGGATGGCTCGCTTTGGTAGCACAAAATAGTAAAAAAGCAGAAGCATAGCGGTTACAACGGCAGCCTTTAAGATAAGTCAAACACCTGGTCCGGCATCGGCGGAAAGCTCTGCAAGATTCCGATCTGCAGGACTTCATGCAATTGACCACGATGCAGACGCTGTGATTGATCCCTCTCGGGTTTGACCCAAAACTGACCATCACGACCGGGGCTGCTCGGACGCTAGGCGCCATTTCCCGAGCCTTACTTGATCGGAGACCATGAAAACCGCCTATCTCCTCATCCGATAGGTAGTTGATCGGGAATTCACATTAGTTGCCGAGGTGGCACTTATCTCCATCTCAAGAAGCTTTTGATGTTGCTCCACAAACTCCGCAACTGTTTCAACGTAACTGAATCTGAGTCAAGGGACCTGGAGATCCTGGGGTACAAATAGATATGCGACATCACTGCAGTCGAAGTGTTCCAACAAGCCGCATCTTCAAGACGACATTCTCGACTCAACACCATGGAATCCTCACAAATCAACGCAGAGATCAAGCCCGAGAAGAGTGGCCATGACTGTGCCTCCAGCCTCAAGGTGGGAGAGAGCAACAACAACTCGGCAGAGTACAACAGATTCCTGGAGCTGAGCCATGAGTTCACGGGAGGAAAGCTCAAGAAGCTGATTCGCAAGTGCGAGTAAGTAGTGAAGTCTGACATTGAAGCCATCTCTCTAACATCATAGTTTCCGCGTGCTTCCGCAATTAATTATCATCTATCTCATGTCATATATTGATCGAACCAACGTCAGTAAGTGTTTAAACCGCCCTTGACACTCAAGACGAGGAACAAACACCATCTGACCATCTCCCTCCCGCAGGTAATGCGAAACTGTTCGGTGTGATGGAGGATCTTGGTCTGAGCGGGCAGCAATGGAATACATGTCTTTCCATCTTCTTTATAACGTATGCGTTCGGCGGCGTGCCCTCCAACATTGCCTTGAAGCGCTTTGGCCCCAAGATCTGGCTCCCTGTACTCCTGACATCAGTTTCGCTCATCTTGATCTTCACGTCACTTCAGCGGAATTACGCTGGCTGGGCGTCTTTCCGAGTTCTTCTGGGTCTCTTCGAAGCTGGCGTGTTTCCTGGGTGCTCCTTTGTTCTCACCCAGTGGTATTCGCCCGAGGAAATTAGTGCCAGAATGGGCTTCTTCTACTCGGGTGCCTCCGCTGCGGGTGCATTCTCTGGACTGCTAGCGTATGGTATTGGTCAACTCGACTATACATGGGGATATCGCGGGTGGAGGTTCATCTACTGCATTGAGGGTTAGTTTTCCTTCTTGCCGCCGAGGGAGGCTTGTTGTTAACTCCGTATCCAGGCTTATTCAGTCTCTGTCTCGCCATCGCCGGCTTCTGGATTGTATACGACACCCCCAGCAGCGTGAGCTGGCTCTCTCCCGAGGAGAAGGAGTTCCTTACTCTACGCCACAAGTTCTCTGCTGGCGGCGAAACGGGCATCGGGGAAACGGAAAGCTTTTCCTGGAAGCACGCCCGAGCAGCCTTCCGGTCGCCACACATTTATGCCGTCGCCGCCACCGAGTTTACTCTCTGCGTTGCCGTCTACGGGTACAACTTCGTGCTGCCGACCATTATTCGCGATCTCGGCTACTCGGCGGTCAACGCTCAAGCCATGACAGTGCCGCCGTATGCATTTGCGTGTGCCATTACTGCACTCTCGGGTTACATGGCAGACCGATGGCAGAAGAGGATGCTGCCCCTCTTTCTAGCAAACCTCATGGCACTTGCAGGCTTCATCGTAATGGTGGTCAGTGTGCGATACTCTTCCATTCCCGGAGTGACCTTATTTGGTGTATTTCTGGCCACAGGCGGCCTGTATCCGGTGTCTCCGCTGGCAACGGCATGGATTTCGATGAACACTGCAGGGACAATGAAGCGAGCCGTCGGTATTGGCGCCATGATCAGTTTTTCCCAACTCGGAGGAGTGAGTACCAACGGAGAAAAGCTCTATTATTGATGCTGTGCTAATCTTCGCGCTTAGATTGTCGGGTCCAACGTCTACATTGCGAGTACTGCTCCAAAATATCCAGTTGGGTTCGGTATCAGCATCGGTATGATTGGTGCGTTTGGATGCATCTGGCCACCTCTGTACGCTCTCATCCTTAAGCGTATCAACGCGAAGCGAGCGTTGATGAGCGAGGAGGAGATTAGAGTAAAGTATACGGATGACGAACTCGCAGAGATGGGAGACGAGAGCCCATTGTTCCGATATTCATTCTAGACAAGTATTATCCTATTACTAGATCGAGTGTGGACATTGGGGGGGGCAGGATGAGTGTCTTAAAGAACATGGCCTTCGGGAATGACATAAACTTTGTGCCTAATTGCACAGCAAATAAGGGATCAACGTTATTTTTAGACAAGATTCTACTGCTGTCTTGCACAGAGATGATCATGGCAGAAACCTAGCGCTATTTAACAATTGGCGAACCTCCTCCTCTCCTTGCTGCTCGTTTCCCCTTGAATGATAAATTTTCCCCTATCCTGGCCACTCCTATTGGCACGGAAAAAAAAATAATTCCCTACTACTCGTCGTTCATCCTGATGCTTTGGACTGTCAAGTTAATCCCCATTGCTTGCATCACTTTCTGTGCCTACGGACGATCCGCTAAAATCCTCTGAATCCGATGAATACTCATCTGAATCTGATAGAGACGCATCTGAATCAGACTCATCAAGAGCATCCTGGTCCCAAGGGCTGCTCGCCATCTCAAGCCGGAGGTCTTGGAGATCTGCCTGAATACTGTCCAACAGTACTCCCTTGTCGCCACAAGATAGCTGCCCCCTTAAGCCGCGATAGAATCCAGCACTATCTTCATTCTTATATGCTTCTTTGGACTGGATGATTGCGGAGAGGTGGCGATGGGCCTCAGCTTCGTCGTTCCGGTCCAGCGCCGCGAGTGTTTGCTCCAGGAGCGAAATGTCGTGGGCGAGATCCCGATCCCGAATGCCTCTGTACAGCTGCACAAAGGCAATCATGACAGCTGGATCTGGCTTCTGTTCGGGATCATCCAAGCGTAATATAAATATCATCCATGGAGTCCAACCTGTACTGTCGGGAAGCTTCCAGTTGATGCAGGTCAATTCCTGGCCGTCGAGGAGATGCACAGTTTGCAGATCCCCCCAAAAGGCAGCGTAGTGTAGTATGGTCTCTCCCCGTCTGTTCATTGCTGTGAAAGAAGCCCCAGCTTGCGCCAGACAACGCAAAGCGACATGCTTGTTATCATTCACGGCACGCATAATGGCTGTATCCCCTAGGTCATCCGTTGCATTGATGTCTGTCCCTGGCGCATCGAGCAGCAAGTTGATGGTGGCTGCTATTTCGGCTGGATTCTGGTTTTTCGAAATTACCGCCTCATGTAGTGGAAATTTGCCAAAACCAGAACGCAGCGACGGCGATGCTCCAGCCTCGAGCAGCAGCTGCACCGCCTCGGGATTGCACTCGCCAGCAGCATAACTCAGTGCAGTTTGCTTAAATCTGTCTCGTTCATCAATGCGATTGATCCGCCTTGACAAAAGCAGACGTCGCATACATTCCGTGCGGCCACAATGAGCTGCCCACATCAACGGAGTATCCCCATCGTATGATTTGCAATTGACATCGGCGCCCGCATCAATCAAATCCTGCACGGCCTGAGTGTGACCTCCAATCAAAGCGTGGTGCAACGGCGGATGTCCAGTCTCATCCCACACATCGATCAGGTGCTTTGCCTCAGCACAGCTTTCTTGCACTCCCGATCCCCGAATGGCGGCCTCGTGAATTGCTGATGTTGGCTCGTCCGTCCCCCAGTCGACATATGAGACGACTTGCTTCATTACTCGTACGCCTCGTTCGTCCATTGAATCAAACCGCAAACGATACGATGCCGCATATCCCGCATTTCTATATAGTGTTAGCCTTGGCCCTGCTGTATGGCTGATGGCCCGAGATTGAGTACCTAGAGAGCCCATTTTGTACCAACATATTCTTCCATTGCAGCAGTAGAAACTCCGAAATCTGGAAATCGTAGATGGTAATTAGAAGCTTTTTCTGGCGGTCAGCTGTTCTCGGTTACCAAATTGATTGTCGATGTATTTGTTCTCACCTCAACAATATCAATACCGAACTCACACAAATCATCAGGAAATTGAACCCTTCCCTTGTCCATTGCCTGGCGAACATCTGCTACGGAGTTGCGCGGAGGGAGGAATTCATCTGATGCCAACGGCAAAACTCTAACTGGACGTAGGGCACATTTCAGAGAATAGCGGTAGGGACGAGAGTAAGAAGATTGTATCCACAACCACTCTGGAGGTCGCCAAGCAATTTCCAAATCATCCGACTTGTTGCATGGGCAACGCATATCCCATTTCAGGCCAGCTAGGTGTGGCTTGTATTGTAGTTCCAACGACCCCGTCAGCTTCTTTATCCATCCCGGGGTCGAAGCTTTCCGTGGACGAGTGTGGCATCGGCACACACACTGCGCTGGACACTTCGTCCTCTGGAATGCCGCCGCCAAAGTGGTCCTCTGACCAACCAGACTGCGTAGAGGTGCTTCTGGTGTTGTTGGTCCCTGGGCATCCGTGGTTGCATTTGTATCGCTACTATCGAGCTCATTTCCCTCGTCATCCAGCTCTTGAATTCTCTGCGAATTCTCGGTCTGACCATTCAGAATCTGCTCTTGGGTCGATATCATTACCATTGCAGTGTGTGACATGTGGTCAAGTTGCCTCTCAATCCCAGGTAAGTATATGTCAAGCCGGCATTTAACCTCTCGCAGTTCCGTATTAGTTTGATGGTGTAGCGTGGACACGTGCATGGCAATCGCCATCTGCAGATTCGATTTTGCTCGGTGCGCCTTTTGCAGCATCCCGCCAATCTTGCCACTGAAGACAAGCCACTTCCGTTTGCTAGCCCGCATCTCTCCCTTGGCTGTCTGGTGCTGGCACTTGGCCTTGATTTCATCCAGGCCCGTTGATATTTCTGTAAGCGTAGATATAATCCTTCCAATCTGATCTTGTATTCCGGGCATCGGTGTCGTCTTCTCGCTATGCGTCGACGTCTGGTGAGCAACTCGGATGATTGTCTCGATGAATTCAAGCTGATGATGGATAACGAAAGGTCAGAACCAATCGACAAACTCTGGTTGCATGGAGTACATACCTCATTACAGAGCTCGGCGTAGTCGGATTGGATCTCGGGAATCTTTTGCAGGAACTCGACTCCCTTGACCGCAACCTGGGCCAAGGTGGCAGCACTCGCCACGGCGCCGAGAACTTCCATTTCGATCGGGCCTGCTCACAGGACAACCATCGTCGTCTGCAAGAAAACGGAAGAAAGAAGAGAATTTGTAAGTGTCAGAAGCAGCGGAGCGGGGTAATTTATTCCTCATGCTGCGCAAAGCCTCGTTGGGCGTCTTCCAATCAAACAGCCGCTGACCAACGAGCCAGCGAGAGTACAGAGCATCGCCTCAGCTTATCCCCCAAGCAGAGGCAATTGGCGCGGCGGCGTTCTTTTACTCGCTGCTCACCTGCAGAAATGTCCAAAATTCGTATCGTACCGTACGGAAACGCCTCATTTACGTTTTCTTTTCGCAAGGCATACAGTACAGCCACAAAAAGAGAGACATCGCATCTGCTCACCTAACGAGTCCTAGGCAGCTCTTACGGCACAGCCCATCTGCTGCCCAACCTCAGTACTCTTGTAATATGACTTATCATTAAATTTATATGAAATGACTACCAGAGGATCATACGGCCGCTACGGCGATGCTGGGAGAGAGATACCCGGGCTTGTCGAAGTCACCTGGTCAGTAAGTGATATCTGCACTGCGTTTGGCTGTCTGCCACAACATTTTCTCGGCCGGCAATGAAAGTATAGTACGAAGCTAAATGGCTTCAGTCGTGAGTGCAACGGCTGCCACCTCCCAATCCACCAGGTTTGGGTTGATGGTTGGCATCAGGGATGGAGATTTGGCTTGTATATCAACACTACAGCTCAATCCGGCAGTGTCGCCCAACGGGATTTTGATTAATAGGAGGATTAAGACTAGCTTCAGGCAGACCAGGATGCCAGGGCACAGTACTGGGTTTCCCAACTGCAAGAAGCGACCCTAAGACAGCTGGTAGTATTCCTATACATCAAAATCTTGAGCATCTTACACCGCGAGTGGGGGGAAACGAGTCCAAAAGACATCAAAAGTATTAGATCTCTTGTTTCATGTGGAAGTATCTTCTCCAGCACTATTCGTCGATAAAGGCAGTCCGTCTTTCCCATCGGATAATCCTATCCTTTGCCTCTGACCACTTATTTGGGCTTCTGAAAGCTTCAATGATTTTTCCAATTCGTATGCGGATATACATGAACACGTACCGATAATCAAGCTGTTCCTTGAATATGAATGTCAGCCGATCTCGGGCTCTCAGATTCTCCCTTGAGTATAGCTACACAAGCTTCGACTCGAATAACCGTAAGATCAACTACGCCGACAAATCACCGCCCCTTCACTCTTTGTTACCCCGCCTGCAATAATTCACAGGATACCCCCAATGTTACATTCGGTAGACTGATTATCGTCATTATTAACAGTATAATCATGCGATTGATATTGATTGTCGGAATGATGTCATGAAGACGTCTGGATTTTTTCACTACTATTCGTAAGGAGATGACGCAAAGTAATCGTCAAGCGCAACCTTTCATAAGGTGAAGTTTAATACCTGCATGCTCACTGCTGACATGGTGCTGGAGAAATCGGCATATAAGCCAAGCATACCCAACGTCTCTGGATAATACAAAGTTCGAAGGCGTTGGTCCAATGAGGCGTCGGCCTGTAAATTGAAACTTGCGACTACTATTCCCTTCCTTTGATTGCCGCATTCAATGATGCTTTCTAGACTTGCCCCGCGTGCCTTGAAGTCGGCCACAGGCCGCGGCGCGGCGCGATATCAATGTTTCTCTGTGCCCTCACGAAGTGTATCTACGCAAATGCCGAAGATAATGCTCGAAGACGAAAATGGCTTTGGCTTCGTTCACCACAATAGCAGGCCACCAAAACCGCGCAAGGCGGGCGTGACAGAGATTCGCGGACCGTACTACTCAGCCATGGGAAAACGATATCTGCAAGATGTCCTGGAAACGTGAGTGCCAATGGCGTGATTCCTATTGATCTTTTCACTGACCATCATTTACAAGGATGGGCCACCATGTTGACGGGCTCAAGTTTGCTGGCGGCTCCTTTTCACTCTTTCCCGAGGACAAGCTGAGAGAGCTGATTGATATTGCCCATGAGCACGGCGTCTACGTCTCGACCGTAAGTAATCTTGCCTGCTGCATGCGATTACGGGCTCCTCTAACATGGTTCTAGGGCGGTTGGATGGAATATATTCTGATCCAGTCAGACCCGCATTCAGCCGTGGACCGATACCTCAGGCAGTGCAAGTCGCTTGGGATGGACGTGATTGAAATCTCTACCGGGTTCCTCTCTCTTCCGCCTGATGACTGGCTACGGCTGGTCGACACAGTGCACAAAGCCGGACTGATTGCCAAACCCGAAATTGGTATCCAGTTCGGCGCTGGCGGTGACACCGAGGCAGGCGAGCTGGAGAGCATGGGCACCTCGGACCCGTCCAAAGTGGTGAATATGGGCAAGCGGTTCATTCAAGAGTGTGGGGTCGAGCGCATCATGATCGAGAGCGAGGGCATCACAGAGAACGTGAAGAATTGGCGGACGGACGTCATTCATAGTATCCTACGGGAGCTGCCATCGGAGAAGGTCATGTTTGAGGCTGCAGACCCCAAAGTGTTCAATTGGTATATCCGGGAGTTTGGGGCCGATGTGAACCTCTTCGTGGATCATTCCCAGATTGTGCAGCTTAGCTGCTTGAGGGAGGGAATCTGGGGCATGGCCGACACATTTGGGAAAGTCACAACGTTCCGTTAATGCTCATTCTTAATGTATCTCTTGTAGATTATCATCTCGCGAGAGATAAACTCCTCTAATTATAAATAAAAAAAAAACTAAATCAAATATATGGGCAACATGAATGAGTGAGTTTGAGGGTGAGCCCGCTTATGATAGTATTTGCTCAGGAGACCAATTGCTTCTTTAGCAAACCCCAACACACCCACCCTTCAGTGGCAATATGAGAGGAAAACAAAGAAGAATATAACGACCTCCCTTACGCAATGAGCTAGATTGCTCTATGGGGAAGAGAGAAAAGGAGCGGAGAGGCCTGACAGAGGGAGAAGGATGAGCGTCTGAGGGGGGAATTGGGTTTGATGGATCTTAACGTCACTGTCAGGGATCTTATGGCGAGCGAAGGAGATCCTAACATCTAATTGATGTCACCTCGATTTCATCATGCGAGGCGGTCGCCCATCCAAGATCTTATACGTGGGGCTTGCTCCACGCCCTCTTGTCTTGGCCCAGGCGAGCGGAAGGCAAAGTCGGTCTTTCACGCTCCTCGTAGCCAATCTATCATTTCCGGTCCAACCCGCCGTTATATTTTCTTCTGTCTGTATTTCGAGATGGACTATGAGCTGAAAACAATGCCTAAGGTATCAGTTAATACTAGCCTCTTATCCTCTTAACAAGTTGCATCTTTTCTTCCACCCGACTGTTCAGAAAACTCCATCCAAGGCCTACGTGCTCATTTCACGAGGTTACTTGCCCAAAGAAATTTGTCTATAAATCTTTTAGTTACGGAATAGTAGAACCATCTTAATTAATATAAAATCCAACCCAAACCAACGGCGCATCCCTAGTATTCCGCAGCCCAACTAGCGGTTAGCCGTATCTTACTAGGTCTGAATATAGGACTTCTAGTTATGAAGGCACTCTTTGTCAGGGTAGAGAGATCCCATAAGATAATATTGTCTGTACGTGCGAATTAAGAAAGATTAGTATACTATCTCATGGTATGCAAGGCCAGCCTGGGTCTTTCCTCACCATGATCAACCCCCAGCTTCAAACTCGGGCATGTTGTAGATATCATCTGGATCTACCAAGCCGTTAGTATGTCCTATACCGTCCCCGAGAATGCGACTCACCTTTGCTATTTTCCTGAATGTAGCGCTTGACCTCGGTCATTCTCTCATCAATCGTCGCCAGCACTTGATCAAACACATCCTTCAATTTTTCTTCCCCGACCTTCATTTCTCTCGCGGCTCGGATAGCCCTCGAAGCAAGATCATAACGGCTTACTTTGTTTACCATCATCATGTCGAAGGGAGTGGTGGTACTTCCCTCTTCTTTGTAACCTTCCACAGACATGCGCTCCAATCTCGGCCTTCCAAAGAGCAAACCTTGCAGTTCGGTAGCATATCCGTGGTAGTTGAAACAAATCGGTCGATCCTCCGTAAACATTTGGATAAACTCGGAGTGCGTCTGTGCATGAGGATGCCGAGACTCCAAAGCGAGGACCATGAGATCTGTAACATTGATGACTCGCACGCTCAGGCTAGGGGCGAGCTCGCGAAGGAGGTGAGCTGCCTTTACCGTTTCAAAGGTCACCTCAACGCCTATGCCGACAAGTACAACATCAGGCTTCTGTCCATCTTGCTCATTCGATGCAAATTTCCAGATCGAGGCGCCTCTGCGGCAATGCTCTGCTGCTTCGTCAGCAGAGAGGTAGCCTGATGTTGGCTGCTTGGAACCGATCATGAGGTTCACGAAATTTTTTGACTTGAGACAGTGATCCACAGTGCTCAAGAAACAATTCGCATCTGGGGGAAGATATACCCGACCAGCCTCCCCCTTGACATTGAGAACCGCACCGATGAATGAGGGATTCTGATGTGAGAAACCATTATGCTCCTGGCGAGCCCACGTGCTTGTTTCGATGTAGTTGATGGAGCTAATGTCACCGTGCCAGTCGGTCTGACGTGCAATTTTGTTGAACTTGGCATATTGGATCATCATCGTGTGCACAATGCCGAGAAAAGATTCATAGCTCGGGAAGAGAGCGGTGCGACCTGTGAGCGTGTAGCCCTGCATGAAACCCTGGCAGCAGTGCTCTGAGAGAATCTCAATAACTCGGCCCCCCTTGGCACGTGAGTGCTGGTCCCATTGGAAGTTGCGTCCGCTGTGTGATAGAATCGCGCTGAGTTTATTACTCTCCAGTTCGTCGGGGGAGAAGACCCTGAAACTCTTTGGGTTGATCTGTGCCACTTTGTCGAGGAATTTGCCTGTTTCCTGCATGGCGCTGGCCTGTTCGTGTTTTTTGACGGCAAAGGTCTTCCAATTGGGTAGCTCGAGGGGTATATGCGAGTCATACCCTATTTTGAGTTGCCCAAGGCGTTTTGACATATCACGGGGGAGAAGGCTGAGAATGGTGTCGATAGGTTTGCCGTCCTGGATTAGCTTTTTCGCACCGTAGCTTGAGAGCCAGTCCTGAAGGAGCTTCAAATGCTCCTCATTCTCCTTCGGCTTTGGAATGGGGATTTGATGAGCTTTGAAGGATCCTTCGACGAAGTCGCCGTCCACCTTTTTAGGACCTGTCCAGCCTTTGGGTGTGCGTAGAATCAACATAGGCCACCGTGGCTTGATGATGGGTTTTCCACCTCTCGCCGCTCTTTGGATGGTCTTGATCTCGCCGACCGCCCACTCGAGAGCGTTGGAAAGCTCTCTATCGATGTAATCAAGGTCCTTGACGATATAAACCTGGTAGCCATAGCCCGAAAAGAGCGCTACGAGTTCCTTATCATCCATGCATCCAAAAATGGTCCGTTCACTGATCTTGAAACCGTTGACATGAAGAATAGGAATGACTGCCCCGGACTCGGCGGGATCAAGAAACTTAATTGAATGCCATGCCCTGAGCACAGTCAGTACAGTTTCCTCAACACAAAGTCCCATTTTGACTTACGCGGCGGTTGGACCACTCTCAGCTTCACCGTCGCCAACCACGCAAGTGACAATTAAATCTGGATGGTCCATGACAGCACCAAATGAAACGGCGAGAGCGTATCCAAGCTCACCACCTTCATGAATTGCGCCAGGGACCTCGGAATTGATATGGCTTTCCCACGTGTTACTATTTTTCTCGTAGAAGGAAATGGAAAAGAAGTCCTCCCTATATCCAGATAGAAATTACCGATAGACCTACCTTGGAAAGCCTGAAGGAGTAGAAAAGCTGGTGATAAGATTTCTTAGGCCCTCTTTGTTGACGGGATAACGCTTGGGGTAGAATTTCTCAAGAGAGCCCTCCAACCAGAGAGCTGCCAGCGCGGCGGGAGCACCGTGTCCCGGGCCAATAACGTAAATCATATCCATGCCATGATTTCGAATAAGCAAGTTCAAATGAGACCAAATAAGGATAAGGCCGGGGCATGTGCCCCAATGTCCAAGAAGTCGCGGCTTGATGTGATCAAAACTAAGATCTTCTTCCAGTAGCACGTTGTCTCGGAGGAATATCATCGCTATATCATCGATTTAGACTCGCGGTATCATTGAGAATGGGGAAATGAACTCACCACCAGCAATATAGCATGCTGCTTGCTGGAAATCTTTGAGAGATTTAAAATCATCTTCCTCAATCGATTTCCTCTCGATCTTCGCTATTAGGCTGAGCGTCTCCTCGGGGAGATCGCTTGGCAACGCTGGCGGATTGGGTTCATCAATGACTTGGCCAGGCATCTTGAAGGGTGGAAATTAGAGTATCGTAAGCCAAAATCTACTACTCTCATTTGAATTGTATAATTCTACAGTGAATGAAAAGTAGGCTTTCCCTTGAATTTAAGAACGGAGAGGTGACGACTTAATACAAGGAAGCTGGGATGCCTGACGTCAGACTGACCTTCTCATGACCCCTTTTCATTCACCCACTCTAAATCCGTTGCTGATCTATACAAGGTATTTCTTGTATAATAGTCTACGTATACGACCTCAGAATTCATTCTCCCCCTTGTGTAAATTTTTTTTGAGCCGCGTCCTACGTTCTCTAGGGATAGAGCAAAGGTACCAACTTTATAGACATAAGAGTTTTACGGTGCAGCGTACATAATAATCATGATAACGATAATAGATTAGGAGAATTGATATTTTCAAGAATCTGTTTGATTTTTATAAAAGTATTTTTGCTATCAATATTTAAGCTAGCTGATCACAGAGCGAGCAAGTAGATAAGTGTAATTTTATTATTTCAAAGCCTTAAAAATATAAATACGCCCAGTGCATTGTAGCTTTCCAACGTCTTGGGAAATAAAACACTTAGTTTACCATATTGTACAGGCTTCATCACAATGTAATTTGCCCTTCACAATCCGTCGGACTCAAAGATATTCGTTCAGCACTTCCGCTGCATCGCTTGGAGCACTTCTATATACACATTGCCACCAATTTGATTTTTTAATTATGTACCCTATTGTAAGCAATTAGAAAGTTGTTTTGAGTTGAGGATAACCTTCTGCTTGAGCTTGGAGATCGGCATATATAGATTCTGATTGATGGCCAGTTAGATGTCTCATTCTCTCAAGGTCTTCCTCTGCCAAGCTCTCTATAAATTCCTCCGGTTTCTGGGAACCATTTTCCTCATCCTTTTCTTGTGGTTCTAGAGCCTTTTTGGTGCCAGAAGATTCTCCCACAAGGAGCAGCTGGGCGTTTGGGTAGTCCAGGTGAACCGGCTTAGAAGGGAGCCATCGGAGGGACCGGAATTCCTCGATAATTCTGGGATCTCGTTAGCGGAGTGAGAATGGAGAGAATCGCGACGAGGGCATACTTGGTGGGAAACTTGGGATCCTTGGGTAGTCTTGCACTCGCCGGCCCGCCATAGTTTGGATTCTTGGTACTTATTATGAAACTTCCCTTCTCCTTTATTCCCAAATCCTTCTGCGCCGAATCCAGCTTCTGGGGAATTGTGAGCATGTAGACCAAATGACTCTCTCGTCCTGTGGTGGTGAGGGCATAGACACCCTCTCCAACTGGGGTGGCCGCGGGGGTGTGTCTCGTTCCCGCCGTCTTCGTCTCATAGTCGGCGCCAGGCAGGAAACTCTTCTTCAGATTTTTAAAGGAAGCATTTGACTTCTCCACGAAAATCATGAAGCGATCTTTCCCACTGAGCGGAAGTGTCTTCTTGGGAAGCGCGAGGAGGCGATTGTTGCGCGCATCGCCGATCGGTCCATCGCCGAGCTTGGCATCTTTCTCGATTGGCCGCAGCAAGATGTATGTTCGCGCGATGTCCTCCACGGTTCCGGGATCATCAATGTTGACCCGCCCGCGAATAAAGAAGTAGATGATGCCCTTCTCTAGTACGTTGGGGGGTACGTCTGGCTCTTCTCCTACCCTAACGGCGCTCTGCTTCTGAGCTTCCGACTTGTCCACTTGTTTGGATGCTGTGTTGCCTGTTTTCTCTTTCTCTCGCTTTTCATCTTTATTTCGCGATTCCTCCAACGTTTGTTGTTTCTCAGTCTTGACCCGCCGAGGATTAGGTGCCGGCTCATGCTCAGTCTCGTGTTTCCGGCCTGTTTTGCTTTGGTCTTCTTTTTGGTGCTTTGATCCGGCCATGCTGCAGCGTTTTAAATCCTCGCGTGTATATAGACGCCTTGACTGTAGTGGCAATTGGGCAAATTGTTTGCTCAGAGAAGATTAGGTGGTGAGAAATTTCCAAGATCTATAAATGCGATTCATATGAAACCGTGGTTCGACGAGGTGCATCTTCGGAATGGTGATGTCATTACAACGTATCGAGTTCGGCCTTCATTTGATTGACGTGCATGGTTACATAATTATGTATCCGCTTCTTCCGTCATCCTGATTGATGTTAGTTGAGGTACCTGTAGTGCTTCTTAAAGTACGATCGAGCAAGAAGGCACCTACTGATGATAGTCCTCAAATTTGGCCTTGTTTGATGTGTGCACCTATAGTTAAGATGCATATGTGAATTTTTAAGCTAATTTATGTCAGAGATATTGAAGGGCAAGAGTAATTACAAGACTGGAATATGACTCATTATAGTTAGTTGCGTGGCACTGTTTGACTACTGTAGCTGATACCATGTTGACGAAAGTGCATTTTATCCTGGGAGCATCAGCCGCGATTTAGGCACAGGCACACGGCTCACTAGGCAGGCTTTTCTGCCTCTTGCATGCACTGCCATAAAAATCCAAGCATATTAAGGGATAACTCTGAGGGCAAACCTAGCAGTCTAGGAAGGTTTTGATGGGCCATAGTCAAGCAGTTCTGTGGAAGTGGATACACGAACCTCAAGGCCAGGACCTAAGCTGGATTCCCCAAATCCACCTCGAGGATATCCTCTTTGAAGAGGAGAGGAAACTTCTTGAGTCTTGCTTTCTATATATCGCACGAAATGATCTTGAGCAAGCTCACGGAGCATTCAACCAACTCGAAGCAGTCAGCAATGATGGCATATTTATGTTTGACTCTCCACGAATTTCGCCATTGCATATGATCAGGGACTACATCGAGCTTGCGTGGGAATAACACAAACTGTGCCATGCGGTATGTCAACGATAGCTAAAGATCTTGAAGCGAGTAGAATCTTGATAGAGGACTTGGTATTCCTCAGACCCGCATTCTGTTCTTGGATGACAGACAACTCGATCCAGGGCTTTCATTTCACATTGGAGAAAACCAAGCTTATTCGTTTCTAGGCGGTGTTTTCAGGGATTAATGCCGTGTACTCCACAAGGTGGGTTCAGGAACAATATCAACTGTTTGTGCGGCTTCTTGAAAACGGGGAATTCAGTCGTCTTCAGCCACGTGATATGTTGTCAGTTCAGCATCGAGGACTGGCTAAATTGCTGAATGATACTGTCAAGACCAGATCGTGGAGAGAAGGTATGAAGTGCTGCGACACGTCTATGAACGGAGGGCTTTCTTTGACACTACCCCCGGAGAGAAATTCCGTCCTGCCGCTTGGAGATAGTATACTAGTTGTCAGAAGACGGAGGCATGTACCTTTACCTCTACAGACCCTAGTAACAACTAGATTATGACTTCCCGCCATTTGTATATCTCGGGAGGATAGCCCGCAGGAAAATGCAAGCGTCGCCCACGGCGCCACACTCACACAACAGAATACAACCAGTTGTCTGACACTAATACGCGAACCCTGCATCCGACCCCGAGATGAGAAAGTTTCAAACGAGATCGGAAAGGGTGTTGCCGACTGCTCTCGTATGGTAGATGGTTATAATATTTGAGGCGCTAGTTGTCAGCATTGGCGGATCAGACCGGTCAGATTTTAGTAATCTTTCGTCCTGGCTTGTTGCAGCAGCTAGATCAGTGATCCGAGTGCGGATTGCAACCTATTAAAGTGGCCGGCAAGTTCCAGACCCGCTTGGTTGCCCGCACTTGAACAAAGGGGCCCTGAGGCGGTGACCCAACAGTTCAAACATTTATATGTCGCCCTCTACAGTCATCCACGCAGCGTCGGGAATCATCATGGCGCCTCCAAAGGTGCTAATGCTCGTCAATGCAGAGCTTGGGCAGGCTAACGTCTTCATCGCTACCGCGCATGCCCTGCTCCAAGAGAATCCAGGCGTCGACATTCACTTCGCCTCATTCCCAGCGCTGCAAGAAACACTCCGCGATGCTCTCGGCGGCGCAGGCGACCATGGCTCTGCACCCTTCACCTTCCACCCGCTGCCCGGCCGCGCAATGTTCAAATGCTTCCAGGAGGAGGAGGACCTGAACAACAATATCCACACCGTCTCGCTGCAGAAGCCTGGAGTCTGGAACTCGCCTAATTCGCAAAAATTCATCATGACAAAGGCATTTCTCTGCTGGACGGCCGAGGAGTTTGCCTCAATCTATAAGTCTGCGGACGCCATTATCGATCACGTCAAACCTGACATCGTCCTAGTAGACACCATTTTCACGCCCGCCATCACTGCGGCCAGAGATATCCGAGCCAACGGGCCCAAGGATTACAAGCTAGCGATCCTGTCGCCCAACACCTTGAAAGATTTTGTCCATCACCTCGAGCCGGGGCTAGCAGCGTTCTGGAAGTGGCCAGTTGTTGCGTCTGCTAACATAATGCCGATTCCGTGGTATTGGATCCCGTTCAACATTTACCTCGTCCTTCGCATGATCTGGCTCGTGCTAACTAACAAGAACGTGGCGAATATGGGGAAGAAGGTCGGAAAGCTTGTTGGCTCACCAAACCTTGAGATCGCGGAGAATATCAGCCTTTGCCATAACAACATGAAGGGCATCGACAAAATTTTCATCGGAAGCCGGGCAGAGGTCGATTTCCCCCAGCTGGATCTCGTCAACCTACCGCAAGACTACTGGGCAAAGATTGTGCCTTGTGGGCCTATCGTACGGCCCGTCCAGCCCATAGACGCCGAGCTTTCGGCATGGCTGCAACGCAGACCTACTGTGCTGGTGAATCTAGGGTCTCATTGCGTTGTGAACGAAACAGAGGCGGTGGACATGGCACGCTCCTTGAGGCAGATGCTGGACCATTCGCGAAAGTCCGGCAAGGAGCTACAAGTGCTGTGGAAGATGAAAAAAGACTCGATCCGCAGTCCAGACTTGGAGACTGGCCCTGGGTCAGTCTTATATGAGGTTCTCGGCTCTGAGATTGACAAGGATATCGTGCGCATTGTTCAGTGGCTATCATCAGAGCCAAACTCCATACTGGGGACGGGGACAGTTGTGTGCGTCATTAATCACGGTGGAGCAAATTCATTCTACGAGGCCGTATGGTGAGTACCCTTCAACTAAATTTCTGCGTAAAATTCACTAATGCTGACACAAAACAGCGCTGGAGTACCGCAGGTCATCGTCCCTTGCTGGCTTGACACCTATGACTTCGCCAACCGAGCCGAACTCCTTGGAATCGGGCGGTGGGGAAGCCCAAAGGGTTGTCCTCGCTGGACGGAATCAGAATTTGCGCCGATTCTGGTGGATGTAGCCATCGAAAACAACGAGAAATACAATGCGCGGTCGAGACAAATCGCCGAAATCTGCAGCAGAGACGGCGGTGGTAGGGTGACAGCGGCTCGTAAGATCTTGGAATGGCTGCAATTTTAATAACCAGGGGAAATGATCACAGTAATTGCGAAGAAGGATTCTAGCAGTTAAAGATGGACGGGTATATAAGCTGTTATAGATGGTATTCAGGATAAAGATAGAGATATCTCGTTACTACTTAGGAAAGTCTTTCAACTGTATTACATATAAGAAGTTATGAATAGTATTAATTATCAATAATCATTCCAAGAATTATCAATACTAGTAAAACAGACTTCTAAAATAGAAATGCTAGATTGACTTATGAAGTAATCTGCGATATATAATTATATTTAATATAACTTGGACCTCTCTCGAGGGTAGGTTGTGGTCTAGGGTAAATTGAATAAAACTGGGTTTTCCGGCTGCTCTACTCAATGTTAAAAAGACACGGCCTTGTTAGTTGACACCTCTCGGAAAATTTACAGTGAGTCCCGTAGCGGTCGATTAGGCCCTGGTGCCATCTAGAACAGTTCATTCATGCAGGCTGGCTGCATGTGGGAATGGCACAGAGTGAAGCGCCAGGATACTTTGGCCCCAGCTAGACGCTAGTTACAGCCAAGATTGAGAATATGCAGCGTAGTGCAGCTGTTGTTGGTGTCAGCTTCGTGCTGGGATGTTGATAGTGAGGAATGGGCGCGATACACAACTGGAATCTGTGCTCCTCTTTCTCTGGCAACTCTGGTAAGACTCGGCTGGAATGCTGGCTTTCTCCGTGTTGGAGCATGTACGCCATCTCCTTGTGGAAGAGATCGGCAATTGATACCACTGGCCTGGGTCCGTTCGCAAATCAATCTGGAGGGCAACGTGTGCTGTAGGCACAACATTATTATCTGGAGTCTAGACCCCTGGCCTGTCCCACTGATCCCCAACTATCTCGTAGGAGAGTTTCCGCGGCACGCACTAAGAAACTAGGCGGCTCTAACAAGCTCATATGCACGCTTCTACGAGATGGAATCAGGTACGTGGCTGCTATTTGGCCGTCACCTGAGCTGCCATCGTCTGGGCTGAGGAATGGTCTGGCTCCTCGCGTCGACACGCGGCCCCAGGCTCATGAGTTCTCTCTTCTCTCCCTCGGCTACAGCGCTCTTGATCAGGCAGGCTCCTTCAGGATCAGCCCATAACACGGGGATCCTGGTAATTGTTGGAAGCCAGCGCAGCCATGGACTTACCTAGGGCTTCAGCTAGCCCTACCTCCTCCACTCCGGGGAGAGAGAAGTGCTCCATTCCGCCTGTTGAAGTTGTTCCATTTATCATGAGCCCCCCGCAGTAGCGGATCCTCTCGTCATTTGATCCATTTCTTCTCCATCACTTTGTTTCCCAGCAGACCCTCACTGTCGGGATACGCCTCGGGCTCCATCTAGACGCCGATACTTCGTAGGGAGCAGGGCAAGACACCACCCGCTCGGCTCCAACAATCCCTAGAGAAAATGCCTCCTCCGGCCGAGAACCCAGCACCAGCTGCGACGCCCAATTCCCCTCCTGCACCGACCGGGACAGAAGAAGACCGACCGACGCAATCCAACGAGCCAACACACACAGAAGACGATCATGCCCCAATCGAAGCAGCCGAGACAATCCCCGCCGACCGAGCCGGACTTACCGACGACGGCTACGAGACAGACAGAGAGAGCTCGGCATCGACGTCGGTGACCAGCTCCATCCGCGACTATCAATTCGAGAACAGCAGACGATATCACAAGTTCCAGGAAGGGAGGTACCAGTTCCCCAACGACGAGCCGGAGCAGGAGAGGGAGGACATGAAGCACGCCATGGTGATTCACCTCTGCGACGGCAAGCTGCACTTCGCGCCCCTCGACAACCCCCAGAACATCCTCGACATTGGCACGGGCACGGGCATCTGGGCTATCGACAGTAAGTTCCATCCTTGCCAGACAGACATGCGTCCCGTCGCGCCATTGGCATTGGCTAACCCTGCCGTCTGACAGTGGGAGACGAGTTCCCCGAGGCCGAGATCCTGGGCATCGACCTCAGTCCCATCCAGACGCCGTGGGTGCCGCCCAACGTCCGATTCATGGTCGACGACGCCGAAGCCGAATGGGTCCAGCCGCCCAACTCCCTCGACTACATCCACATCCGACACATGACGGCCGCCATCCGCGACTGGCCGACGCTGCTGTCGCGCGCGTACGAGGCCCTCAAGCCGGGCGGGTGGATCGAGCTGCAGGAGCTGTGCTTCGAGCTCAAGTGCGACGACGGCTCCCTCAAGCCTGACAACAAGCTGCAGGAGTGGCTCGGCCTGGTCCGCCAGGGGCTCATGACGTTTGGTGTGGACATGCTGTCGATGCGACACAACAAACAGAGAACGATTGATGCTGGCTTCGTCAACGTCCAGGAGAAGGCGCTCAAGATCCCGTTTGGCATCTGGCCCAAGGACAAGAGGATGAGCATGATTGGTTTGTACTGTAGGACCATGATGGTGGACGCACTCCACGGCGTGTCTAGCAAGCCCTTCCTACACGGCTTGAAGTGGACGCCGGAGCAGATTGAGGTCTATCTGGTTGCGGTGAGGAAGGAGTGCTATGACTACACGCAGCATACGCATATTCCTTTCACCGCCGTCACAGGGCAGAAGCCATTGTAAAAGGTGGCACGGCTCATGGAACGAATGTATGATGGAAGGGTTTGGGAGTGGTCTCCCCGGGTTTGGTCTTGGCTAGGTATTTACGATTGATGAAGCAGAACCATTGATATTTCTCTGGCAACTGACTTGATACTCTGGTAGTATCACATCCCATGTCTCATGCCCGTGCCCACTTGTTGTCTCCTTGCACGAACCCCTCCCCTCCGGGCTAAGGACTCCTTCGGGAATAATCAGAGGCCCGATCCCCCTCGTCTCCATTCCTTGGATGGACGGGATGGAGCAGCCGTCTGGGCTGATCCTCCACTAGCCCGCCTCACAAACTACGAGCGGGGTTGTCCAATCCGTAAAGCAGCTGTTGCTGCTGCCCCTGATGGAGTGGCACATGCCTGGGCTAACTATGCGCCTTTTAAATAGCTCGCGAGTTCCACCTGTATCCTCCAAGGAGATTGGAGCTATCGTATCCAGCCCACCCAACTTACCGGGGCACCTTGGAAGTAGAGGGGGTTCAGGTGCAGGCATTAGGTCAGATAAATCATAAAAGGAGGTTTCGTTCAAGGAAAGCTGCTCGCGGTTGCATGCCGCGGTAGGTGTTGGGTAGCACTCAGGAGGTAGATCTCCTCAATGCGACAATCCGAGACCAAGTACATAGATCTTTGGCCCCCTCGCCCATCCCACCAGTTCCAGTCCCTCGGGTCATATCTTATCAATACCTAATTGGTTTTCCACATCCGCCTGGCGTACCAGACTCCCGGGATCAACTTGCCAATAATACCCACTCAGAGGACTTTGGTCCACGATACCACCAAACCAACGACCAACAGCTGTTCATTCAGCTGCATAATTCGCCGATTTCCGCTGGCCCCTCTCTGCTAATCGAATCTTCTCCAGTAAGCGAACATGGCTTCCGCCTCAGTGGAGCGCATGACGACGCTGTCGCAGGAGATTGCCGCCAAAACCAAGATCATCACCGACTATCTCATGGCCAACAACCTCGATGCCGCGTCCTTTGATGTCAATGGACTCGCCGAGTTTCCCATCCCAATTGAGGAGGGGGAGACGTACAAGGCTCGCCTTGAGCTCATTGCGCTGACCAAGGAGCTGCATGACATTGCCCTTGGCCCCAGCGAAAGCGTGCGCTATCTGGCATGGGATGTGAGTTCTCGCCATCAATTGCATCCCTAACTCTTCAAATGAGAGACGACGGCTCTCACGATGATGGGAACATTGTCACTGATCACCGGCTCCTGGTCTAGGGCGTCAACAACCTCTCCCTTCAGGCAATCTGGGACTTCAAGATCGCCCAGGCCGTCCCCCTGGACGGCAGCATCTCCTACGACGACCTCACAGCCAAGGTAAAAGACCTGAACAACGGCCTCGACACCCCGATGCTCAACCTCCGCCGCATCATCCGCCACGCCATGACCAACCGCATCTTCGTCGAGCCCAAGAAAGGTTTCGTCGCCCACAACCGCTCCTCGCGCCTGATACTCGAGAGCCCGACCATGAGCAGCTGGGTTGGTTTCATGTGCAGCGATCTGGGCCTGCCGGTCGCCAACGTTGTCAACGCCATGCGGAAGTGGCCGGGGAGCGAGGAGTCCAACGAAACGAGCGTGAATCTCACGTATGGGCAGGATCTGCCTTGGTTTGACTTTATCCAGAAGGATAAGGAGTTTGCCAACAGGTATAATCTTGCTATGGCGGCGCATGGCGTGGGCGAGGGATACTCCGTGCAGAGGGTTGTGGAGGGTTACGCATGGGATCGCCTGCCAGAGGGCGCGACCGTCGTAGATGTGAGTGAAATACGATGAAAACAGTGCCCCTAACCTAATATGAACAGAATGTAACAAGTCGCTGACCCTCTCCTTGACAGATGGGCGGCAATCAAGGCTACGTCTCCTTCGCCATCGCCGAAGCCTTCCCCAAGCTCAACTTCGTCGTCCAAGACACAGCCGGCATGCGCGCCCCCGAGACGATCGGCAAGGTCCCAGACGCCCTCCAGTCGCGCGTCCAGCTGACGACCCACGACTTCTTCACGCCCCAGACCGTCGTCGCCGACGCCTACTTCTTCCGCATGATCTTCCACGGCTTCTCGGACAAGTACTCGGTGCAGATCCTGCAGGCCCTCATCCCCGCCCTGCGCCCGGGGACCAAGATCATCCTCAACGACGGCGGGCTGCCGGAGCCGGGCACCGCGGGGTACATGGAGGAGAAGGCGATGCGGACGCTCGACATGTTCATGCAGGTCACGGTGAATGCGCGCGAGCGTGAGCCGGACGACTGGAGGGACCTGTTCAAGAGGGCGGATGAGAGGTACAAGGTTCTGGATGTGTGGATGCCTCCCAAGTCGAGGATGTGGTTTGTTGAGGCTGAATGGACTGGGCAGTGATGAGTGTAGGCGTTCCTCAAGGCTGCTATCTAGGTATCATCTAGGCGGATAACGAATAATATCAACGAGTTTTGCTTTTGAATTTGAACAACCGTTACGGGTAGAATCGTGCTCATTACTTACATTAAGGAAAGCCAAATCACAGCGTGGCACGATACAGTTCATCTTCTAAATGATGACGACGATGGCATACTTTTTCAGGGGGCAAGGGACTATGCCGTCGTATATTCTCACAGGGCTTTCCAGTTTCTCTGGCTTTTCCGTTGATAGCCCCTTCAGCTCTCTTAGCTGCACTATATCCTGTGAAATTGTGATTCTAATTTGGTGTCTCAGATCGCAAGGCTTCACTGTTGCTCAGATAATTGATTATATTCAGAGTACTACGACAGCCTTCCCTCATGTTTATTTATTGATGATAGCCCTGCAGAGTCTAACCTAACAACACATGGATCGGATTGTTCCTTGCAGCACGTCCCTGTGGAGTAGATCCGGCTATTCTCACAGACTGCGTCTCCCACAATACTTCCGCCACTCACATGCGTGGATTCTTGGCCGATGTGCACTTCTCATCACAGCCTATCCCCATCTTGGAAATTGGCTCTCATTATCGGTCTGGGAAAAAACGGCTAATAAGGCTCTAGTAAGTCCGAAAAAAATAACCGATGGGAAGAAAGGTGACTTGGAACCCGACCCGTTGGTCATCGGTTCCAAAAGGCGGCACCCTACGAGCAGGGGCGGTCGCAACTTATAAACATGCCTTCTATCCGCCATAAGTTGCGTGGATGTAGTTGTGGCGAGAGACATTGTGATAATTCTTCTCACTGAACTTTCCATTCTACATGAGGATACCACATTTGTTGGCTGCCCTTGCGGCAGTCGTGATCGCCGATGACTTCTCAGCTCCCGACTCCAAGTCACACCCGCTACGGCTATGGTCCTCGTCCGTGGGAAAGTATTGGAATGACTCGTTTCCAATTGGCAATGGGAGACTTGGCGGCATGGTCAAAAGTGACCCAACATCTGACCTCATATACATCAATGAGGATACCTTTTGGTCCGGCGGACCTCTCAGTCGCATCAATCAGAATGCCAGAGAGTCCGTAAGTCGCGTTCAGCAACTGCTTCTCCAAGGGGACACAGCCCAGGCAACTCTTGAAGCCAACCTGGGCATGAGTGGCACGCCATCAAGCATGCGAGAGTACATGCCTGGAGGAGACTTCCAAATTATTTTCCAGGACCAGACCGGCTCAGCTAAGAACTATGAACGCTGGCTAGACCTGGAAGAGGGGGTAGCAGGACTGTACTACACCCGAGGCGACGTCACCTACAAGCGAGAATACCTGACGAGCTCCCCAGCTGGTGTCATGGCTGTTCGGCTGACTGCTTCCCAGCCTGGATCGCTGAGTTTCTACATCAAGTTCCAGAGACCTGCCAGCCAGCAGAATAGATTTGCCGAGGAGGCCTACAGCGAGGACGGCGACACCATTGTAACAAAAATCAAAGAGGGAGAACTTGAGGCATTCTTCCTCGCAAGGGTACACAACGTTGGCGGTTCTAAGCGGCAGATCGGAGACCAAATCCAAGTGGTCAATGCTGATGAGGCTTGGATCTACGCCGACATGGAGACGTCTTACTCTCACGACGACCCAAAGAGCGAGGCCAAGAAGAAGCTGGAGGGTGCCGTATCGTCGACATATGCTGAGATTCGCGAAGATCATGTTAAGGATTACCAGGCACTTTTCGGCAGGAGCTCCATCTCGTTGGGCGAGTCGAGCGCGACACAGAAAGCCCTGCAAACAGGTGCTCGGCGCCAAGCTCTCGCAAATGCTTACGACCCCGAGTTACTGACCTTATATTACCAGTTCGGGCGATATCTATTAATTTCCTCGTCTAGGCCAGGAACGATGGCTGCTAACTTGCAGGGCATCTGGAATAATGCCAGAGACCCAGCCTGGGGTTCGAAGTACACCATAAACATCAATATTGAGATGAATTATTGGCCAGCAGAGGTGACTAGTATGTTATTCTCCAACAATGGTTCATTTGCAAGTTGGAAAACTGACTGACGCGGCCTTGATAGATCTGGAAGAACTTACAGAGCCGTTCTTTGCGCTCACGGACAAAATATACGAATCTGGGAAGACAACAGCGGAGAAGATGTATGGTACGAGAGGCTGGTGTGCGCATCACAACACTGACCTCTGGGGAGACACGGCTCCTCAAGATGTATATGCCGCGAGTGCTTACTGGCCCCTGGCGGGAGCCTGGATGCTGCAGCATGTGTATGACCATTACCTATTCAGCGGCGACAAGGAGTTTCTCGAGAAGCACTATGACCAGATCAAGGATGCTGTCTTGTTCTTCGAGGATTTCCTTTCCGACTATAAAGGGTGGAAGACCACAAATCCATCCATCTCGCCTGAAGCAACATACAAAAAGGACGGCTCCGACTATGCATTGACTATCGGTGCAACCATTGATAACTCGATCGCGTGGGAGATATTCACTAACTTTATTGAAATCTCGAAGATTCTGGGCAACAAGGATGAGGATCTAGTGAAGAAAGCTACGGAACTGAGGTCCCAGTTACCTCCTCTCCAAGTATCACCAACCACTGGAGCAATCATGGAGTGGATTGAAGATTACACCGAGTCAGACGCCGGTCACAGGCACTTCTCTCACTTGTACGGGCTATTCCCTGGCCGTGAGATTACCAAGAGCAATGAAACGCTGTGGACCGCGGCTGAAACAACGGTAAAGAGAAGACTGGAGTGAGTTACAAATCGATCTTTCTTTCAAATGGGCTGTTTACTAAAACAATGGGCTTATAGCAACGAGGGTGGTGACACGGGCTGGTCGAGGGCCTGGAGTGCGGCTCTTCACTCTCGTCTCTTGAATGGACAGGGGCTTGAGGATGATTTGAAGCATCTCCTCGTCACTCTGACTTACGACAGTCTTCTAGACACCGGACCGCCGTCGGGATGGCAGATTGACGGTAACTTTGGAGGTACAGCAGCAATTGCCGAAGGCCTGTTACAGAGCCACAACGGTGTAGTCGTTGTTCTGCCGGCCTTGATGCCTTCTTCGAAGACTGGAAGTTTCAAGGGCCTAGTAGCGCGAGGCGGTTTCGTTGTCGATGCGGAGTGGGAGAACGGGAATGTAAAGTCGATTGACGTTGAAAGTAGGCTCGGAAACCCATTGAAGCTTCGTGTGGGAACGGGTCAGAGTTTCGCACGCGGAGCACGAGTCAGCTCTGGCTCAAATAGCACTGACGTGATAGAGCAAGAGACGAAGGCTGGGGAGACCTATTCCTTTAAATTTGATGTTTAATACGAATGAGAGATATGCAAAGGGTACCCATTGGAACGATGGTGATACATGACTTCATTAAATCATTAAATCTATGGCAAAGCTTGCATCTAAAGGCACTTGACATCTTTACTGCCCCTTCTTCAATGGAGAAACCGTACCTTCGAGGCCGAAACCAGCATGTACGTATGGCCCCTTCTCGCCAAGGTTGCCAAACATGACCTTTTGATTACCCACCTCGCGCGGCAACCATTCAGCGCCTAAATAGTATCCCGTGGCAAGCTGATCCAAGTCTTTGTTTCTGGTAGAGACCATGATGGTCGAGAATGATGAGCTGCTGACGTAGCCGTTTATGTGGACTGTCACGGCCCCGATGATGAGCCAAGTCAACGCGACGCCAAAGCACGCAACATAGACCGCTAAGAGTGTCCGTTCATTATAGGCGTAGACGTTCCGATGTGTTACTACTGTCAGGGGAACTTCGGTCGAGTACGATTTCAAGTTATAGCCGCTCGCCATCACGCTGTATGTGAAGTTCCTCGACAGGTCCTCAATTGCTGCAGCTAGAGTCTTTTGCGGGCAGGTATTGGTTTTGACAGTCTCGGAATCCTCCGTTACTTCGTCTGCGCTCAGGCCATCCCACACTTCCGGGCAATAGGCGAGTTTTGACTGCATCATGGGCAGGTCACCCAAGATGTCCCCAGCCGCACCGCGGGTCAGCTCGCCCACCAAGAAGTATTTGCTAAACAAGATCTGCGTGACGTATGAAGCAGCGACACTGGTGTAGCCTTTAACAACGTTGAATGCGCCCTCTGACTCTGTGAAGTTGAAGGCGTGGATAGTTTTGACCGAGGTGGGAATGATGGTCTGGATGCCGTTGTCGAACTCGAGGGAGATGTCGTACGAGGTGTTGTACAACTGGCAGACCAAGGACGTGTTCTTGACCGCTGGATTCTTATCCCATTCGTCGTTCCTACCTTCTGACCAGACAAAGATGGTGCTGTCCATGAACATTGGCGCCACAGACTTGTAGATGATCTGTGCTCCCGTCCTGTTGGTGACGGGCTTCCTGATCAGACCATTCCACGCCGCTCCGTAGGTGGAGTAATTACTGGATACAGAAACAGTATTCCACGTTGCCGGGAGTGCCTCGACTTCGCTCAGATTTTGGCATCTGTAGGACGGCCCCCAGAAGCTGAGGTCGTATGTCGCGTTCGGCCGCGGGGCCTCGATGGGGAGGAATGAGTTGGACGAGTACATGGCAGAGAAGAGGCGTCGGAGGGCGATGCTGGCGTCTGTGATGCGGCCAACGCCAGCAGCGAGGTACCAGTTTGTCGGGTCGGACATGTTGACGATGGGGACTTGGTCGGTGATGGTATCGATGCTTTGGATCGGTTGAACGTATAGCGTAGCTGGAGTGACGACGACGGCAAGCGGTAGGAGCCTAGGAGCAGAGCCAAGATGTTAGCCATTATTCGCAACTAGAGGATTCATACGCAGCAGGACTTGGGAAGAAGAAGGATGTATTAGCAGGAATGCGTACCAACAAACAAAGGCGAGGACGAGGAGCAGCTTCCCCTTCTTCCAGACCTCCAGACTCAAAAGCGCCGAGGGCTCATTGATGATCCTGAACATGCAATCAAGACCCTCAATGGTAACAAACTTGCTCCGTGCCGTCATCCAAATTCGCTGCGTGGCCACCATCCCCAAGAGTGTCAGAAGCACAATCTTGTTCAGCGTTGCCAGACCTGTGCCAATGCGGATGGCCCATTGCTGCTGGCTCGTCGACATAACTGTCGTAGCTTCCAGACTCTTGTAGTAGAAGTGATGGCCCAGCATGATGCCCAAGCTCGCCAGAATGCAGGCGATTGACAGCGCAGGTGTCGCCCACGCGATTCCCCAACCGATCAACGGCTGGCGGCCATGGTGGTCTGGATATGCGGCCACCGAATTATCTTCGCTGCTGACGCCTTTTCGGCCTCGATGGGGAGGAAATTCGGTAATCAGCGGTGATGAAACCTTGTCTTTGCGATGTGACCGCTCGCGAGCATCGCTGTCGTTGTCATGATTGTAGAAGGTAGCCATGATGTCTCTACCCAGGACCAGCCTCAACACCTCGATTCCAGAGAAGACCTGCCGCACGATGGGAATATCAAAGTGATAGATGCCCGAAGGAATGACTACTTCAAACAGCACGCGACCGAGTCTTGAGGGCGGCAGGATGGAGGATCCATAGCTTATTCTTAGCACATGCTTGCAGGAAGGTGAAACATTTATCGGGTTCGATGTGCAAGTTGATTGGTAGCGAGACGTGCCTTTGGCTGCTTGATTGGCCCGTTTACCGCCAAGGCGAGCTTACCTCTATTTATGGATTTATTTTGCGAGCTCTGACTGGGGCAAAGTTCAAAGCCTGGTCATAAGCGAGACTGAGGCTCTTTGCCCCTTGAAGCCTCAACATTCATCGTCAGAGCCAGCGGGGCCAGCAGTAACGAAGTTCACAACTCGAGAAAACCTCTCAAGGAAAACATTCAAGGATTGAGTCAAGAGTGGCAGGCCATATTGAATTTTGTAAACAATGCTCAGCTGGACGGTGGAGAAGCTAAGGCGTCATACCCTTGCTGGCGTGCTACACGTAGCAAGTTCATACTACTATCCCTGTCTCTCAAGGATCCTTCTCATTTGATCCCGTGAACGGCATTTTCTTTGCGAAGCGCTTAATTCACCTGGTGAATGGGTGGATCTCGCATCAGAAATGTCTTGGGCGATCCTCCGTTGATTCATAAGGTTGTATTGAGAGCCTGGTATAAAAATTGTCCAATCGCTATGGTCCGCGTATCTTTTCATTACAAAAATAGCATTCTAACCCACGAATGTCCTCTTGCCACCTAGAATTGACTGATGAGAACGAATAATTAATCCCTAGGGATTTGCCTAGAGCGCGAGGGCAAAAGCAACGGCCATGACACCCGCCCCAACCATCGGTTTGGAAGAGCCACCCTTGTCATCGGAGTTGGTGGAGGAGCTTTGGGCGGCCGTGCTGGTCTTGGAAGACTCAGAGTCAGACGTAGAAGATGTAGAGGTCTTGGCGGATGTTGTGCGGCTGGTGGTTGTTGTGCCGTTAAGAGAGGCTGAAGCAGTTCCAATAGGGGTCGTAATGTGAGTTGAGGTGTTGTTTCCGGACCAGGATACAGATGCAGCAGTAGAAGCGCTTAGGGTGGGAGAAATGATCGAAGTCGACAGCGGCGCGGTGATGAAGTATTGGGCCTGAGCCAGGCCAGAAGCCGCGAGCAAGACCAGTCCGACTCTCATGTTGATGGTGGTAGGCTGCGGACAGTATGACGACTCGGCGGTATGGTAAGTTGGGAGACTGGATATCGAGAACGCAATGGCGAGACGAATGGAAGCAAAACTGAAGTTGTAAGCGACCTCATGCTGCATTTAAGCCCCATAGTTCAGCTGGCCTCGTCATCAACTTGACCCTGGCCAGGAGGCCTGGCCCGATGGAGCTGTATTCTGAGACAGTTGCTGTCGGCGAACAAGCCGAACTGGTACCGTCTGTGGAGCACTCTTCATCATTCCTGGGATGGATTCAGGATCTGTTACTAATAATGAACTTCACTTATTGACTGCTGAGCCAGGTGAAGGTCTCATGTATCTTGTATCATTAATTACAACAGGCTCATGCAATGTCCAGAAATCTGGAGCGGTAGATTGATTGAAAAGCCACATAAACAAAACCCATCACGCCATATTCCCTGCAGTGAATCAATCACTGCCCTGAATTGCGTGGAGCTGCTGTGTATACCATTTCTATGAAACCCAATTAGCATTCATCAATATGTAGGAATCCCTCAATGCAACATCAAGTACACGTACAATTTCATATCCGGCACCCACGGCTCTCGCACCGAACAGCTTAGCCAAGTAAGGTACCTCAATCCTTTTGGCATATAGTTTGGCGTCTTCGTCGCTCAGCTCGGGGTTAAAGATGGTGTTTTCTGGGAGTGCAGGGTTGATGATCGCTGGGCGAGCGATTCCGATGAGATCGCAAGCTCCCTCAGCCAGCGCGGCTTCCATCCCCTGCCGCGTACGAAAGCCACCGGTGACCATCAGGATCATATCTGGGATCTTTGTCCTCAGCTCCCTGGCGAAATCCAGGAAGTAGGACTCACGGGCGGCGGTCCTTTTCGACTGTGTTTTAGGTCCGGTCATCATCTTTATACAATGATTAGTACGGCCATACCAGACGATGGATCAAGATCTAGGTCGTGGGCCACTTACTGAGGGCTTCTCATACGATCCACCACTGATCTCCAAGAAATCCAGGCCAGTGTCTGCAATGAGAGACGCCTGCTCAAGGGCATCACTGAGCTCTGATCTGGACTCAGCGTTGCCGACCTCCTGGTGGTCTGTCGAATTAAGCTTAAGGCTAACGCAGAATGTTGGCGGGACGGCTGCGCGAATAGCCTTAAGGATATCAACCACTATCTTAGTTCGAGCGGCAGGCGAACCTCCGTAGGCATCAGTTCTCAAATTCGTCTTGGGTGACAGAAATTGGGAGAGCAGGTAGCCATGCGCTGCATGCAGCTCGACGCCATCGAAGCCAGCCTCAGCGGCGACAGTTGCGGCATAAACGAAGCGATTGACCACGTCGTCGATATCGGTTTGGGTCATTTCCTTGGGCGTACCAAATAGACATGTCGAAGTGAGCCAGGATATGATGCCCGGTCCAAAGTTGAGTGGGACGGGACTCGGGGCTAGGCTCTTGTCCCAGAATGATTTTGTCCCTGCTCCTGGGGGAGACTGGCGGCCAGGATGATTCAACTGCAGGAGGGTTGGAGTTCCTTTGACCTTGCAAATCCCGGCAAGATCCTTGAACGTCTCGACCGTCGTCTCATGTGAACGCGTCTTGTCAATGCTAACGTCGGAAGCCTGTCCAAGGTACCTCAAATCTACTTGGACGTTGCCGGACATAACCATGCCCCAACCACCATTTGCCCATGCCGAGTACACATTTTTTATCTGTGGTGTGGTCGGGAAACAATTTGCGTCGGCGAGCTTCTCAGCCATGGCGGCCTTGACGAGGCGGTTCGGCAGCTGCAGGCCGCATGGAAGAATCAAAGGTTGGCCTAAATGAGATTTCGACATTCTGTATGATTTTAATATTCTTGTTCTGATTTGATAGCTGGATAGGATAAGAGAGGAGTAGATATGGCGATATTCAAGCAGAGATTTCAGCTCCCCTTTCTGTTATATATTGATTGCTCGGGTCATTGCCACTAGCTCTGCAGCCACTGCTGATAAAACGGCCTTCCCGGTGCCGGATAGAGGCTAGAGGTCCGAACTCGTTTTAGAAAATCCTATCTTTCGGTCATGGACGAATTCTAGATACCGGAGATCTTCTACTCCACAATGCCAAGAGAATAACTTTTGCTTATGAAGCAGGGGACGACACCATGTCTAACCAAACGCAGCTAATCAGTAGTGAGCGTTTCTTACCACATCCACAGCCCTATGATCTATCATTGGTGAAGCCGGGGATATCTGTATTTTCTGATCATGTTACTGTTGCAAGCCGCTTCCAGATGCCTTCAACTCGCCTTCCATCAAGACAAGGAATCACTCCATCGCTACCAAGTGACTTTTCAGTCCGCTGCTGAACGAGGGATCGACATGGACGAATTCAAAGCCCGATCCCGTGCCCCACTCACATCCCACAAAGATGCCGAGGCATCTTTACGGACGAGTTCCCAATCAAGGCCGGGTTGAATTCCTTTGCAAGTAACGCTCTGCTAAATCTTTTAGCTTCCAGAAATGGGCTGTACTAGTTTTTATGTGATTTGTCAGTATCTGCTCGGGAAAATTACATGTTCGAACCAGATTGAAGTGGTGACCGGCAAGATTAATGTCCCACGCGATTCATTCGAACATCAGCTCAGCTCTCCAGAACCTTCAGTTACTCCCCGCACATTTTCCTCTGTCACTACGCACTCCTTCAACACCGTGAAGTTCGAGGGATTCATAGGCGAAAAAAAAACTTGCCAGCCCTTGCTCTTTTACTTTAACATAACTTGCCTCTTGTTCGAGGTTCGTTCTCGTAAGTTCGGTCTGTGATGCTACTTGATTGAATAAACTCGCCTGCACTCGATACAGACTTGCGTAATCTTGCAAGACTTGCGGTAGTGCCAAGGTTGTCATTGGAAAATTCGTGAGATTGTTCAAGTCCGTCTAATTGAATGGTATAAAAGCTCCAGATTATAAAACCGTCTTACCTTAGACGAGAAGTTGAATAATGTGCCCCGAGAGAAGGATAGAGTTCTGTTGTCAGCGTTCGAGTATAAAGTTAAAAACAACAATAGAAGATGGCAGACCCTATACCTCAACACAATGAATAATATAGTTCTATTGTATAGTTCACACAAGAATCTGAAATTGGAAATAAGCGGACGACTGAGGCGGCCAAACCCGCATCTGTTTAGACCTACCCTAGAGCCTCAACGCTTCCTAGGTATGTCAGTGATTGATTTTGGTCTCCTGCGCGCCCACCGTTGATGCTTAACGAGCAGTGACACTTCAATCCAGAGGGAGACTGGAGGTATCTCCCGGACATGAGTGATTCATGTTTCTTTGAAAGAGAAAAGTTTCGTCTCGTGGAAATGTCTTTAGCCTAAACGTACAGTCGAAATGGCCAGAACAGGGCATCCTCCTGCAGTCAGTCATTTGATTGTAAAATAAAACTTGTTGCAAGGAACTCCAACGGAAAGTCTTATAAGTTCCGGCGATGAAAAATGGCCCGCAGTCAGCAATGTGTAGTTTCGGAGGCTGCTTTACAGTGTATCACCCGATCTCACTCACCTCTTGTTTTCTTGACGATTAAATCTATTAGGACGTGGATTATCAAGTAATTGTTGTTATGCTGAGATACTGCGTCTCTCAAAGACTGATGCTTGAGCCTAGGCGACATAATTGTTTCCGAAAGCTTATGAGTATGTGTATTCATTATTATTACATAGAGGTTCAGCTAGCTACGGAGATGCGTGCCTTTGATGTTGGGGCGGAGATATAGGGTAGTTGAGGTCATTCCTGTGTACTCACGTGGGTGATACACGTGACTCCCACCCCAACAATATCTCCATGTTGACAAGCTATTTGAAGAACATGGCTCTACATAAGCGGAATGAATCCAGACGTAGCGAAGCCCTACGAAATCTATTACATATCCAATCGGAGGATCCAAGTTGTATCGAGCTAAGCTCCTTCAAGTAAATCAAGATTACAGAAGAGGAAATTGAAGCTGACCATGGGATATGACTAGCGTCTTGGTCGTCCAGGGGCTGTAGGATGCAAGATCGATACTACATAATACCCAGGCTTTGTCTTGTAAACTATCCCAGAGACCATGTGGCAAAGATGTGAGTCTGAATATCTATACAATGTTTGGCTGTGTCCTTCTGCCAAATCTTCATTGAGTCCCGAGTGATCTATTTTTGGTAAGCACTTCACATTGATGAATGTGGTTTGTGTGAGAGCTGGGCTTCAAGCTCCGAAAGACCAGAAGATAATCTTTGTCAGATTATTCATCATAGTGACTTGCTCATGTAGACGTATAGCATTGTCAGGAACCATAGGCGATAATCTGGCGATATTTTATCCAATTTCTCGGCGGTTTCCCATTTGCTTCGCTGAGGTGAGCGCAGGACTGGGGCGATGACATACACACTACGGACAAAGTGCCCAATCCGGGTAGGTCAAACGGGGGTGGTAAATGCCGACCGCTATTTTGAGCCCAGTTATGAGTCGAAGTGCCGATAATATTGCTCATCAACCAATTTGGCTAAAATGTCATCGAGGTTTGAAGCTAAAAATCAATCGTTCCAAGTGGTTGGCACAGCATTATTCGTCTCGTTTGGTTGCTTTCAAGGATCCGGTAGGGCCCCAAGACCGTATTTGAACCAATCTCCCGTACACACCATTTGGGATTGCATGGGGGTGAGCACTAGAACATTCGTGCCTGGGTTTGAGAATAACGGGGCTGATCATGGATGAAAGACCAATCAGCTGAATGCCGGCCTGAATACCGAAATCGGGAGACGGGACCGAGCCCCTGTTCGTTTATTTTTTGACATTCATTCTTTCCTCTAGTCATCGACTGAACCATTTGCCGTCCTTCATGCACCGGCGATCGATGAATGAATTCTATAGCCCGAGGTTTAGGTACAAGACACAATGCCCGGCACACTATCCTCAACCAGCTGCATGCCATGCAAAGTGCAGAAACGCAAGGTATGGAAAACCCATCTCACAGTGACGCAGCTTGCTTTGGTAATGTGCTCCTAACCACAGTCAAATCCCAGTGTGACCAGACCTGGCCGGTTTGCAAAGCCTGCGAACGAAAGAACATCCAGTGCCCGGGGCCCAGCTCCCTGCTCAAATTTGTTCACGGAGGCCCACGTGCAGATCATAAGAGTTCTCGAGTAGAGCCTTTCTATCAAGGAACCGTCTCTGCATCAGATACGGATGCACCGGCCGGTATCAAGGAAAAGAGGAAAGCCGTCTTCACCGGTAGGGGCTCGAGTAGACGCGTACACGGATACCAAAGTGCTTTCCGTTTAGCTCCGCGTCCTGTGCCAACGTCTCAAGCAGAGCGGATTGGATCGCAGCTGGTCAACCATCTTCAAAGCCGCCCAATTACTGATATGGTCTTGATGGGATTTCTTCCAGATCTACCTAGGTATCTACCGAGGAGCAAAACGCTACAGGACTCAGTGAGCCTGTTGTGTTTGCTTTGGACTAACTGCCGCCGAGGCATTCCGGCTGCTTTATCTGTCGATATGCCTGAATATGGAAAGGCCATTGGGAGCTTGCGGCGTACCTTGGAGAGAAGCAAAAAGATGACCCTACAAACCTTGGCATCTGCGGCGATTTTGGGTCGCCTAGAGTACTCATTTCTACCATCCAGCGGTTTAATGAGGTTTGGGGTTCATCCCCGGGGAATTTCGATCATGACGCAGCAACTAGGGCCGCCTGGTAGGGATGATGTAGTTTATGCGGCTATTTTAAGAGAGACATACAAAGTGTTGGTATGTGGAAGCCCGTTTATCTATGCCGAGTGTTCCGACCTAACAAGCACGTAGACTCCTTATTGGTTTTTCACCGGCGACAATGTCTTCTTGAATGAAAAGCAATGGAAACAACCTATCCAAAAGAACATTCTTCAAAAGATCGGATCCAGTAGCCTAGAACCCCACGAGTTCGCTGCCATGGAGGTAGCTGCACGCCATTTCGGCGGGATGTATGACCAGCTCTGCGAGTGCCATCGGATTAGATCAGAGCCACACCAGCCGGCAGCAATCGAGGATAGTCATGGCGCTATCAAATATGCCCGTGACCTTGAAGAGGCTGCCGCTGCGGCAAATACTGATCTTTTACGCGCTGCTATTCAATCCGGGGATGTGGAGGAGGTGGTCGACCAAAACTCGTTGCCCAAGACGAGCTACATGATATCAAACATCCACCTGGGTGAGATTCTACTCTTGTCGCTCCGGGTCCAGTTTCTCAATTTAAGGATTTACTACGACTGGGCTGTTTTGTATGACCTACCACAAGCGGATGAATTGTACTCTAGACTGAAGGATCTTGCGGTTGAGTCGTGGAAGTACATCGGCTTTCTGCGCGGCATCGAGCTCTTTGACGCGACGATGTTGTCACCCGCCTTGTGGCCTTCTCTGGAGCTTGCGACTGAAGCTGAGAGGCAGTATTTGATGGATTTCTTTACAGAGATTGACAATTTCCGGCATACAACGCCAAAGGATAAAAAGGAAGAAGAGATGAGGATTCTATCATATACGGCTATCATCACGGGTCGCAAGAGTGCCAAGAACGACCCGAATAGTTAAAACAATATCTATAACATATGTATTGCCACAATCAGCGGCTCCCGAGCAAGATTCAAACTAAAATATTCGTTAGTAGAGTATCGTGATAGTGTGCGTTGTGGTTTTTACTCAAGTGAAATGATTGCGGCTACGTTTTTGAGAAGAGCTTTGGAAGATTAACATATAAAGAAGTAAATGAAACTAGATATATTAAGTAAGTAATACTGGTAATAGATGATAGAAGCAGGCATCCCTTATTTTGCCTGACATTTTGAACATAGGAACCTCTAGTAGTACCTAAAGATTTAAGGATAGGTCAGCCTTGTAGTTGAATATTGAAAACATTTAACCTCCACAAAATATATAGAAGGTAAGCGATCAAGACACTGAGCGGAGGGGTTGTATGTGAATATAAGGTTTGTTCACTTAGAGCCTTGGCTATGGAAAACTCTAGTGGCGCTCTATCACTGATTACGATTATCGCATATAATTTTGAGAATCATTGATCTCCAGGTTAGATGAATCATTTGATCTACGTTGCGGATTGCTACGGTGCCAACCGGATCTCGTTCTGACTGCGGATTCTTACCTATCGTTATTCGGAACTTTTATTCCTAGTAATTCTTAAGGAACTACATGGGTTGGGTAAGTCCTCTTGGTTGTTTCGTCATTATATTGACGGATTCGAAAGCTCCGTCACTCTTTTCATGAATGAGGGCGCCCCAATTTGGCATGCAGCTCGGCCCTGATTCTCCGCTGGGAAATATCTCCGCAGCTGTCAAGGATCACGAACCTAAAAAAGGTCCAATATTGGTCAATCATTTCCTTCCTAGGAAGAGGCACAAGTATCTGCCTCATGTCTCTATTAGCTGGCAAGTGACTCCCGCCCTCGTACATATATGTGCCATGCATATGCATCGCATGCTGCATACATTTAGGAGGATTTCTATAGGCCAGTTGACCAACTTGCCAACCTGGGTTGGGTGTCAACGGAACAGCTCATCCAATATTTCCACAACCTCTATCCCTCTTTCAGCGGGGCTGAACTGATTTATCGGTTGTGATCCCTGAAGGCTGTAGCATGCATTTGTTGATCGTCATATCGCTACCACCCAGCCACATTTCATGACCCTTGTTTTGGTGTATCATTTCCTCTCCTGGATTGACCGCTCCAGGTCATGTCTTGTTAATGCCGAGGCCAAGATTGGCAGCGGGAAGATCGAAATCATCGCGATGGTTGGAGAAGAATACGAAGGGATCGCTAGAAAAGATATCTAAGAGGACAGGCTCGCTGCAGGTTGAGTCCGCAGCTCCCGAGGCATCCAATCTTCATCCATAGCCAAGTTTAACAGCACTGTCAGGATGGAGACTTCTTTTGTCTCCTTTTGGAGCTTCTTTACTCTTGTCTCTTCTCTCGTCTTGCATGCCCAGGCAGCGCCAAGTCAAAATACTTTCGAAGTATGTGACACGCTCTACGCCTCGTATTCGCGGAATGTGGTTTGGGATCCACTGGGGCCAAATGCAAGCAAGACGGTTCTCAACTCGACTCTCTACTATGACACCAACGTCAACTACTGGAATCTTAGGAGCAAGCGCAACCGTGCTGCCTGTATATTCTATCCCTCGAGTGCGGAAGAGGTATCCTTTGCGATCCAGACTCTCAACAAGTATCCCGACGTCCAATTTGCTCTGAAATGCTCGGGACACAATCCCAACCTTGGATTTTCTAGTGTAGATGAGGGTGTGCTTTTAGCATTTGACCCGAATTTCAAGTACTCTATCCCTTCAGATGATGGCACACTGGTTAGAGTAGGTGCCGGTGCCAAATGGGAGGATGTCTATGCTTCGCTCGACTCTCTAGGGAGAGCCGTCGTAGGCGGCAGACTTGGCAATGTCGGTGTTACTGGCTTCACCCTTGGCGGCGGTCTTTCGCACCTTTCGCCTCAGTATGTAAGTTATCCCTTTTATCATTCTCACAATACATTTTGAAGCTAAATCTTTCGTCTCTCAGGGCCTGGCATGCGACAATGTGGTCAACATCAAGTGCGTGTTAGCGAATGGTACGATTACCAATGCAAATGCCACATCACACCCTGAACTCTTCTTTGCGCTGAAGGGAGGGGGAAATCAATTTGCTGTCATCACTGAATTCACATTCAAAACGTATAAAGTCGGAGATAACGGCCAAATTTGGGGTGGCATCCGTACGTATTCGGCTGATAAACATGCCGCTATTCTTTCAGCCATCTCAAATTTCACGGCGAACACCGAGGATGGAAAGGCTGCTCTTATTCCTACCTTCAATTTCTTCGGCCTACTAGGAGTCAACATTCCTGCCATCATCGTCTTCTACTTCTATGATGGACCCCAGATGCCTCAAGGTATCTTTGACGAACTCGACGCGATCCCAAGTCTATACGACGGGACAAGGAAGAGGACAATCGCCAATCTTGTGCAAGATCTTTTCGCCGGCGACCTCGAAGGCCTTGGATTCCAAATCGCTTTCGGGTCGTTCCCTAACATGCCTATATCCGATATGTCATCCTTCCTGCAGGACCACTATGAGGAAGCAAACGAGCTGGCCTCCAAGGCTGCGCTTGAGGATATCCTCGATTTCAGACTTTTGACATTTACACTCCAACCATTTTCACGGCTGATATCCCAGGCATCGATTGATGCAGGCGGTAATGCTTTGGGAGTAACTCCCGAAGCTGGTGACAAGATATGGGTCGAATATAACGTTGCCTGGGCCAGCCCGGCCTGCGATGAGGATTGCCCAGCCTTCGCCAAGACAGCTGCAGACACGTTCCAGGAGCTGCACAAGACTAAGTACTCTGGAATATACCCGACGAACTATAAATCAGGCGATCTGGAGTATCTCAGGTAGGTTCTGAACTAAAGGTCTTTGTGATGGTTCAATACTGACATTCGCACCTAGCTACAATCCACTATTCATGAATGATGCCATCTCCGGTCAAGACGTGCTTAAAAGCTACGGCGATGCTAACTACAACCGGCTGAAAAGCACGCATCTTGCGTATGACCCAGAAGGCCTCCTCAGTAGCAGGCAGAAAGGCTTCACGTTTACCCAGTAGCAAGGCATAACTAGCTGTTGATAGTTTCCCATTCCTCCTATATAAGTACAGACTATGCAGCGAGCCAGGAATACTCTGTTCCCCTGTGACATGTCTCTCATGAGGATTTGAAGAAATGGACCAAGAGAAGATAGCAAAGAGCCGAGAAGGGCTCCCATATCCAACAAGTAAGTTTATATAGTACACGATCTCTGATTATCAAAGCAAATTTCGATATTCTTGTTGCGGACCAAGGATCCAAGCGTTCAATACATACCAATTTTGAGCCGCTACCCTCCAGTAATGTCACTCGGGACATTTCTAGCACTGAACGTTCCATTTACTTATTCGACGAGCTCTTCAAATTAAGAGGGCTGATTAGCCCGTCCCATGCTATTTCTTGGGGTGTCTGTCCCTCTACTACAGTCTCACCAAAGATTTAGGTTTCAAACTTACGGGAATCGATGTTTAGGATTCGATATATCGCTGTACTGCACAACATTGCCTAGTATAACAAATCGTCGTCAAATAATGACAAAAGTAATGAATTAAGTTGAAACACCACAAGCCTCAACCCAATAGTATCAAAATTACTGCCCTGCTTGCGTTACTATAGCTTGAAACTGCCGAGGCGCGGGAATGAATGAGTTAATCTCATTCACTCAAGAGCGTTAAAATCGAATCGGGTTAAGACAACTATGGAGTTTGTTGATAAGCAGTTGTTCTTTGGCCATGTCGATGATTGGCCCCTTCTGATCAATCTGTCGCTTCCCCCAGTTCTCGTCATCTTCACATTCTGATGGTTTGATTGTTTTCGCGGGATATTTTTCGAAAGATCTGCTCCGTCAAATGATCAGAGACAAGGCAGCCTTGCCTCTGCCTTACTCTGAGCAGCAGGTCTTCCGTGGGGATTGAGCTCTCCTGTACATCATTCGCAGCCCCGGCTTGACCTTGCAGCTAGAGTGAAATTTTCGCATCACAAGGTGTTTACCTTTATAAACAACACCATACCAGTGGGTCTGTATGCTGCCGACAAAGGAGCAGATCCCAAAAGCGTATCAGTCAAGCATGGATACCTGGTACTCACTGTTTCAGGCACTCACACAACGCGCTATAAGAAATACAAGTCAGAACTAATCACGGCCGTGGGCAACATATTCTATCCAAGTGTGCGTACCGTCGCAATCTTCACTGAGACTCCTGGCGTCTGTAACGGCATGTTGTGGCCACACTTAGATTCACCCGGTAATTTTCTTAGAATAATTATTTTAGGGATGTTATTTCATAAATCTGACTCCCAAGAGATCGATATCAAATGGCTTTCTGACCGGAACAACAGATCGAACAATAGCACACATCATGTTTAGTCTACAAACCAGGATAATAATGGCGACGGCAAGGCCACAACCTTTAAAGTGAAGCCGCCTAGAAATCCTACGAGGGAAGAGCACGAATACCGCATTGACTGGACGGAGGAAGGTGTTAAATGGTTCATTGATGGTATAATGCGGGCTAAATTGACCACGGATACTCCCAAAGTCCCAGGTTATTGGCTCTGGAATAACTGGTATAATGGCAACATCAATTGGTTGGCTGGACCTCCGGCTCCAAAGGCTGTGCTGAGAACCAGATTAATAGACATGTATTAGAACACTGCATCAGTTTCCAGGGTGGAAATGGACAAGCTCATGTAAAGCAGATCGATCCAAGTTGGATTCAAGTAAACCGTCTTTAGGACTGTAGTTCAATATTTAATGTACTCCCCTGGCTTGATTCATATTTGTTGTTGGTCAGTCATCCTGGCACTTCAGATACAAAATAGTGGCGTGTTTGCTTCATGCATTTCATAAATACTCAGGTTATGAAGAAGGTAAAGCTATCACTTACTTCAAAAGCCCAGTCTGGGCAGTAAGAGAGCCGCCAAAAGGCTCGACTGAGTTTCTTAATTGTATAGAGGAATTTGCTAAATGAGTTTTGTTATGTGCTGAACAACAGTTACCTCTTAGATGATTATGGGGTGATCTCAATCCTGAAGGTATACCCATGCGCTATGTGCCCTGTTCACGTGGGGACAGTAATACTAGCAATTTCTGACACCAGGAGGTCCAGATGCATATGCCAGTTGTCATGCCTTTGTCCTACGGAATAGCGAGACTTGCAGGGCATTGTCTCTTACTTCAGATGAATGTAAAAGCCTTGGATTCGCCCCTCAGAGAGCTTTAATCGTGACCTCCTCTCTGAATTGGATCATGCACATCCTTCCTCTCCAGAATAACGTGAGATTCACAAAGGAAAAATCCATATCCTTCTGTATTACTAGTATAATTACATATGATTTAAGACAGCTGGTTTCAAGCTTGGGAAGCCTATTCCTATCATCACCCCTCTCTCTTCTCAGCCGATCGCTGAAACTCCTTGCGCCGATCTACCATTGTTGTCTTTGCACCTTGCTAGGATCTCGAGGCTCGTACCCGACTTCGATTCTCTGGTCCTTCTTGATACCCATGACCCTTCTAGGAGCAACGATGTTCTCCTCGCTGTCTCCTGCAGATGTATGTATATCGTCAAGCCTGATGGGAGGTCCCTTGATGTGATCTCGATTTCCCGACCGTGAAGACACCAACGCTTTTGAACCAGAATAACCGCCGCTGCTGATGTCGCTAAAACAGGGCACCTTCTTCAACAGAGGTCGGAGCGCAGTGAGTGCTGCAGCCAAAATACTCAGGCCGATTTCTAGAATAGAGCTGGAACTAAGTTAGTCTTACATACAAGTATGATGATAGATCAATTCACTTACTAAATTGTTGCTTCCAGAGTCTTTTGGATGATACTAGCACTAGCAAGTCCTCCATCCGCTTGGATTCGGGTGATTTCGACAACGAATTTCAGTCGAATAATAGTCGCCACGGAACTCCTGCATTTAACTATTAGCCATGCGGCCGATGACTGTGGTCAAAGAAAGCCCTTACACTGCACCTAAACCTAGGAGGAACATGACAGTGATTTTCACTTTCATGCGTAGTTGAGCTTTGCGAAGCATGTACACAGGCAACAACTACAAGTGGAAATGTTAGCTTCGATTGTTTCATCCGACTGGAGTTTTGTCTTCTTACGCCATAAAGCCAGCTTGCAGCAACGTCCTGTGCTGACAGAGCAATTCCAGCATTGCCAAGAACGGTAGAGGAGATGCAAGTCCCCTCTCCTACACCCCAAGCTACCGATAGCGGGCGGCATTGTAGTGCGTACAAGAGGGCAGTTGCGAAGCACCAGAGAGTGACGATGACCATCGAGATTATTAGTACTAGTCGGACATACTTCAGGTCGGATCTGTCTGAGAGTCGATAGAGGACTAGAGCAACGCCGAGTTTCGATATGCCGGTCGTGAGAATGTAAACGATTTGGGCGATGGTGAAGAACTAAGCGCAAGGCAATAACACTGTTAGCACGCGACCATTCACATTTCATGAAGGACCTCAGGGGAGACTGACCTTTGCTGCTTTGATCAAGTCGAAGCTAGGTTCCATGGTAGTTGCGCCAATGCCATTGTCGATCGCGACAAGCTCAAACGCAACAAAGATCACGAAGCCGACCTTCGCCTATTAGTTCATGGTAAAAGTCAACGTTGGTTCAAGGGCGGTCATCTTACAAAAGAGACGGCCATTGCAGTATCATCATATCCAACCGCGCTCTTTATCCCTCGAGCCCAAAAACGCAGCCCGACGGCGACGGCGTTCACCACCATGAAGGTGATGCCGATCGGGTAGTAGGCATCTCGTACACTACTCATGTTTCGAGTGTTGACGGTCTTCTGGAGACCGAATGCGCGAATACTGGAGAACGGCAGTTGAATAGTTGGAGCATTGGAAGGTCTTGTATGCGTCTAACTGCTGAGCAGGGCTAACGGGAAACATTTTCAGACATGCGAAATGGGCAGAGACAGAACAGAAGATGGTTCTGGCCATGTCAGGTTAGTCGGATGCAACTCTTTTCCACAAACTACACCCTTTCCCATGCCTCCCCGGGATATAATGTTTCATGCAACATACTCCTGAGAACGCCGACCCTGAATAGTTCTTTGGTTGACTCGTCTGACAGCCACCCTGACTACTATGTAGTACCCTGTTCATATATCTAGCCGAAAGAAGGCTAGGTTAGAACCAGCGACAATCAGGGGCATCTCTAAGAAGTGCCGTATACCGTATACAAGGTTAATCCCCTGGATGTTTCCTTTGCTAGGCCCATGCTAAAGGCTATATCAATCCTCAGATAAGCTGAACCCTAGTGGCTGGGCGGCCTCATCACGAATTCCCTCAGTAATGCAGGGACCCGGTAACGGAAAGTTGCTATACGCCGCCCCATGAAGCGAAAGCATGCAGAAAGTACCCATCTCCTGATTTCATCGCTGAATTTTCAATGCTGTGGAGGTTTCACCCACCTCCCAAGCAGGAGCAGAACCAAACCTTCGGGCCTACCCCTTGCCAGTGGCGTGTCGGGTTGGTACCCTGGCTCAATGGATACCAATAAAGTTATCATTGTATGAGGAAAACTGCCAGCACTTTCAAGTGTCCTCTTACTTTGCAGTCCCGAGAAGGATATTATATGTTGGTGGTCGAATCAGTTGACCCCTATTTACCTAAAGGTGTAAGGCTTTAACTTTCTTGAAACTTAGCAACATCGCTTATTTCTGGCGCGCGTATATTCCTTCAAGACGGGTGATCAACCAGCATCAATCACTAACGGAGGCGTAGCAACTTCCGAAATTGCCCTCGTCCCCGGATTCCTCTCAGCTAGCACAAAAGACGGACAAAAGTGGTTCCATGGATGGAGACGGAACCTCCCCTCCCCGTGCATCAGTGGAGACATTTTTAACGGTTTCTCCACCACCTAACCTCGTTCTGTGTTGCATTTGCCGTGAGGAGATAACTTCATCCCCTGGCCAAAGGTAAGCAGGATCGGCTAAGTAGATAGGCTAAGGAGAATGCGCTGATTCCGGTGCTTAGCGTTTCAAGAGACAGAACCGGGGAAGTTTCCGATACGGCCATACTCCCATGGGACACTGTCCATTCGCAGTAAGTCTTCCTCAATCAACTTAGCGTACTCTCTCTATTTAGCTAGCCAGATGTGTTTGCGTCTAGTCACCCTTGAGTCTTGACGAGACGAACATGTGGAAACGTTTTCATATCCACATTCGATGAGACTGTCTTCTTATCATATTGGCATAACGTGGACTAGCATGGGCACAAGTGGCCTAAGCGATGGTAACTCACGTGGGTAGGAGGTAGTGCCTCCTGAGCTTGGGGTAGACAAAGATGGTATAAGGGGGAAGCTCAATCGACCCTGCAAAATTGCACATTGACTTCATCCTATACACAATATTTCTAATTCTTGCGCAAAAATGTCAGCTATCAATGGTACGAACGGGGTTGAGGGGACCAACGGCGTCAATGGTGCGAGAGATGTGCTTCCGCTGCCTATGGTGCCCGAGGAAATCACCGCCGAATGGCTGGGAAAAGTTTTGAATCAAAAGGTGAAGTCGATTGGTATCACAAATAGCATTCTCGACGCTACAGCTAGCAAGATCTTCGTCACCATCACCTACGAAGATGAGAATGACAGCACTCCAAGGCCAACCTATGTCTGCCTCAAGGGCGGATTCAATCCAGCTATGCTGAACTTGGAAGGCTACAGCGACATTTTGAAGTTGATGTACTCTCGGGAGGTCAAGTTTTTCAACCTCGTCGCCCCAAAGCTCAGTAATATCTCCCTTCCCAAACTGTGGTGGGCTGGGGAGAACCCAGATCAGGGTCAAGCCATTGTTATTATGGAGGATCTCAGCAAGGAACATACTTTCGGCGACCCTGTTGATGACTGGTCTATTGACCGTGTCCGATCTGGCCTTGAGCAGCTCGCTGGTCTCCACGCCGGGACTTGGGGTTCCACCGTCAGCGGAGAGAACTCATGGCTAACGCCTGCGTACGAACATGTCATGATTGGTCTCACAATGAACTGGGAGGCTATGGTGCTCGGTGATGACCGCCCACCCATCCCAGAAAGCATCAGAGTCCAAGAGCGTACGGTTGCCGCCATGAAGAAGCATTTCGCTACCAAAAACCCCAAATACGTTGCCGTCCTTCATGGAGACCCTCACTCGGGCAATACGTTCCTTGACAAGGCAGGCAAGCCATACTTCCTCGACTGGCAAACCAACCATATCGGCTGTGCCTTCCATGATGTTACGTACTTCATGATCGGTGCTTTGTCTGTGGAGGACCGCAGAGCTCACGAAGTTGAGTTGTTCAGCCATTATCTTCAAGCTCTGGCTAAGGGTGGAGGCCCTAGCCTCTCGGTTGAAGATGAGGAGGTGATGAAGGAATACAAGAAGTCTACCATGTGTGGAATGGGATGGATCCTCACCCCATATCAGATGCAGCGCAAGGATCGTGTTTGGGCCATGTGCGCGCGATATACGGCCGCTATGGAGGATCACAAAGTGATTGAACTCGTCGAGTCGCTTCCAGAACCCTCCGAGCAGTAGATGTAAAGCCACCATGTATGCCATAGCCAAATGCACCGGGCAAGTAACGATTAAAGTACCCATATATATCTAAATCCATTTGCTGTCATCCCAGTTATGGTAATTGATGCCCCTCTACAATCCAAACCACTCTCGTGCGGCGAGATTGAATCCAACAGAAGTTCCACCGGTCACGATACTATCTAGTACATGACTTAGTTTCATCGGGGCGCTATGACAATGGGGGATTATTGCTTGATTTTGTCCATGACTAAGAATATTTACTCTCGTCTTGAAGAGGCTTGATTTCCTTAATTGAAATGATTGTACGTCATCTTCATTCGTTTTTCTGTTCTGTTTTCCTTGTAAGCAGGTGTCCAATATAACAACTAAATAGGCTCTCCAGTCATACAATACAGAATAAGGTGCTGTTGATTAGATACGTTAAAATTCCAATTCTTTGGCATGATCATCAGGATATATTTATGGATATATAAACTTTATGGTTGCGCGATTACATATCCTCAGAGAGTCTCACGTAGTTGAGTGCATGCCTTCAATATGTCTAGGGTAAGCGGAAAGATTTCGAAGTCCGGTTATGAGTGGACAAGGGACTTCGGAAATCTCGCAATTCCGTCTTCTGTCCTACCTGGATGGTGTGAACTCCCCGACAAAAGCCAAGTTAATGCTCCAGCTGCCTGACGACTAAGGCAAAGAAAAAGTCTTCATACTTGGAACCTTGTCCAACCCTTTGATTGGCATTCAGAGGCATTCTGGCCCTTGATCTATCCACTGTGCCCTTCTATTCTTCGGGAGTAAAGGTTGCTGTTGAAACAGCAATTCTTTCAGCTCTAGTCTTCTGCATGTAGCTACTTCGAACTTCATAACTACTCTCAATAAGACTTCTAGAATCTGGAGGCCAGTGGATCCCTTGCTATGTCGTGTTTGTAAAAGGTCTCGATCCCATCATGGAGAGATTACGTCTGGTAACCTAGGAGTTCGATTAACGCGCCGGAAATTGGCCACGTAACATGGAGTCATCAACTGATCTCTTGGACGTTGGTTGAACAGAGAACAGGCTCACGGGTGGTTATCAATTGACCGATATTCACAATCCGAAAAAACTTGAATACTTTCATGTCACCCCACCTTTCAAAAGCACTCTTTGGGCTGTTTGATCAGTGGTCAGATAGGTTTGTAACAGAGTCTCATTGGTTTCAGTGTCAAGATATTGTTCTCAGCTTCGTTGATGGGCCTCGCAGTACATGAAAGGTTACCAGAGCGCTGTCCATGAACGGCTATATTTTAACTCTAAGTCCACGACGGCTCAATTCAAGAAGAGAATGCCTTGACAATAAAATCCTCAGCCGGCTCAATCCACTCGGGGAAGGAGTATGTGATATGCCCGTAGGGGCATGTCGTTCCAGACTTGTCGCACGCCTGATATGATCAATTAGCATCTGGCTCTATGTCCGCCATGCCAGGCGGAGTTTGTGCTTACAAAGTCTCCCGTCGCGCAGTTTTCCAAAAGCTTCGCCTCCAACTCTGCAGGAATCTCCGAGTCGATTTCTGGATCTCCAAACAGGACGATCGACTTGACCTTTTCGAACAGCGATTCCGAAAGGTTGCCGATCGCGTTGCGCATTACCATAGCTCCTTGAGAGTATCCCACTAAAGAGAAGGTTTGATCAGGGCAAATCTGTGACTGGCTTTCGATTCGGTTGATAACGTCAAGACCGCCTTGAGCAACTCCATTGGCAAAGTCGGAGCTTGCCGGGTACTTCAATTAATTGGCTAATCGTCAGCTTGTATCCTTTGCGCAGCTCTTATGGATGGGTGCGAACCTGAACTGGATACCCTCGACTGCCTGGAAGGGTTTCAGTCACGTTTCCGATGAGGGGGTCCCCGATCCGATAACCAAACTTGCCGATCTCGGAAGTTCCGCGAGCTTGATATACTTCAGTATAACGTTTCTAGCATCGAACAAAGGCGCTCGGTGGAAATCACTCAATACTCACCAGCGAGAATCTCGAAATCAGAACATCCACTAGGGATGTCTTCTGGGCGGATTGGGACTGGAGTTCCGAACGATGGCTCGTTGGGATCTGTGCCAGGGTTAGGAGGACACTCCTGTCCCAGAGTCAACAGGGCGAAGAGAAGAATGGAGCTGGCAACACGAGGAACCATGATGAAGAAGTAAAGTTTCTGGGCCCGACGATAGTAAGGGCGGTCCAGTGTTCGAGAGATTGCATTTTATCGTGCGATATAACTCTCTTCCTATATACCTGCCATGTTTTACCATCTCCACAATGTTAATTTAACCGCGCAGGCGTGTCTCATGACATAGCCAAGTCACACAAATCATCCCGGACGGTGGAGTAAATGACTTCCCCGGTTTAGGTATCTCAAAGACCGTCGAGTTCGATCGTCGTTCAATTTTGGCGTTGCATTGCCGGCTTTGGTGTCACATTGGGCGAAGTGGATATATAGACCAACTCTTTTATAGCTAGAAGCCCCGCTGATTCCCATAAGTTCATGAACAGTCCATTCGGGCCTACTCGGATATGGATAATGTCGTTTGTCTGTTTCTTGATAGAATGTGTGCTGGCGATGGGGAGCATTTGACTAATTTAGCCAGGAAAGAAATGCTACGCGCAAGGATGTCCCCGTGGAAAACAATAGGCCGAGGTCACCCGGGCGGGGAACTGGCTGACTGGATCCCCCGTACTCTGTGACATCGAGATGCGGTCAACAGAGTGGGAACTGTTCTCCCATCAGATGAAACGCGATGAAACAATGGTAAAAAGCCTCATCTATGGTTGAGGGAAATACTGACATCTTGACCGCCGACATCTTGACAAGCAAGAAGTCGACTTGATACCTAATGGCGATGGGTTCATATCTGTCTCCTGTTTATAATCTTGCTGACAGTGCAAGCAGGGAGCAAATTGAAAATATAATGCACAAGATGAACTTCATATTTAACTATTTCTTAGCTATTAGGGTAGTAACTAATTTTTGAATAAAGTTTTGGGATTTCATGGGGGCATAAGAGTAAGGCACTGCAGATTATTGATCTGTTATGCTAGAAAGCCCAGCAAGCTATCATCCATACTCTGATGTGCTAAATCATCAGCACTCATAAATTCATTGTGGGCTCTGAAGAAGAATGAGGGAAATGGGATGCAATTATTCAGCCCCCGGAACCTCCCACCACTCTTCCTATGGACCATTCTCCTATGGATGTGCAATATCATCCAGCCATTCTACAATGTGCTCAGCTGCCTTGGCACCCCCGAAAGGAACTTCCAGTCTGCTCCATGTAATCTCCGGCGTGTCGAAGTGTCTTCTCCATCCAACTGATTGCTTTATGAGACACGGGCCCCGTAGAGCCTGCGCGGCAAATGTCCTAATCGCTTCTTCGGGTATCGTGCTTTCGTCGAGAAGGATCTCGCGGATGTTGGATCGCGGAAGGTGTTCTGGCCAGTCGAACCCATCGTCGTGATTCTGTGGCGTCTCGAGACATCGGAGGGTGGGAAGTGCGATGAATGGGGCGATTGAATCTAGATCCAGCCCGTAGTAGCAGTTGAACACGTCCCCCTTCAGGTGTTGCAGACGAGAAAAAGGTCGTCCGCCACGGAGCGGCGTGTCTGGGCGACGATGGACCCGATCCGCAAGCCTCACCAGCCATGGTGCCTCCTCAATACCGCCCCAGCATGCAGCAGTGAGTGTGAGGACCCGAAGGTTGGGGAGACGACACATGAGAATAGCCAAGAGAGCCGATTGTTCAAGCCTCTCGACATCATCGAAAAAGTCGTGTTGGTATTCTGGGTGCTCTTTAATATCGAACCAGTCGGAAAAGGTCGTCCATGCTGCTTGTCTGATGAGCGAAATATCGGTCATAGACACGATGCCATCTTTTGTCTTTTCTTCATAGATTTCCAAAAAGCGGTTTAGGTCAAAGCCACTTTGTTCAATCTGTGTATCGAGCTCTCCAACGTAAGATGCGAAGAACGGGTCGCGAAGAACTCTCAGTAATGGTCGAAGCCAGGGTATCGCTTCATCCTGGACGTAATCATCTGCTCTGAATTCAGAGGCCTGACGATAGGATATGCGCTCCATTTTCAGGCAATTCTGGGCGACTGCATGAAAGTAGTGAGAGGCAAGGTTTGCTGCCTCTAAGTTGGGGAGCGAAAGGTAGGAGAGGATCGAGTTCCAGAGTTCCAGAGGTAGCACTGCATATGTCGTCATTTTGATAGATGTTGGTCAGTTATGAGTTGGAAGAAAGCTTGTAACAGATCTCAAGCACTTGGAAGAAGAAGAGTTGACTCATTGAGGAGATGAAGACGGGGACTAGAAGTGAGATGAGAGTGGCTGTGTGAGCCTAAAATTAGAGTAGCAGTATATCAAAGATTACCCACCTCCACTTTAACACAAAATCGAGTAGGCATGCAGTAAGCTGATACAATGTTCTTCTATCAAAAGGAGTTTTCCACATTCATCATTTACTTATTTTCAGGTATTAACGCACTGGAACTGCTACTTAAATGATTACCTAAGTACCAAGACAAATGACATACGTGATTCTATATAAATCGTGTTTTGTTGTAGTGGCTCTCCTATCAATAGAGAAAGAGAGGAACCGCTTATAGCCCCATTGGATATAATGAAATGGAAAAATAAGGAATAACGCTTACAACCGCCCTAGCTAGTTTGCAGCCAGCTTGCTTTTCAAGTTTTTCAGTTTTGTACAAGTTGGCTATCTTCACATAGAGTCTCTGTTCATAGATCATGGGCCGTTAGGTTCCTGATTCTTTACTATGGGAAAATAGCAGACCTCGGTTTCAAATCTGTGCCGGCGAGCTCATGTAATTAACTGAAGAGACAGGCATGTTGAAGTGCTGTGGTGGTCCGCTTTCTGCGTGGATTAAGCAATCAGCACAGAATTGGGCCTTCATCCTGCTTATTCTGGTTTAAGCCCGTGCATTGACTACCCATGTTCTAACAGCCTAACGAAAGAGGAAAGGGAGGAGTTCTACGATTCGGACCTGCTAACAGCACAGGTCAGGCTTTGCGAGATAAAACTGTCTGTAGCCGATACCGCAAGTCAGCTGAAGTCTAGAGATATTGCTAGGCCATACCCGATTTTGGCTGATTGTCTACAACAAGAAAGGACCTGATTGCTCGGAGTACTAACCCCTCCGTCTGTCCGTCTTCTACTAGCACCCGCTGTCGATCCTGTTTCCATGATGAAATACTGAATCTGGACCTGATATTTATAATCAGTGAAATAATGCGATTACTGGGCGCAGTCGCAGGATGCCGGACTCTGAACTGTCCGCAAATGCGCTCGAATTCTGCGCTATTTCCTACCTACTCCCGCCTCACAGGGTTGAATAAGCGGAAGCCGCAAATCAGCTCGATGCGGGACTCCGCGTTCTTACCAGTCCGAGCGGTCATTTCCCAACTGAGCTCAGCCGATTCGGACCAGTCCTCTTGTACAGCGTGCTAGGCTATGACTAATCGCGGAGATTCTTGGGGAACAAAACCCCTAATTGGGCCAAAGTAACTGCGGTGCGACGGCCTATGTTCTACGCCGATTGCGCCTACAGATAGTAAATAGCCTCCAGAATGAGACGGCGAAACCATCGTGAGAAGTATATAAAGGCTAATCCGCAATGGAATTTGATGTTCATCAGACGTCGCAATCATCAGCGTCAAGTACCACCACCAAGTCTAAAGACTATACGCAGCCTTCAAACCTAATCATCACGATGGGTACCAATACCAATGTCCTCATCTCTGGCGCCAGTCGAGGTCAGTGTACTTACAGCTCTCGCTACCACCTCTCTTTCGTGGCTTGACAACCCATTGGCTCCTGAATCTCACAGAAATGGCAGGTATCGGCAAAGGGTTCCTCGAGCACTACCTCCGCCGACCACACCACACTGTCATCGCTGCTCTGCGTGACATTACCAGCCCCAACGCCAAAGCACTCCTTGAACTACCAGCCGGCAAGGGCAGCAGAGTCATCCTCGTCAAGATCGAAGCCACCTCCACAACCGATTCCTTCGACGCCGCAAACGAGCTCGAGGCCCAAGGCATTACTAAGCTAGACGTCATCATCGCCAACGCCGCCATTGTCGGCAACCAAGGTCCTGTCGAATCCATCGATCCCAAGGCTGTGGCCGACGTGTATGTCATCAACGCAGCCGGTCCGGCGCTTCTCTTCATGGGCCTGAAGTCTCTTCTGGAGAGGGCCGAGAACCCGAAATGGATGGCAATGAGCTCGGCCGTTGCTTCAATTGAGGACTATCAGAAGTATACGTTCTTCAAGATGTTCCCCTATAATGCTTCCAAGGCAGCTTTGAACCATTTCACAAAGACAATTCACGCGGAGTATGAGAACATTATTGCGTTTGCTGTCTCTCCTGGGTAAGTGATCCCGCGCGAAAGCAGAGTTTCTTACAGGATTGCGCTGACGATGCCACTGTACCTTCAGCTTTGTCGAGACGGAGATGGGAAAGAATGCAGTCAAGGCTTACAAGATGGAGAACCCTCCATTCTCAGATCTTGATGAAGTGGTGAAGGTAATTATTGAACGGGTAAGCACGTGCTTTGTTTCTTGCTTCGCGTGCGGCGTAGGCTGACGATGGTTGGTTAGATCGACACGGCCACCAGGGACAATTACTCTGGACGTTTCGTCCACGCGGATGGAACTCCGATTCCGTGGTAACCATGCGCCGAGCATTTGCTGTCATTCTTCGGCTTTGTCTTAAACGATAGCATTGTAGAATGTGCTTTATCTTCTTGGCTTGCCTTTGAGCGCCACAATTGACTATTTCTTTGCTCTGTGCATCTATGGAACTCTGTGTGAGAGGTGCGACTGTAGATCCGAACCCGAACTTGCTTGCCTTTCAGAATTATGCTCTTCGTCCATTGCTGGATGGTCTGCTAAGTTTTCCATGCTCCCCCATCCAGTTGGCGGATTTATTTACTGCTCTGGCGTAGGCCACCCTTCCATAATGCCTACCCTCTGCCTGCCACCTTGAACAGGGGCTTGGTTCCTATTCTCAGAGGCCCCATGACCGTCGTTGTCAAAAATATTCTCAGTATCAGACTCGTTAGAATATTCTGAGTCTGGAGCGGAGTATTCTGAGTCAGAATCGGGAGGTAACCGCGTAGTGGGAGCTATACTGCAGTCTTGCTGTGATTTCAAACTAGTAAAAATATAAATACTAAAGAATTAAGAAGAAACTATTTTTTTTTTTTTTTTTGAGATTTTTGCCGTATGCAAGGGATATCCCAAGATCAGGCCACACGTGACTAGATCCACACGATTTGTTTTTAACTAAGTTTCGGTCCGTACCCAACCTTCGACTCTATTTTTTTTACTTTTTCATTTATACAAGCCAAGGCAAGGTAACAGCTTGTCCAAAAACTCTAAGAAGGGCTTGCCAAGTATATAACTTGGCCATGGGCCCCAAGGGGGGACGCTCATCATCCACAATCAACAATAAGACGGCGTCCGGAATACGGCAGGTTAGTCAATTGCCACAATAGAATGTTGATAAAGAAAAATGCAATAGCCAATCGCAAAGTTGCCACATGCCAATTGAAACACCAAACATGGTTTCACACAGTGAAGAAGAAACTATAATAAAAGGAAAAGCGAAGAATAATAAAGATATAGCTGTCCTGGGACTATTTAGCTATTCTACTTACCCTAGACCCTCGACGAGTATAAGTCACCTAACCATCACAAGCTTTTACTTCTTTTTCTCCTCTTAATTAATAATTATATTATAAACCTATAATTAAAGCTCTACCTTATTATATATAACTAATTCTTACTAATTAATTATATATAATTTATTATAGTTTATTTATCTCTCGCTCCCGTCGCTGCTGCTTAGGTCGTTACAAGGTTTACAAATAATAGTGGTTAAGTTGACTTGGTAGGCGCAGCTCTGTCCGAGGCTGATGAGGGGCATAAATCAAGCATTTTGAGCTAATCATACTTCTTGCTACGCGCTAATAGTAGGTTATGATAAAGAGGCCCTAACCTATGTTGATTGTTAGTTGAATAGAACCTCCATCCGACTTAGACGTCACTTGAGAGATTATATAACATAAACAACCATGTAAATCGTCGCATCCGTTTGCTTCCTGGCAGAGAGCCTTGTGAGTCTGCCGAGGCTACCCTGGTCGCCGTAGTGTAATCCTAGGCTAGAGTTGCCGCTGGTGATGATTACCAGCTTGCCTATACATATATATTTGAGATCCACAAATGAGTCGGGGTGAGTTGTGGATTTTACCTTCCATTCCTTAGCAATGCATTGATTTGCCATGCAGTCTCGCGTGCTCGTACATTGTGTAGTCATACTTTAAGCTCTAGAGACCTATCCTTACCGTTACAAGTCATCATCAAGTCGTTGAAGATCCAGTTTTACGGCATGGCAGATTACGTCCGAGCAAATGACAAAGCGAAGTGGGCCACTTCGGATGCAATTTGTATCCGAGTCTGACAAACTAAACTCTGCCGCGGACTGATTTGAAAGCATCTAAGACCCAAGTTTCCGTATCTTATAAAAAGGCCGATCCTGGCCGGTAACATGGAATGCGCCTACAACTCACACAACCTCCTGCTTCCACCAACTTTTCAATAAAACATCGTCATTCATCCGATAATATGAGTTCAATTAAGAATGTAGCCGTCTTTGGCGTACGTTGTATTCAATCTTCAAATTTATTCAACCCAGAGCTAACTCTTCTAGACTGGATTACTGGCCAGCGCTCTGATCCCACAGCTGTCCAAAAGCGGCTTCAATGTGACTGTTCTGAGCCGAAGCGCCTCTACGAAGGAGAACCCGGAGGGTGTTGTTACTGGTGTTGTGGATTATTCTTCTGTCGACAGCTTGGCGAAGGCACTCCAGGGGCAAGATGTTGCAATTGCCGCTCTGGCTATGCCTGCACTCCTTGTGCAAACCAACATCATAGAAGCGTGCATCAAGGCGGGCGTGAAGCGATTTATTCCTTCTGACTTTGGTGCCCTCACCACAAGGCCGGTTACCAGAGACCTACCTTTGAATGCGCATCTTAACGTGATTCAAGATCTCTTGAGAGAGAAAGCAGCAAAGGGAGAGATTGAATATTCCATCATCTCTCCTGGAATGTTTCTGGAATACGTATTGAATTTACCCCTGATCATTGATCTGAAGGGCCATTCCATCAACCTCTACGATGAGGGCAAACACCCATTCAGTACTACAAGCATTGAGACTATTTCCAAGGCTGTTGTTTCCGTACTCAAGGGGAGCGAGGCCACGAAAAACCGCGTTCTTTACATCAACGACACCACGACTACACAGGCCGACCTGCTTCGCTTTGCAAAGAAACACTCGCCGACAGGAACGGAGTGGAAGGAAACAGCTCTTGACGCACAGGTTGAGTTTGCCAAAGCGATTGAAAATGCTGCCAAGAACCCAACCGATCCCACAGCACTATTCCCTGTTCTCCAGGCAGCTGTGCTTGGAGGGAAGCATGAGGCTGCATACCCGGAAATTGATAATGAACTTCTCGGCTTGCCACTTCTGACTTCTGATGAACTTGAGGCCAAGGTGGCAGCCGCAGTTCAGGCGACCGAATAATGAACGGGCCTCAGACTGTTTCGACTGAGGATCAAATGTGAACAGATGGTTTGTACGAGAGTACAAACCAACCGCTGATATCTAGTTGAATCCCCCCCATAAAGCAATCCTTTGAAAAATTGACTTCATATTTAAACTTTCTCGATCTCACAATGAAGTAAACCCATCCGCATTACATTTGTCATAAATTGCGATTCCATCCCACTTGCGTCCACCAGCTTCGTCGGATGGAAAATCAACCAATTCCGCAATCTGTTGCATTTGGGAACCAGTAGATAGAGTTGGCGTAGTAGAGTAGTGGGGATTCTTAGCAGAAACGGGGCTTCAACAGTACCTAGCTTTTGATGTAGAGGTAGCATGGCGATATCCTAAAGAAGTGATGCCGAGTGCTTAAATCACTTGTCTTATATGTTATCCAGTACATAAAGTATAATGAGAGAAGAAATAACGATGCTCGCTGACTTTAATGAAAGTTTAAACCGCTGTAGTATACAAATGAGTACTGATCGAGCATCAGCTGCCAACCGTTGCCTCAACGAATGTATTCGAATGCAAAATTATATAACTCCGGCTTTAGAATTTCGGGGACGAACGGTCCGAAATCTTCACCTGATGGGACGTCGATACCAAGTAAGTTTGAGAATTCCCGAATGGATGGCTCTAGCATGTTTCCAATGAGGCCCTGCGCCAGGGGCATGAAATCTTTGTACTGGCCAAGAAATTGAAGAATCTTAAGATTCTAGTTAGAACGCCGTATAGTTGGTGTAAGTGGGTTCGCACACAAATTTACTCACCTTCAAGGGCCTTCCATCGCTACTATAAGAAGTTGTAGGAGTGTTCTCAATTTGCTGTCCGGGCAGAGCAGCCGTTGCTAGAGCAGATATCTTCGACAACCCCTCCACCATATATCCTAAATCGCAATGCTGTGATCTTTGTGTACTTTCCAAGAAATTATATAGAGTTTGAATGAGCTGACTATTCGTGCATGCCCGTGAGCCATCCGGTACTTTCAGTGTATCCTCGAGGAGCGCAAGAGATGCCCAGATTGGATAAACTAGGATTCGCCTTCTGATGGTTAGTACCATTGATTTCTATAATATACCGTTTTCACTTACCAGACAGTCAAATACTGTTGGTTGGGAACATGCTGTAGTAGCCGAAGTGTAGACTGGGCAAATGTTATGCCGGCCTCAGGGGAGCGCTGACTGATTCGTGCCAATCTAAATCTCGAGTGGTAGTACACGAATCTGAGAGTCAGAGTCGGAAATGAGAGCGATTCCTCGGATTCTAGGTCGGTGTCACCGAAAGTCCTAGTTGCCCATGAGTTGAGGTCTTCTTCCAGCGATGTATGATTTGGAGTGATGTCTGTATCAAGATCGGCTATGTTTGACTGAATAAGAGAAAGCTCTGCTCGGGCTACCATATGTTCGGCGTAACCTTTTGGTGCGAATTCGTTGGTGCAGTTGACCAACGCATCTCTACTTGGGGGCGGCACTTGGAAGTCAATCTCACGAATAGAGGGCGCAATGCCACACCGAAGAGATATTTCCACGTGGAGACTGAACGCGCCCCACAGTATGAGGGTATCCTCTATGGATACATTGGAGATGCTGTGGCTCGACGAGGTAATCGTTCGAATAACAGTGACAGCTATAGATGAAAGCTGGTGAGAGGTTCGTACGTCGGCGAACCCTTGCAAGAACATGACCATATATAAAAGCTCTTGACATGTAGAGATGCAAGGCGGTTGGGTGATAAGTTGAGAGAGCCTTGCATACGAGCTTTTGAATCGAGCCCACGCAATGGGGAGAAGTTCGCCTATGTGTTCGTTTGCCACCTTGAACTGAACGGTGAGGGCTAGCAAGGAGTTGGTGATGGCCAAGTTCCTTGATGCTTGTGTGCTGGCCTCTGACTCTAGGACCTTCAACACCTCTGGGTCAGGTATTGTGAAGAAAGGGTATACTTCAATAATCTCCTCAAAGGATGATTTTACCAGCCCGACATTGACATCAAACGCGAAAACGTCCGCAAATATTTGCATGTTGAGTTTGCCATGTCTGATGCCTGCTATTGACTGAGCCACGGATCGTTCTGCTTGGTGAAAGAAAGGGAGGGGAACTTTCGAAGAGGTAGCCTGCCGAACCGTTCCGGTACTGTTCGTTTCTAAGGGAAACGAAGAGGTATTGTCCTTATCTAAATACAAACTGTCAAGCAAGAGTGGAATTCACGAGAGTTGGAATGTGTTACCTATCCGGGGGCGTGAAGAGGCGGGCGCTGTGTCTGACGATGCTCCCCTGGATTCACGGACATCACCTCCAAGCCGCTGAACCTGCAGTTCAAGGTCCTTTACATATTGCGATCTATCCTTTGCATCAGTCAATCAGTCCAGAACAATTGCACCGACTTTTTCTCCATTGGACCTACCTCTTGTTTGGGCCGCGCATTCGACGACTTGGATAATCGCATTCAATTCCTTGCCGTGAACATCTTGCACATCGGGGTGAAGCGCCATCGCATCGAAGTTTCTTCTGTCGACAAGCAGCACAGGCCTACAGACAGTCCAGTCAGCAGTTTTCAGCTGAACGCAGGGGCAGTGTAATCAAACTAACAGTGAATATCCTTGGAGCTGATTCACCTCCGTTTCGTGACTTTTCGGACATTACGTTAATCACTCGATAAGTTTGAAGTACCTAATATTTAAATCTAGAAAAGGTAGTGTAATCACGAGGAAAAGATTCCTCCATTGCCGGTAGCCGTAATTTGCTGACAAATGCCGACTTCCGGTAGAAATTTTCCATAACCCTCATGCTCTATCTAGTATTGATGAATCGGTGGGAAATGCTACCAACATAGAATATGTGTTTAGAAGGCTATTCAGTATCATAAAGCTTCATATCCATATCAATTTAGGAGTGGCAGAATCCAATATATCAAGAAGGGGGCAGTCTCGTCTCTGTCACAAGCGGCAGAGCATTCATCTCGGCGCAATCCATTCGCCCCTTGCTGTTTTCCGCAGCCAAGAGTGGAAAAGAGGCAGGGTTCGGCGTCTAGCCATCCATTCAAATGCAAGGGGAAGGATTTGCTGCGCCGCAGTCGTGGGGCAAACATGAACTGACCGTTAGGCAGCCAGCCCTACAGATCGAGCATTCCTATATCATCTGGGATTATCCCCAGAAATTGATGGCCAGGATGTGCCGAGGCTCTACTCCTTCATCAACATGCAAACATGCTAGCTCTCGCTCCTCTCCTCCTGCTCGCCGTGCGTCCTGCCGTCGCCGCCTTTAATTTGGACACTGTGGTGACGGACTACTGGTATTACGTGCACAATCACCTCGCAGCTTCAACCTCGAAAGAATGTCTGGCCGCCTACAGCGCGACGATTGACTGCGATCAGACCCTTCTGGGCATGGTTTCATCGGGCAGTCCCAACTTCAACCCAGACGTGGCCGATGTCGAGAGCATGTGCTCAACCACATGCAAGGATTCGCTTGACTCGTACGTGGAAAATGTCAAAAAGGCGTGCACGGCGTCTGGTGATGGTGCCCTTTTGAGCTCCACGGCAAACCCTAGGCCGAAGGTTCCTGTCCAAGTGGTCGGCGAGGTTTTCCAATATGAGTATGCCTGGTCATGCTCGAAGAACAGGTGAGTTGCTATCAAGTCTTCCATGACTGATGTGTGATGCTAAAATCTTACCAACAGTACCGGATGGTGTTATTTCAACTGGGGTTACGGTCGAGATCCGTATTACGCCCGTTCCGACTTCCCTTGCACGTCCGGATGTTCGATCAAGTTCATGGAGACGGCGCACGATTACCCCGGCTCACACTATGTCTTCATGACCTATACACTTAGCGAGCGATCAAGCTGGTGGGAAAATGTCTTTGACGAAGGATGGGAGACAGTCCAACAGTGCCGTAAGAACGGGGATTCGGGTACCAACTCAGCCGTCTCACAGACCAGAACAACAAGTGACGAGGATCTGTGGGGTTGGGCCTCAACATCGAACAGAAGGTCTGGTTTGTTTAATTCAGCTACGGCGAGGACACAAACAGCGACAGCGTCGGATGAAGAATCAGGTCCGACGCAAACCGTTACCGAGACACACGAGAACACAGTCACCCATCAAGTCACAGTTACCGCACCTAGTGGAACTTCAACCAACACTTCTGGGGGTGGGAAGACACAGCAAGCTGGCGCTGCTATGCTGGCATTCGGAATATATATTTCCGTTTCTGCGGTAATGGGCATGTTGCTGCTTTGAGGGTAGCTAACCTTGCTACATTCTGGGATGATTGACAGGATGTAAATAGATCGCAATATTACATTTAAAAATGGATATATATAATTCTTGTCAGCTTTTGATCGATTTCTGTATTGAACAAAAGTACTTAGTGAGGAAAGCAAGGCACCTGTTCGTTTTCGGCCTGGCAAGGCATGTTCATAAGCCTTGAAACTTCGTCCTTCCTCATATAGCAGATCCTTGATGGGTGCCACAGTGGCGATCAATGACACCAGCTTCAGCAAATGAGTCGCGGACTTGCGTGAAGGGATTTTCTTGTAGTTGCTACTCTAGACATCACCTTGACCTACGCTCTTATGATTGTCTGAATCTCTATACCGCCCGTGAACTTGATTGAATCGCTTTTATTCTCAGACAGCTCTACATTGTTTTGGATACCTTTTTGCACGCTCTAACGGTCATCCTTGTATCCTGCTGCTCTGGAAATTTGCCCTGGCGTCCTAAATTTGTATCTCATACTCGGCATTGGTGATTTTGCCCCCGAGCCTTCCTCCTTGATAACTTGCGAATCTGTTTTTGAAAGCAGATAGGGAATTAGGAAACTTTCAACGCAGCAAAACCATGGCTATCAATGCACGCGGCGCCGTGTCGAAAGGGGATAGCAACTACCTAGGTCCCCCGAGAATGGAAAATTGCGGTAACTGCTTAAAATAACCGATTGTTCCTTTAACACAAGTCTAGAATCCCAGCATCCCGAATTATGCATGTCACGACGAGATCTGCGCTTCCAAACTGAGCTCCAGGAGCCTACTGCCTGAGATTTTATCTTTGCGACAAGGTGAATGTGCTGGGGGAATACTCGGAAGAGAAAGAGAATAAAGTTCAACAGCAATGAAAGCCGCGAGGGCCGACAACTCAACTCATTGAGTACGAAGCTCGGGGAATCCTCAACAAACAGAGTAGTTCCAAGAACAAAATTACTATAATTAGCAATGAATTGTAAAACCCAGACGTGAAATTACCAAGTAGGAAAAGTGATCCTACTTAATAGACGCCCATTATGCCAATTTTATCGCAGAACACCGAATTGGGGCCACGACAACACTCGAATAAAACCATTCTATTTCTTCATCACCTTCAGCTTCCATATTCCTACGACAAGTGTGAGATTGCTTTAGAATAAAGAGAGAATCTGGCCTGACATCGTGTGGTCTTTAATAGAACTCTTCAGAAACTCAGTATGAGAAAGACATCGGTTTTGCTATTTGTATTCGAACAGACGAGTGACGATATTATCTAGATAAGCTATTTGGGAAATTATATTGAGTTTTTAATGTCACATAATATCGTTTAAATGGATATTACGAGAAAACCAATCGGGTGTGAATGAATTGAACAAACGACAACAATGCAACAACAGATAGCGACAAGCCCAGACTTGCACCATTCATTGTCATCCGAAACCGAGTATCAGTGTTAGATTAGATTATACGGCTCATAACGTTAGTTTTTGTGCACAGACTTCAATGGTGCAAATTCTTTGTTTCACGATCAGAGTCCGTTGATTCACTGTTCTATTGCGAAATCCGGCCCATTAACGGCATATAAATACTAAGACGTTCTCCGCCTAGGAAACCATATCGAAAGTTTTACATTAACAAGCGTCTTTACCTTCCCAAATCACTGCATACTCAGAACAACACTTATATCAATTCTCAATTCACTTTTGCTCATCATGAGCCAAAATACGGAAAATCGGGAGCACCCATCGCCCCGTATAACACTCGGAGATTTGGGACTATTGAAGAACCATTTGAATCGCTGCGCACCCGAGAAGCAAGATAAGCTGCTTTTAGATATACTCAAGCAGATCTTTGGCCAAAACTCCAAGGATCTAACCCTGAAATTAGCAGAGGAGATTGTTGAGCACGTTCGAGGGCTGCGCAGGAACGACCTCGCGTTTTTGAACTATGAATACCTAGCGGAATTTATGGACAAGGCTATTGAGGATGATAATGTTCCCTTGATGGAATACCTTCTCAGTCTGTCCAGGCGGCTTGAGAAGGGCCAAATGCCGTCCTATGGCTGGTCTGATCAGCGCTACCACAAGGATATAAAACAAGTTGGGCCCAGAAGCGCTCGCATGATGCGAGTGCTCGTGCAGAATGGTTTTAATATAAACCAAAGAGCACACGGACATACGACCCTTCACTTTGCCCTCGCTAGTCCCTACACGGACGATGAGTCAGTTCAGCTCATCAAATATCTGGCGTCAAAAATCCAAGACATCAACCAGACCGATGAGCATGGGTACACAGCTCTGCACGCGTGGCTGCATGAAACGCAGGAGGACCGCTGGAGGGGAAAGAAAGATGTTGTTCGGGAGATCACCACCCATCTGCTCGATAATCACGCCAGTCTTGCAGCCACAGCCAAAGAGGAGAACGGAGACACGCCGCTCCATTTTGTAGCGCAATCCGCTTCCCTCTCGCTCGTTGAACTTTTTCTCTCCCGCGGAGCAGATAAGGATGCGAGAAACAAGGATGGTAAGACACCACATGATTATGCCCAACGATTCAAGGACTCCGCGGATGATGATGAGAAAAAGGTTTACACCTTGATGATGAAGTAGGACGTGGCCCTTCTGACACATGGATCAGCGAGTGTTTGGTTCAAAATCAACGACATCCACTAGTCTTAGCTTGTGCAAATGAGGTGTTATAGCTACGTTGCACTATAATTCTTATTGTCCCCATTGGTGAAAAAGCTACGAATGAGGCCGCAGTGACAAAGTCAAGGACAAGGAATAACCTAAGTCTCTAATACAGAACGGTAAAAGTAGTCGCAGTCACGCAACTACATACACTCCTCTAACCCTCAAAAGTACTCTTTGCCCTGCCTACTCAAGCCCATGCTCAAGAGCATGAATAAACAATTCGTAGGCATGAATTACGGAGCGAGAGTACATGTCGAGGGTTGCTGGGGTACATTGACAACCATCTTCAGCACGAATTCCTCTACTAAGCCAAACTCATATTTCTCTCGGCGAACTTCAACATGTTTTGTGATATGACACGCTTGGCCCTTCCATACGGCACGCACTTCATAGCAACATTAATACCATTATGCTATAACTGCTATTTAAACGGCGGATACTATGCAGTATAACTAAGAAAAAGTCTATTAAATTTAGCAATAATCAAAGGTAATATAGCGATATTATTTATCTTCATGTTTCTTTTGAAGGCAAAGGAAATGGCATTACAATATCACATGCGCTCCCAAGTTTATCACAACAGAGCTTTCTTTGACACAATATCATATTGTACTCTACGTAGCCTGGGGTTTGTGGTTAGTTTGAGCTACTCCGATTTCATCAACGAGACGCTGACCGTGGTAAACCTACATTTGACAGTCGTCTAAGCCATTAATTGATAAGACGTCGTGACGTAGATGTAAATATTCCGTTAGGATTGATATCGCGTCCTGCAAGGACTTGACTCGCATACAATTCTGCTCAGCGGATGACGAGAGAAGTAACAATAGTGGGTTTGATATTTTGAACAACATAGTTGGCCTTCAATCCCCTAGGATATAGAGTGTGAGTCACAGGGTCTCACGTCTGACAGGTGTTCAGCATGATTACCTATGCCATGGTAACTAAGAGATCTTTAGAAAGAGTGGCGCATAATAAACTGCTTCCCGGACTATTCACAAATATCATATCTGACTTATGAATGATTTGATAGCAGCACACCTTGAGCCGCTGTATACATTGCATAGGCTCAATTACTCGACGCCTGCTAGTATTCTGCCTTGCACAACATGGAAAATTGGCTTATTTTGTTCCCTTCAGACAATATTTGCTTTTAGTTATATAAACCAGTGATGGGAGGCGGCTCAGAGCGCTGTATTTCCAACTGCATCTCCTTCACTGTCTACGCACTTGGAAATTCTGTGTCGTACATAGGGTAAGCACGGGATATGGAAATTCCCAATGACTACGGTATTTGGCATGGATACAAAGCCGTATGTGAGCCAAGATGCAAGCGTCTTGCGAAAAAGAAAACACAAAGCAGGCAAAAAGACTATGCGCGGCTGAGAGACTCCCGGTACTGATTGAAAGGATATGAAATTAACTGAGAGGCCTAGAGGTAAGCAAGTACTTTCAGAGGCACCAAAACCCTATGTAGGCGGTATACAAAACTATACGAGATGAGTGGAATTGTAGATAGGATGATCGGCAGCCCTTCAGACGTTAAGCCGGAATGTTATGAATGCTGAGTTTTCTACAGTCCTATTTGCAAACCTTTTAATTCTATAATTCGGCATGTAGTTTGAAACACGGAGCTATGAAAACAAGAAAACCCATTCCTATTTTTTTGATACCCCAAGTAATTTTCGATAAAGTGGCCCTCCACTCCGGTGTAATTATTTTGTGTACGGTACATGGATTGAATATATGACTAGTCATGGTCAAGGTACTATACGAAAGCAAGAACAAAGCCTTACCCAGTAGCGGGGTTGTGACAAAGTGAGGCTAGGGTATAACGCGGTCTGAGACAAATGCTTCCTTTAAATTAATAACTAAACAATGTGCGGATAATCAGAATGCTTATAACTTAGCCAGTAAAGTTTGAAACACATATGGATTACAATACTAAGTTTAGATGAGATCATATGGTCAAACATTTAGACGTATAGATTCACTATGCGCAGGTCGATGACTGAAATTTCAGCTCTACTGGCCTTAGTCCACCATCTGTTCAAGTGAACTAAAGGTCTGTCTTGGCCAAAACCCCTTTTCTGTGAATAGAATACCCGAAAGCATTATATATAGGGTTTCCCAGCGTGTGCCTGATTGAGATGTTGAAATTTATGTTTTTCTACGAATAGTTCACATCAACTGAGTGATTCCCAGAGACATCACTTGACTCTTCATGAGCCCACCAAGAAGCAATTATCAAAAATCTCAAGCTATCATTTCACAACGATCATCTTTGTCTATCACCTTGCAGCTATTACCCATCATGACTGGTCAAACCAAGCATATGGTCAGCATTGAGAAAAGAACAATGAGCCATGAAGAAGTTGAGGATATTCTGCGTCCCATGACTCCCCGTCCGGAGATAGAGACTTCAGATCACTTTTGGTATATTGTGAGCAGTGAGCCATTCTTGTTGTAAGTCCCATTATTCTTTATCCTATCAGACTGTTGCTGTTGATTCCAGATTCTCACAACCGTAACAGCCCAGTTACACTCCTAAGTGGCGCTATCTATAAGATTCCAAGCGTGGAGATTCCTAAATGATCTGTCCAAGGCTACGTAAGAGTCTATAGGCTCCGAGGTAGGGCTGTTGACTAGAGCCTCAAGGGGGTAAAACAGCATAGATCTCGCGATATATGAATAGGAGCTACTATTCAGCCCGTTTACGGATAGCATACAGATAGCTAGCAGCAGCGATCAAACTTATTCGCTACGAGTGATCTATGATATACCCTTCCTAATTTCATTCTTCTGCGTATACCCACTTCTGGCAGGATGCTTCAAGTGCATTCATTCCCATATACACCTCCAATATATCTTTTCCCAGCAGGAAATAGATAAAGAGCTAGGGTCTTGACAGATGTAGTGAAGCTTTTCTTATTTGAGACTTACTAAGATCAAAGTTTAAGCCCCTAGGTTCTTCTTTTAGTATTGAGTCTCTTTTCTAGGCGCTAAGAGTAATTGATCATCAATCTAGGATGATCATTGTATGATATAGGTAATAAGAGAAAAGTTTGTAGTAGAATAGTTAGCACACGGACGAGTTCGCCACGGGGATGAGGCCAAACGGCAGAAGCGGCACGTTGGATAGCCCGACCCAGATTATTATACGAGCGTGCTAAGCCCGGGCAGCTCGCCCGCATCAAGAGCTGCAACTCTCTTGGATCATCTTCGAGAGTTCTCAAACGATTCATTGATTAATTTATATAAGGTACAATGTCTAAGCTAGAAACAAGATCAATATCAGTATCGATTGCCTCTCCGTAATAGGATTGTTCCACCATCAAGTCCCGAACCAGTTCTTGGGTCCTTCAAAATCCCATTGGCGACCAAGTCCATGGCCAATTTGGTGATGAGTCCATCACATCCTTTCGCAGTAATCACATCCACTGTCACTGGCAGAAACTCTTCATGATTTGTGACGGTGCTGAAAAAGGGAACCTGGCTAAGTGGGAAACCGTTATCTGGTGTCCCCGCGAGGATGCCCCCGTTCGAGAAACCAAAAGGTTATGGTTCAGTTATGCACGCTTGCAACGGTAAAAAGTTGCAAGGTCATTACCAAGGTAGCCGTCGCAGCAAGGGCTCTGCCCTAAATGAGCGCAGCTATCGAAGCGCTCGCTCAAAACTATTGAAGGGGAGCAGGGCTCAATTACACGAACGTGGTTGTGTTCAGGCGACCTCGGCCTCACGTTTCGATGCTGATTTAGTTCCCTCAACGATGTCTACCACTGCAATATCCTCCTTGACACCTTGCACAAAGCCGTGGCTTTCATTATTCTAAAACGTTTAGAAAAGATTAAAGTTCGAGCGACTTCGAGCAACTTCAAGCATACCTTGGCTAAATACTTTAATTCGGCAATACGTAGAGAAACTGCGATCACGATCACTAAGCAGAGAAGTCCTAGCGATGCTTCCCAGCCATGTTTATCTGCTCACGTTAACTCAGCTTCAGTATTTAGAGAGCATGTATGACGAACAGTAAGGTGCTTGGCTTGCTGGCCACATGAGAACCTGACTCCATGCAGATGTAGCATAATAGCCCGAAATGGCACAACCGACTGTAAGAGATCGCTCCTCTGGTTCTTGTGGCGCACTGAAAGCGAATTTAGACCTATCACGGGAAGTTGCGCTCTAGGTTGTATTACTCACAGGTCAGAGAGCCAAGTCCAAATCAATGGAGCAGTACCTAGAGCCAGTGTGGTCAAGAAGTATCCAGCGTAGCCTGCTGCGACCGGAATTGTGTCGGGGTTCCGCGTCCAGATTATCATGATTATCGAAGCGATGATGGTAATTCCGGCTGATTGACGTTAGATCCTGACCACCAACTGCCAGCCAGTACATACCTTGCACAACAATCAAGGTCCATCGCGTTCTTAGAAAGTCGGAGAGGAACGCCCATACCCAGACTAGCAGCCGTTAGTATCAAAATATCTCTGAATACATGGTTACGTACCAAACACAACCGTTATGACACTTCCTCCAATCGGGATAAGATTGATCTCTTCCACAGTCCATCTAAGCGATCCGTCCCCATTTCTTAGGGCTTTCAGGAACAAATTGAAGTAATTATACCCTAGTGTTCCGCAAACCATGGCAATATACATAGCCGTAACCACATACACTAGCCACGTGGTGAATGTTCGCCTATTTTTAGTCAGTAAAGCCATTTCGACGGAGTGGGAGGTCCTACTTTGCGGCGGCCCATGTGATTGGTTTCATGTCCACTCTATTTTCCCTTTCACGCCTGTGCATGGCAAATTCGGCGTGATGTTTCTTGAACCAGAAAGACCAAGGATTGGGCCTATGAGGGGAATCCGGAAGCATGAAATAGCCAGCGGCGCCTTGAACAACTGTAATGATCGCATTGATGATGAACAGCCATCTGAACTCGGTGTCAGACTAGTCGCGAAGTAACATATGTCGTTACATACCTCCAGCCTCGCAGTCCGTGTCTACCCTCCAGAGACCTTACAATAGCGGCTTGCATTGCACCGGATATGACTTGTCCAACACCTTGGCAAGAGTGGTAGAATCCTATTCTCTTAGCCATTTCCAATGGAGTATACCATGACACTATGCGGGCATCAGTATTGAGAGAGCTGTCGCGTTGCAAAGCGATCTTACTAAATAGAGTGATCATGCCTGGATAGGCTGTGCTTTCGCAGAGCCCCAGAAATGCTCGAAGGATGTATGCTTGCTTTGCGTTTGTAGTCACCGCAAATAGACCAGTGATGATTCCCCACAATATTTCAAGTGACGGAAGCCACCAACTCGGCCGGACGTAAGTGATGATGATTTAAGTCGGAATTGACATAATACAATAGGCGATATTGAAGTAGGTGGTGAAGTTGTGTGGATATTTAGCGCAGTGAAGAGGCTAGTTTGTGGAAGATACTTACTAGTTGAGCTCATTGCCGTAGAGCTCCAAGTCTTCTTTCATGCCTGATACATATGCGTTGAATATGTTTTGCTGATCCAAGGACCTGTATCAATGTGAGTATACTCCATGCATCAGGTTCTTAGTACCGTACTTGATAACTAGATTTCAAAAGATTAGTCCTAGTCATGTGATGCCTGGTTCAAAGAGCTCACTTTGGGCAAAGCAACCGAATGTCAATAGAAAGATGTCCAGCCTTCTCACAAGGCTTCTTTCAACCTCTGATTCAGGCCACGCTAATGATGAAGGCACTTTCATTATTAAAGCTTCTGAATCGGTCAAAGAGCGATAGATGATAGAAGGCTAGTAAATTTACTTGCGAGCCGGATGAGATGCGTAAAATGGTTAAGATGTGATCTTTGAGGGGGGCAGAAAGAAGGGATACTTGAACTTTTATATGATAAAATGCCTTCCTTGCGGACTGTCGCAGGACGGTGATAAAATACGCAAGACTACCACGGAAGGCTGGTGATATCTCACGGTATAAAGCTGGCCGAAGATGAAAAATTTCTAACAATGCCGAGGTAATTCTAAGTCACGGATATCCATTTCGAGTCAGGAAAATGCTTACAGAGGAAGTAGGTGCTACCCAGATTTTTGGAAGTTTGTTCTATATAGATTACAGCCCGGTTGTGCCCCACATCCTGCTCTCTTCTTTGGTTATTATGCAGGGTAACCTGAAGAGAGACAAGGACCTGGTAGACCGTCGGTCAATATCGCCGTAGCGTCCGAGGCTTTGTGTCTGTGTGGAGAGGGACGGGTACCCTAGTTGGGTTTCAAGGCCATGGTCTCGATCGCAAGCCAAGAACCCCAGGTCCTAAACGAGATACTTTCTTAAGTTGCTATTAGTCTACACACTACAGACAGACTATGGAGTATTGCTGGCTGGGATATGATATTGTTGGTGTCGGTGATTTTGTCCGCAGGGACCAAAGACTCCATTGTTACGCATCTACTGTGACCTCTGGATTGACACATGAGGTTAGTAACCATATTCATTGTGTTGAGATGCCAGGTCTGGCATCAATCATCCATTGCTATTTTTAACTTGTACTCGAGCTCTCATCCGAGGTTAGTAGATGGCGGAGCTTGGCGGGCCGTGTCATGTTCCTACTCAATGGTGCATATACTCCGTAGACTTTGGCAGTATTAGTTGCAGTTTCTTCATCTTATGACATTTCTCATTCATTTAACTCAGACCCCGGAATTTACTACTGCATGACTTGGATCGTCGAGCAGTATGAGGAGCATGTACGTCCCCCCCGGTTATCAGTTGACAGTGTGGTGCATATAGGCCAGGGCCTTGCTCGGAGCTTCCGCCATAGCGGCCGACATGGATGAATCGTGGGGATTGGCAATTATCTTCATACATCTCCAATACCATCGGTCTTGTGGAATATTATTTTACTGTGACTCCTCAAAGATATTTTCTCCTGGGGAATCGCCAGAAAAGTAACAGGCATAGTGAAGCTTTTGTTTAATTTAAGCGTTATCTCCATACACATCCTCTTTCAGAATAATGTGTGTTTTTGTGAGCCAATAATAAACAAGTCGTTTATCATTCTCTTAATCTGGAAATACCCCGAATACTAATATATGAGAGTCATCTAAACACCGAAGACCTGCCTCATAGCATTCCAAGCAGACACAAACGCCGGTGCAAATCCCCCTGTTAGCACAATTGTTGCACCAGTAAGCCTCTGAATCGTCCAAAATAAGGCCAATACAGTGGTCACAGTATGCCAAGTTCTTGTCAAAAAGCAGTGGCTGACTTGGGAGATACCTTGAGTCATTGCTGATGAATAAGGATATCTTGCTAGCACCGTGCTTCACAAGCAAGCTGACCACGTGTGAGGACCCGATTCGCTGTGCCCACCACATCAAGCTTCGCCCCAGACTATCCTCCCACTCTTCCCAGCGTTCAGTACTAGGTAGAAGAATCTCTAAAATCTCAGTATGGCTATTACGCATAGCGTAAAAGGGGGGAATTAATCCAAACCGGTCCTCTGTGCGTGCAACTGCTCCGACTTTGTTTGAGAGAAGCAATTTCACTATCTCAACATGACCACAACGAACTGCCTCAGCCAGTGGTGTGTAGCCCCTTATGTCGTAAGCGTTTTTATCGACGGCATTTTGCTCAAGAAGAAGTGCTGCCAGCTCGAGATTGCCGCTGTTGCAGACTAAGTGTAGCGGTGAGCAGCCGTCAGCAGCCCGTGTAGTAACATCCACTCCCTCCTCAAGAAGTAGTAGTTCTGTTGTTTGAACATCACCACTACGTAAAGCGCAGTGGAGCGCAGTGTCTCCACCATTGTCCGAAATTGCAGCATCTGAACCATTCTGAAGCAACAACCTGACGATATCCGCGTGGCCTGCTTCTGCGGCTACATGAAGTGGCGACCAACCATAAGGATCTGTAACTGAAATCAATTTTGGCTGTTTCTCCAAGAACCAACGAACAAGTTCCAGGTGGCCATTGATTGCTGCTATATGGATCGGGCACCAGCCGTCGTTGGTTGTAACATTGATCAAATCCGGCTCCCTCTCGAACAACATGCGGACAATTTCAACTTGATCCTTATATACGTCTTCATGAATCACGGTCCAGCCTTCCTCATTCTTGGCATGCATATCAGCTCCGCTTTCGAGTAGAAGAGAAGCAATCTCGATCTGCCCCGCCATGCAGGCGGCGGTCAGGGGCTGCAATCCCTTGTGCGTTTTTGCAGCTACATCTGCTCCTTTTTCGAGCAGCAGCCAAGCTGCTTGAAGATTTCCCTCAAATGCAGCAAGAAAGAGCGGAGCATTTCCGAATTTATCTGTCAGTGAGATGTCTGCTCCTCGATCCAAGAGCAAGTTGACTAGATCTACCTGGCCAAGAGATGCGGCCCACAACAGTGGTGTTCGGTCATTCGCAGCGGCTTCCTTGATGTCAACATCTGCACCATTGTTGAGGAGTAACCTTGCTACTTCGGTATGCCCTTTGCTCACTGCTACACAGAGTGGGACATTACCCGCTGCGCTAGAGATCGATGTATTTGCGCCCAATGAGAGCAGCTGGGCCACATTTTCAAGGTGGTTGTCGCGGCAGCTAATAACCAAAGGTGTTTCTCCAAAGAGACCCCTACCGTTGACATCACAGCCATCCTTTGACAGAAGATACTCTGTAGTCTTGTGTAGGAGTAGGCCCATAGAATAAGAGAGGCGATTCTGTTGGTCATTCTCATTAAGTTCCGGCTCATTGCCACGACCAACACATTCTCTATTGGTCCATCGCTTCCATGCATCGAAGGCCCCAGTTTCATCCTGAAAAAAATGGTTGGCCAAGTCCACGATATCCGAGTTATCTTGTGATCCGCGACATACGTGTTCGTCCTAAGTACCGGCGGCGTAAGTAAGAAGTGAGGCGTGAAGGTTAATCCCACTTTTTTTCGGAGCATTTTGCTCCCATATATCAATATTAAAAATGTAACATAGACACTTTTGAGCAAGAAAATCATGTTGTTGCTCTTCATGTGACACCATCAGACCGTTGTTGAGCCCTAAAGAGCCGCCAGAACTGAAAACATGTGTGAGAAGGAACTCCTTCACCGAGAAATGAGTGATATTGACCATCATTGAGTCCATCTGATCCGAGTTCTTGTCATCGTTGGTTATCTCGATAAGTGAGCCGCAATGATCCTTAATGTCACTGGCGACATAGGAACTGTCATCTTCATCGGGTAACTCTTCAACTGGTACGCCGATTTCGTTGTCGATCAATACTGCGACAGTTATCTCACTAACAGATAAGGGCCTGATAGAGAATGCCGCCCATTTGAGCAGCAAAAGAGATCGATCTGTATCCACGGTTGGGTTTGTGCGAATAGATTCCCATTCCCGTTCGTAAAGTTGTTCCAACCCAGCTGGAGTTTTGCTGAGAGCCCTTTGAAGCTGCAACTGATTGAATGCCCTCCGCAGATTATCAGCCTGTAACCTCACCCACAGAAATTGGCCATCACATTTTTCAGCCATCTGTTGAGAAATGGTATCTCTGACGATTTGAGACTTATTTGACAATTTCTGGTTAACAACGCTCTTTGAGTAGGACACGATGTCATTATGGACATCATCAGTCGTCATACGAATCTCAAAGAAACCATGGGCAAGAGAATCACACAAGCTGTTGCGTATATACTCATTGTTCCGGCTCACAAGCATCCAGCGGCTGCTGGACTTCTCTACTGCCGTTGCGATGACCTGGACAAAGGTATTGACCGCGTCATGCTTTTGATGGTAGAGGTCGATCCAGGTACACTCGTCTAGGCCATCTAGGATGAATATTGTGTTAGAGGCAGCCTCTGCTACCTCATGTAAAATCGCGATTATGGTCGCCCTCGTTGCGACTTTCTCGTGCAAAGACAGCTGCTTCATCCGTACGAGTTCGAAAGCATCCTCGTCGCGATCCATGATCTGGGTAATCCACGCCCGTATGGCTAGATAAGGGTCATCCCGACTAGAATACTTTGAGGACAGGAAAAAATAGGCCACAGGCAGCTGCATCGTCTCCGAAAGGTGCTCTATCACCCGTGCACACATGAAGGTTTTGCCAAACCCCGCTGCAGCATTCACCCACAATGCGGACGGGTTTTCGCTTGAAGTAAGCCAAGTACGAAATTCATCCCGCTCCAGGATCCAATCGCAGGTCCCAGGTACACGTGCTGAATTCAGGTCATCGTACATATCGCTGGGTATGTTGGCTCCGATCCAGGCATACAGATCTCGGCGTGACTGAGCTTCAATATCATATTCAATCTTCTTCAGGGCATCCTGGATATCTGCAGCGTCATTTGATTTAGAATACACAACTCAAACAATGGAATGAACATGGCGCACCTTGTATATACCTCGTACCACCAAGATTTGCGACCTCGGATCCATGCAACTTTTTCGCTTCGTCTGCTCCGATAGGGACCTGCTCATAGAGCTTTTGGACCAAGATGCCCAACTTTTCCACTTCGGCGACCCGTTTCGCCTTTCCCCTTAGTGCCCAGGCAAGCTTCTGCCGTGTTGACGCCGGCGAAGTGGATGAAAATGCCGGATGCCTGGTCCCGTTATGTGAATCTGATCCCGGCATTTGCTCTGAGGCTCCGCTTTCCGAACCCCGGCAGACTTCCTAGATTGTCGAAATCAGATGCGCAACTACCGACCGCGTGGACTGCTCGGCTAAGCCCGGGTGGTAGTTGGTCGACAGCTTCCCCTGCTCTAGGCCAACTGCGCGACCCCATCGTTCAAAGCGAACCTTGTCAGCCTCAAATTGTGCCGCAAGAGAGCGTGAATCGAACCCAAAGTCTCGGTAGGCATCGACCCTTGCGACAACGTCGAGGCAGGTGTTGAACAGCCCAGCAAGGCCAACCACCCCAATAGCTACGCCGGCAGGCTCCATTCAGTAGTGATGTTTCTTTCAAATATAGCGAGGTCTGTAGGATTCAGAAGCTCATGCTTGGAAAAGGTTAATGATACTGCGCGTTGGGGCATTTGACCCCGCTGTCTTAGGGTGGTATCCAGGTGTGTTGTTCGCCTTGTCCGCCTTGGTGACAGTCCGCAGGACCTGCTTCAAACCAAATAGGACAAAGTTGTATCTTGCATTGCATCGTTGGGGACTTTTGTCTAGATGCTCTCTCTTGTATGCTCTGATCCAGCTCCAGGAGGCTTCCCGAGACAGTTTCTACTCCAATCAATAACTCCAGACTCAGACTTGACAGATACCCTTGTGTTGCAAAAATAACTATATTCCCTAAGCACATTATTAATTCACCTGACGAAAAATTGCAGTCTCTTTTCCCCTCTCCCCTCACAACTACCTGCCATATGCGGTCATCTACAGACCTCGGCTCATTGTTATTCCGAGGTCCAGGGTAGCAACATCGCGCTTGGATCACATGTAGAATTGAATCCTGAAGATCTGGCCATCTAGCTTCATCCTTTCATCACCTTCATCATGAGCGCTCAGAGACACCAAAAGTCCGTCCTCGTTACTGGGTAGGCATTCCTTACTTCATATGTATGAAACTTCGAGATGGTACTAACATTGAAGTCACTAGATGTACTCCAGGAGGCATTGGCTGCGCTTTGGCTCAAGAATTTCAATCACGCAGTATGTTTCAGCATCCGACTTCCCTTGCTTTGCTCAGATGGCTTAGCCGCAAAATTCAAAATCCCCTCATTTTGTTTTTTCACCGAAGCTAATTATGTTGCTGTGCGATGGTCGGATAATAGACTGCAATGTCATCGCCACAGCCCGCAAGCCTGAAGCTCTGACCGAGCTGGCCGGTATGGGCTTAACCGCAGTCCATCTTGACGTGGATAGTGAAGAAAGCATTGACGCTGCCAAGAAGCGTGTTGAGGAGTTGACGGGCGGCAAACTCGACATCCTTGTCAACAATGCGTGAGCTCAACTTCAATGGCCGTAACAAAGCTCGAACATTCCAGTAGCTAACTTCAGCGGTCTAGAGGTGTACGGTACATCATGCCATTGACGGATGCAGATCCAGCACGTGTTCGCTCCGTTTTTGAGACCAATGTCGTTTCCGTGATGGTGCTCACCAATAAGCTGTTGCCACTTCTCCTAGCATCGGAGGGTCTCGTTGTCAACATCTCCTCCTACTCAGACCGGTTGGGATACCCATTCAAAGGTGTATACGCCATGTCCAAGGCCGCTTTGTCCAGCTATTCGCAGAATCTGTCGGTTGAGTTGGCGCATTACAATGTTCGTGTTTTGAACGTCGTCACATCTTTTGTCGCCAGCAAAGGGCAGGATGGCGTTCACGAGGAGTGGCCCAAGGACAGCCTGTTCAATTCCATGCGAGACGAGGGACAAAAGGTTGGAGGTGGGAAGCGGATGACGGCGGAGGAGTATGCGAAAGAGGTGGTGACGGAGGCTTTGCGAGGTAAGGGGTGGTCTTTTGGCCCTTTCAGGTTCTTCGGGACGAGGGAGACGATGCGCGTGGGGACGATGTGCATGAAATTGTGGCTTCTGGAGACACTGGGTTATGGTTGGATCAGGTTCATGATGCTCAGAATGTGGCCCTTTTGGAAACTGAGGGATAGCCTGCGGGCGAAGAAGACGAACTGAGGGGATTCTGCCATCTCGGTTTGATCTTCTCTTTCGTAATGAGCATACTTTAATGGAAGCTCATTTGTCCTCCGTTCGAATCGCTTCCTTGTCGAGTTGATCAACAATGTGTTGGTGGTAGATTAGTTAATCTGATTCGCGGCATGATTATTCCACCTAATCCATCCTACGGCCGTTCCAAAATGGAGGAGAGCATCTTCATGGACGAATCGCCTTCCTTCCGCTGTGTTATTTAAATTGCAGAATCATCCACAATCGAATAGAAATGACAAGACAGATCATCGAAATGATGGACGACGGTCTCATCATGAATTTCTATTGATTTATCGTGAAATATAAGTCTATTCCTCTATTTTCCAGTCGTCGAGCACTTCCTCAAAACTCCAAGCGGAATCCTTTAGTTGCTGGTGGGGACAATGTATACATCACGCTCAAGAGCGCGAGTGTTGAGCTTTCGCATTGTTAGCGGATTCTTCGTATCTTCCTATTTTGGATTACTTACAATGCTGATGGGAATGTTGTGGAAATCAGTAACACCAACTTGGGCAGCATCGTTGTAGATCTCAGTGTTGATGAGGCTAATAGCCTTGTTAACACCGTCTAGACCGTAAATGTTGGAGTGGAGGAATCTATGATCATATTAGCAACCATCTTCAATCATCGCAACTACATTAAAAGTTTACGTACGGCCGACCCATGCCAACAGCCTTGACTCCGAGAGCCAACAGCTTGACAACATCATCTCCGTAACGGATACCGCTGTCGGCAAGAACCTCAATCTGGTTAAAGATCTCAGGGGCGTTGTGGTGAATCTCAAAGGCGATCTCGAGAGGGGAGGGCGAGTAATCGACTTGGCGACCACCGTGATTGGACAGCATGATGGCGGGAACGCCCTTCTCAACGGCCTTCTTGGCATCTTCGACGGTGGTGATACCCTTGAGAATGATAGGCAGCGAGGTATGGTTCTTCATCTCCTCATACAAGTCCCACTGCATCAAGTCAGCAAAAGGATCAGTCAGACCCGAAGGGCTAGAAAATCAAGGAGGTCAAATTACGTCAAGAACTGCAGCTTGAAGACGGCTGACAGAAGAAGAATAGCGAGCAGCGCGCTGACGGCTGGATGTCGCGGGAGCATCAATAGTCCAAACCAAAGCCTTGGCATTGTTTGCCTCAGCACGCTGGAAGATGGCCCAGACGGCATCATGATCATCAGTAGCGTAGAACTAATCCGTCAGTTAGAAGACCTGGCCTAATCCAAATTAAGCGAAAGCTGTGAGATATACCTGCTGGAAATTGACCTGGGGGCCGTTGAGGGTATTGTTGTGCTTTCTCTTCTGTTCGCCAATTTCCTCGATGGTCTTGTTGGCGTAGTATGCAGCCTATGAATGAACGTGGTCAGCGACGTGCCAAGCACAGAACAGGGGCGGTGAAACTAACCATATAGAGAATGTTGTTCTCTGCAGCAGCATCAACAAAGTTGAGCTCACCGGCGGGGTCACCATAGCCGGCACGAGCAGCAGGCGAGATGAAGATCGGGGAGCTGAAGTTGTATCCCAAAATGGTCACTCTGCAATGATAGGTCAGCGTTTAGCTGCAACATGGTTGTGACGGTAATCATACCCCATGGTCTCATTTAGACCGGTAATGCCAGCGAGCTGGTGAGGGCGAAGGCGTGCCTTCTCCCAGACGGCCAAGTTGTTTCGGTAAGCCAGAACGGAAGCCCAGTTAGAACTATTTTCTATATCGATTTCGAACGGGTATTGTTACTTACCCCACTCGCTGCCAGCACCAACACGGTAGAACGAGTACTGATCGTGTGAGAGTGTTTGGCGGGCGGCGAAGTCAAAGTCAGGAATGCCCTGGATATCGGCAAGATCAGGGCGTGTGCCAGCAGTCCAGCCCTTCTTCTGCAGATACTCCTCGAATCCAGTGTCAGGCTCATTCTGGACTTTCCACGGGTGAGTTAGCATTATAGCCACGTATTAATGATTTTTAGAGAATTCTTACAAACTTCCCATGCCAAGGCGCTCGTGGCGAGCTGAAGAAAGGTGAAAGCACGCATGTTGACTGTGTGAGTGTATGGCTAAGGAATTAATATGATCCCGGCTCCCGTCCTCAGAATGAGTGAATGACTTGTGAATCGGTGACTAGAAGAAAAGGATCGGCAGGTCATTACTATATAACAGAATTCAAAGGTGAACCTTGCACACAAGGACCCATTTGACATTGCTCGATGACGAAGTTGCAATCCTTGTCCCAACAATCTGGATATTGCCTCCCTGCCCCGGCTAGGAATTATCAATAAGCTTTTATAAGATTTTATAAAAGCTCGTAATATTTATATAGAGTAAGTAATAATCTTATTTTTACTTATAAGATTTTATAAGACTAATATTAGTTTTATAAAATCTTATAAGTAAAAATAAGATATTAGAAAATATATATAAGTAAATATAAAACTACTATAATTTAAATACTCTAGAATAAAAAAATTAAAATTATTAAACTTTTAGATAAAGAGAAATTATCTATATTTTTCAGTCTTAATATCTAAATAGTAATAATATTCTTATCCTATATCTTATTAATAATCTTACCTAGATATCTTCTATAGTATCTTCTTAGATCTCTTACTATTTCTTTTTCTTCTTTCTCTTTATAATATTTAATATCTATAGACTAATTCTCTAGTTTATTTTCTTCTTTTTAGCTTCTATAGCTACCTTAGTCTTTATTATATTAAGATTAAGGGTTTTATCTTTATTACTAATAATTTCTTTCTAGTTAGTATTTCTAATTATTATAAATTATTAGTAAATAATTAGAATAATTAATTAGAATAAATACTTATTAGTACTATAGATCTAAAAGTTCAGATAAGATATATTAATTCTAAGATAAGAGATAATACTAATAAGAGTATAAAAATCTTTTAGCTTAATAGTAATATAATTAGTATAAATTACTAGGAGATTAATTACTAAAAAAATATTAGTAAGAGTATAAACTATAAGAATTAGTATAATCTACTACTAAAAGTACTAATAAATATTAACTCTATTACTTTCTAAAGAGTACTAATTATATTTTATTATTAATAATAGCTTTTAGAATAATTAATTTTATATTAGATCTTTTATATAAGTTATATAAAAGAAAGCTTAGGAATTAAGAGATTATATAATCTTTAGTAGTAGTAAATTTCTTAGAGTATAATAGCTATTATAGATTAGAATTATACTAATTAATTATACTACTTAACTAGTTAATTTACTATCTTTATAAAAGTAAACTTTCTTCTTCTTTATAGAGGGAGATATAGGTATTTTTCTAAGTACTTTAGCTATAAGAGATCTCTTTATAGATTTCTTTCCTACTATCTTCTATTTAGCTATTTTCTATAATATATTAATAATTAATTAAAATAAATAATTAGAATAAATAATTAGGATAAATATATACTTATAAGAAGGATAAAAAGAGTTATTAGTTATAGTAGAGTAAATTATAGTATATATAGAGGGTTATTAGAAAAGTAATAATAAGATAAGAAATTTTAATAGAGTATATATATATTTTTTAAACTAAATTAAATCTAGTATCTATCTATTAGCTAATAGAAATATATAAGATATATTTAGATCTACTTTTTCTATATACTTATTATTTTTCTAATACTAATTTAACTCTAACTTCCCCCTACTAACCTTATAATTATACTATTACCCCCTACTACTAAATAATAATATAATAAGAAATTCCTATAGAATTAAGTTATACTAATTTATTATACTAATTATAAATTAGTAGTATATATAGAGATATTAAATTCAGACTAGTAATATAATTATAGCTAGCTAGTTAGCTTTCTTATATAAAAGTATAAAAGTAAGAATAAGTTATTAAATAATCTATATACTAAATACTTCTGAACTTAAATAGAGAATATACTACTAAATAACTAATAGATTAAAAAGATAAAGAATACTTTATATAAGTAAAAGATATATAAACTAAAGAATCTATAGAATTCTAATAAATATAAGTAAATAAGTTTAATAGTTTAGAAATCTATAGAAATCCAGCTAGAAGATTTAATTAACTAAGAATAGTTTATTTTTTTCTATACTATTTATTCTAATAAATTATACTAATTATTATTTAGTATAGTAAATAGAAAGTATCTAGATATAATTACTAAGTAGCTTAAGTATTAAGTATCTAATAGATCTATTTTTAAAAATTCTAAGAATAGATAGAAAGATATTCTAAAGAACTAGCTAAATAAGTATAATCTAATTATATTTATAGCCTAGATAGCTACTATAAATAGAGAGACTTTAGAATTAGATATACTTAAAGTTAGCCCTACTAGTTATAGAAATATAATCTAAGATTTTCTAATAGTAATAGAGATAATAAGTATAAACTACTAAAAATATACTAAGTAATATAACTAATTTATTCTAGTTATATATTAAGACTATATATCTTAATATCTTAATAAAGATTATTAAATCTCTATTTACTCTTTAGTAAAAAATTTCTTTTTTATAGATTTATTCTACTAGATATATAAAAATCTAGAAGGAAATCTAAGCTCTAGACCCTAGATATAATTATACTCTTAATTAATTATATAGTACTAATAAATTAATTAGATTATTAGATTAACTTTATACTATCTTTATATTCTCTTAGTAGAAATACTTAGTCTAATTTCTATTATAAGCTATATATTAGAGCTACTAGTAAGTACTAGTTAGCTATTTATCTTAATTATTTATTCTAATTATATTTATTCTAGTTAAAAAAGTAAATCTAGAAAATACTATTTAAACTTCTATATAGTTAAATATTATTCTAAGATATTTATTAAGAAAGAAAAACTTATCTACTATTTAAATATAGCCTTATATTCTTAACTTATTAAGGATCTATATAATATTTCTTTCTTTTCTACTTAGAGTAGATTTAGAAAGTCTTATAGAAAATAGCTA